TCAAATTTTCTACACCATGAACTCTCTCAATGAAGTCATCTAGAAATAAAATACTAAATATGTATATACATTTAGTAGCTATGATGACACAGATACACAGCTACAGAACTATATCGATACACTCGTAGAGGTCCCTACGTCGTAGATCGTCGTAGAATGAGCTACGCTACGGAATTCGAGGACTTTGTATGGTTAGTGACAATACTCGTAGACAATTGGTTAAATAATAAGAATTTACTTTCTTTTAAAAGCTTATGATTGAACTTTTTGTAAGCCGTATGCTTTATCCGGGCTTTATTATTATTTTTAACTTGCAGAGAACGGTAAATGGGTTACGCATTAGGTAAAATGAAAAAAATATGATCACATACCATAAAAATGTAAATAATACTTATTTATAAAAAAAGCCTTTTAGAAGGCCTTTTGTATATTGATATTCATTATTATGTTTAGATGTGTTCATCTACATATAATAATAATGATATTTGTGTAAAATAGCCCATCAACTAATTTAGTTTGCTAAAGCTTAACAGCGCCATCTTCCGAAATTATCCCAAACTACGTCCTAAGGTTTGCATGTGCGAAAAAGCTCAATTGTGTGAACTGGTATTGCTAGCAGTGCCAGCATCTCGCGCTAGATGTCACTATAATAAAAATCTAAAACTTAGTATAATTTTGGAATGCCCGAACAGCTCTGTCTATATTTATTTGTTTACGCATATGCTGCTCATTGTTTTCCCTTGCCATAATTGAACTGATCCTAATTTTGTCTCTTATAAATATAGCATGTTCTAAAATTAATTTTGCATTGTATCAAACAATTTGGCAAACCAACGCGTATTTGCAATGTGTCAGTAAACCGAACAGCAAGTGATAAAGGGTTATTAATGAATTTATTTAACAAATTAGGTACGGCGACAATGAAATACAAAAAGTAATAATTTTCGACATTATCTTTTGTTGTAGCTGCCAAGATAACTAGTGTTGTTTGTGTATCTAACATACATACAACACAATATTACTCAGAAATTAATGAAGCATTTTCTGATGTAAGGGTTCGTAACCATCGATTTTTTTGTACGTACTGGGTACGTACTGGGTTTAATTTAAGTTTATGGTCTTAATGAAGTTGGTAAAATATTTTGGTTTTTTTTACAATTTTAGAAAAAAGGTTGTCCTTATTATTTTCGAGGTGCAGGTGTCCATGATTGCGGCAACCACTCACCGCCAGATGACCCGTCTGCTTGTTTGTCTATCTTGTAGAAAAAAGGCATAATATAATGCAAGATGAAGGAAAAATAACAATTAGCATTTATTTCCATATTAAATTCTTAAGTGATACAGGTACGTTAATTAATAATACGTTAATAATACGTTAATGGTAATTTCTGAAGAAGGCCAAATGGCCTTTAGAGCAGAGCTTATGGTGCAGACCGCTGATCGATGAAAAACCAAAAGTAGGACGCCGTCCAGCTAGATGAACTGGAAACGTAAAGTGGAGGACCACGGGCTATGGCTCAAATTGGGCGTAGCTCAATAAAATTGTCTGATTGATTGAACTTAACAATACAATTTTATGGTGGATTGTACGTTGGGCCTGTTGCTTTAGTGGTCACTAGACCCTGACAACTGAGAACAAATAGTTGTGTGATAAGCACGATCATTGTTCTGTGTCTGGGTGTACCATATCTATAGTATGTATGTATTTAGAAATAATTAAGTATCTTGATCAACGGTCTGGTGACCATATCACAGGATCTGTCTAGTTTGCGGTCAAGCCGGGCGTGTGGGAGATGTGTAAAGTTGATTATGTATTTTTCTAGAAAAATTGACATTGTCCGTGTGGTGACGGATTAAGAATACGGAATGTCATCACCCCTACTCATACCGTGGGTGTCGTAAGAGGCGACTAAGGGAACAAACTACGCAGGACAACAGCACTGCAAAGAGAAGGAAAACTTGAAACAAACCCTATACCAACCCGTCTGGCCAGCGTGGTATAGTAGACCAAACCCTCCTTTCTAAGGAGAGGCCTATGTCCAGCAGTGGACTAGTAATGGCTGTTGATGATGTAGAAAAATTAATTAGCTGAAAAAAATATAAGTATTGTATTTCTAAAGCATAATAATTATATTATGTAGTGAATGGATGAGGTTGTAGCCAACAAAATACCTATGAAATACGAGCGAGGACTGTGAAGAAATCATTTCATGAAAATAAATCTCAAAAGTACTATGTTCTAGAATAAAAATTGACTGCCAATAAAATTGTTAAGTCTTCTTAGCGTGTCGATGACAATTCAAATTGAGTCGGCCCAAAATTTGGCGACGAGTACGGCACTTTCACTAGCCTCCATCAGTTCCTGTGATGTGCAAGTAAGTGTCTAATAGCGACGCGACGAATAGACAAGCCGAAAAAGGTAATAATATTATTAATGCATCGGCAATAGACCTAACTCCTGTTGCGTAAGTGGGACTAAAGTTATAGTCTGAGTGCGTTTGTTATTCTTTTGTCTAAACTTCGGGGAAAAATTTATGGTTATGACGGGCCTGTTGGTCTAGTGGTTAGTGACCCTGACTGTTAGCCGGAGGTCGTGGGTTCGATTCCCACCCAGGAAAAATATTTGTGTGATGTGCACGATCGGTTGTTCTGTGTCTGGGTGTAATTTATCTAAAATATGTATGTATTTAGAAATATATAAGTATGTTTAACAGCAGTCTGGTTACCATTGTACAGGCTCTGCCTAGTTTGGGATCAGACGGCCGTGTGTGAGATGTGTTACTCTATTATTATATATGAAAACATCCTTTTTTGTAGCAAAGGCCTCGAAGTTGGTTCCAAATAAATTTAAAAAAATCCTACTCTAAGGGTGGAAAAATAGGGGAGATTTATTGTTCCCTCACAGATTTTAATGCTGAGTTGTGTGTTATAAATAAAACTAGCGGACCCGACAGACGTTGTGCTGTCAAATTTGACACTGCGATGGTAGCGCCGTCTGTCTGATCCAAAGTAAAACATTCCAAAATCAACAACTACTAATAAATTAAAAATAAATTAAAAAAACATTGTCCAGCGGACAAAATTGTGAATCTAAACCATTCCCAGATCCCCTTGAACACACACAAAAAATTTCATCAAAATGGGTCCAGTCGTTTGAGAGAAGTTCAGTGACCGCCGCGCAATGATTGTTGATATCGCCGTTCCTCATGACGAGAATCTCGTGAAAGTTGAAAAAGAAAAACAAATTAAATATTTGGATTTATCTCACGAGATTGTCGATATGTGGAATGTTGATTCAGTGATCATTGTTCCGATAGTCGTATCTGCTCACGGATTGATAGCCAAGAGCCTCGACCAACACCTTAAGAGGCTCACGTTGGACGGCTGGATCAAGGGTCTGTTGCAGAAGGCAGTCCTCCTTGACACGGCTCGTATAGTGAGGAGGTTCCTATCTTTGGAGTCCTAACCACCGGTGTCTTGGTCCCTGTACCCGATGTCGGTGGTCTACTATTTTTTATATTTTTAAATGTATTTTGTTATAATTTTTATAAAGTGTATGTTTAAAAATGTAAATAATATGTATATAAAGTAAATAAAGAGAATAATAATATTGTACCACATTCACACAACGCCATCTAGTCCCAAACTAAGCAGAGCTTGTACTATGGGTACTAGACAACTGATATAAATACTTTTATCCTTTTTTTTGTAAATACATACTTATTATACATAGAAACACCCAGACCAAAGCAAACATTAAATGTCCACGCTTACAAATGTTTGACTTGAGCGGGAATCGAACCCGCGACCTTTGGAATAGCAGTCCGTTACACAAACCACTACGCCATTCGGTCGTCAAGATGGATTGTGTTATGATTTAAAAGAATATTCTATTCATCATACATATTATAGTTAACAAGGGTTGTTACAGTTTTCAAACCACTATAAGGCATAACTATAAAACTCATTTAATTCAACGACGATAAACTTGACTTATCCATCTGTCTGTAGCAATATGCATACATCCGCACATTCCTGCCATCATCTGTTTAATTTTAGTTCACTATCTACCAAAATCCTGATGCGGAGTTTAAAAGAAGATTAGCTTTTGAGAATATTATAACTTTATTTGAATTAAAGTTAATTAAATACTAGGAAATTACTAATAACTACGCAGGACAACACCAGTGCAGAGAGAAGGAGAGAAGGAGGAAAGAAAACTTTTCACAAACCCTAAACCAACCCGCCTGGTCGGCGTGGTATAGTAGGCCAAAACCTCCTTTCTAAGGAGAGGCCTATGTCCAGCAGTGGACTAGTAAAAGCTGTCGATGATGTGATGATGAAGTCTCGGTAATACCAGGTCTGTTAATTTATATTACTGCAGATAAATGTGCAAGATTGTAGACGTCGGGACAGCTGCGGTTTCAAGATGCCAGATACAGTGGAGATTGACCAAGTGACGCCAAGAAAGAAGGTGAGTTGAATTACGAAGACACAAACCCTAAACCAACCCGCCTGGTCGGCGTGGTATAGTAGGAAAAAACCTCCTTTCTAAGTAAGAATTTCATAGTCCAGCAATGGAATATTAAAGGGTAATGATGATAGGTAAAGATAAAGATTAATTCGTCAGTTGCCTGGTTCTTAAAATAGCTCTTACTTTATTGCCGCAGGAGAGCCACCTTTCGACACGTAATGTCCGTCCTTACAGACAGCAGTTGTCATTTAAACTGCGGCAATTTAAGTGACAACAACTACATGGACATACGAGAATCATACATGATTAGAAGACAACTCGTATTAATCTATCATCATTTAAAATTAGAATATAGCACGTCTCGCTCTTTAGTCATGTACGAGTATGATTCGCGCACGTCCCTGTAGTTGACTGACTGAAGAGACCAGTTATGTTCTGATGAAACGTAACAATAATGTAAATAAAGGATTGTGCAACAAAGTCAGACTAAATTTGTACTTGTAGTTAATTTGTCAAAATTTTATTATTAAAATTCTTTTCTATTTTCGTAGGGCAAAAGTTGAGATTTTGCAGGGGTGGCACAGTGTCTTTCGCCCGGCGCGCCAGTAATCCACGCTACGCCACTGAAACTGCCGATGTCCAGAAGCGACTGTAGCCATTTAGGTACCATCAGGTGACCCATTCTCACGTTTGCCTCTACCACAAAACAAATCTCAAGAAACTACAGAAAAATATCGCTTCACTAAAAAAATCTCCATAACCATTTGATGTACGGTATAATTTGATCGGTTTCGCATTTTTTGCAGTTATGTCGCTGTCGCTCCAAACGAGCGATATACTAATAACATGAATCGGTGGTGCAGCGTATGCGACTACTGTCTCGGGTTCAATTCCCAGGTCGGACCAAATCTTTGTATGACCTTCAAATATTTGCTTGGGAGTTTGGGTGTTTTCTATGTCTAATTAAAAAAGTATTTAAGTAATCTATCAGTCAATCTAGATTTCATGGTACAAGCTGCGCTTAGTTTGAAACTAGATGGCGTTGTGTGTTAGATGTCCGAAATAATACTATATTATCTTAATATATATAAATCTCCTGTCACAATGTTTGTCCGCGATGGACTCCTAAACTACTTAACCGATTTTAAATTAAATTGGCACACCGTGAGCAGTCTGGTCCAACTTAAGAGATAGGATAGCTTAGATCTTTAATTAAAGTCGCAATTTTATTTTATTGCAAATTATTGGTCTATAATTAATTGACAGGCACAATTATCTGTTAACTCCAAAAGATTCTAACAGATGTCGATACTTTTCGACTGGATTGAGTAAGTAATCAATAGATGGCACTGCTATGGTAAACCGACATAATGTATATGGCAACACAACGTTTGCGGGGTCAGCTAGTATTATTATATATATTAGGTCCAATATCGCAAAGAGTTTCAAATGTCGATACAACTTGTCTGTTTGCCAATACATATTTGTAAGTCGTAAAACTACTTCTAAAATTTAAAGGTAGTTTTACGATCGTATTTATGATTTAGAGTCTAAATCATAAATACAATTGTTACTTACATTCAAACTATCGTGAACATAATTCTAAATGTTTTCTTGCGTTTTTATGTGACTGTTAAAGAACAAATGTTTGATTTATATTTTAGTAGTTGGACAATATTAATAATAATATTCTACCACATTCACAAAACGCCATCTAGTCCGAAACTAAGCAGAGCTTGTACTATGGGTACTAGACAACTGATATGAATACATATATACTTTATTTTTTATAAATACATATATTCAGACTCTAAATCATAAATACAATTGTTACTTACATTCAAACTATCGTGAACATAATTCTACATGTTTTCTTGCGTTTTTATGTGACTGTTAAAGAACAAATGTTTGATTTATATTTTAGTAGTTGGACAATATTAATAATAATATTCTACCACATTCAAAAAACGCCATCTAGTCCGAAACTAAGCAGAGCTTGTACTATGGGTACTAGACAACTGATATGAATACATATATACTTTATTTTTTATAAATACATACATATTATACATAGAAAAACCCAGACCAAATCAAACTTTAAATCTTCATGAACACAAATGTTTGACTTGAGCGGGAATTGAACCCGCGACGATGTAGGAATCGTAGTCATCGAAGGCCAAGGTTTGTATGTAACGTAAAAAAGTTATTCCAATACACAACAAAAATTAGAAAAAAGCTTTTTAAGAATCCTAGTCTATTACAAATTATTGTTTTTCAAGTTCGTCTGCATCTCTCAAAAGGAATAAATTAACCCTGTTTTTGCAACATTTTTCATTGGACTCCTGTTGGTAGTATCGTGTTGTTTTATAACCTTTCTCGATAAATTATCTATTCAACATTAAAGTCCAGTTTGGGATGAGAAGCTAGACTGAGAATGTATAAGCTTCAAAGCTGCTGTCACGGTATTATAAATTTAATTTTCATACGGCGCGTGTTCCTTTATTAGCCATCAATATTACATTAATTTGTAGCTGAGAATTGTGCCAAAACTGCAGTAGTACACACAGATAGGATGTATATAATATTTAAATACATAATATAACACTTGTAAGAAATATTCCTTACATATACTTACGAGTACAAATTGAGGAAATAGTTGAGCATTAAAACATTTTATCAGACCTAGAGTTTAATATAAAAATAACCAATTAATTAAAAAACAAGTACCTAATGTTTCTAAAGCACTTAGTGTTACAATAGTCATACATAATACTTACATCCATGGTGCGACGAAGGGTGAGCGCCCTCGCCCGTGACTCGCTGAGTGTGCGCCCGCGCACCGCCGGCACAGCGACCCGCGACAACCACTCGCCGAATTCTGTGCAACACCACCAACGTCACAATACCGACACTTTTGAAGGTGAGACTGACAGGTTTGAAGTTAGTAAAAAGGTAAGGTAATACAAAATCTTCTTTAAAACCTGGTACCATGAAAGGGAGAAGAATAGATAGGTTAAAAAGAGAAGCATGAGAATTCAACATGCAGCCATCGACCTAACAAGCTCCACATAACTTTACAGACGCGGACCTTTTTTTATACACAAGCTATCTTATGATTATTATATTACGCAGATACCATGACTACAAAATCAATTCAATAAAGGTCATTAATTGAGATGTTTTTTTTTCTTTAAAAAAGACTACTCCCGCAGTAGGAATACATTCCTGTGTCACGGGGGACTTTACAAACATATATGAAACGGACACAAAGAACACCCAGACTCAGAACAACAATTTGTGGATCACACAAAGTGTCGTTCCATGTGGGGTTTGAACCCACAACACTCGGCGCAGTAGGAAGCGGCGTGGCGACCGCTTAAACCACTAGGCCATCCGTGCAGTCAACAAAGAGATTGTAATTTTTAAATCGTGATCAAAAATTTAAATTCAAGGATTTAGTCAAAAATTATACAGGTCTCAAATGAAGCATAGCTAAACAAATTAATAATATAATATATATATACAGATTTATGAACTTAAACATTATGTACAGACGTAAGAAACAGAAAATAAAACGCAAGGATTTGATTAGTCATAAGTTAGGAAACACAGAAAACATAGCATCGAACACATTTTTAATAAATGTTGTGAGATTGGTAATATTTTGTTTGTAAGTAGATAAAGTGTACAATGATTGGAAAGAAACTCAATACGTTATTTAAGGCTAACATTATAAAAAGGTGTCTTAAGCTAAGGTATATACTGGAACAGTTAGGTCTACATATAAGAATTGTACTACAATTTAAAAGTATATGGAAATACAATGGACATGGTCATATAACATGTACTGGAAGAGCTTATAAAAGTTTCAAAGAAGTCTTGTGAGCAGATAATACTGAGAGAATCGTGTTGAAAGCGTAATTTTGAATAGTTGGTAACGGTTTAGTTACGTGTGAAAGGTAAAGTCATATTTTTGGATCATTATGAAAAGCCGTCACATATTTGAGTCAGTCGGAACAAGAAAGAGTATTTAAAAATGGAATTTCAAGGTGATGGACACGTAAAACGAATCGGGTACCGAGATAATCTAACTGGATAAGTCGTTCGAGTTTATCTTAGAAAACTATTCACTGATCAAATCAAGAAACTAGAAAAATGCACAGTAACTTTCAAAATATAGTCCATCTAATCTAAGAGGTACCGTTTGACGTTAATAATAAAAATAGATTTTAACTGTCACATTTAAAATACCCTGCAAAATGATCGTTAAATTTTTAGCTAGCATGACAGGAACATCAAACTGAACCATCTGTATAAAATCTAACACACTCGGGTATTTCAAAATGGCGATAATTTAAATTTGCAGTTTGCATTATTGCATTTTCGAAAATATGCTACGAACTTGTGTCACTTTAAAATCGTCAGACCTTTGCAAAAGAGCATTTTGGAGTCCAAATAACATATCCCCAATATTTTTTTTTATATTATGACAACTCCCGCAGTAAGAATAAATCCTGCGTCGCGGGGGACTTTACAAACTTACATGAAACAGGCACAAAGAACACAAAGACTCAGAACAACAATTGTGGATCACACAAAGTGTTGTCCCATGTGGGGATCGATCATACAACACAGCAGTAGGAAGCGGCGAGGTGACTGCTTAAACCACCTCGCCATCAGTGCAGTTTTATATTTACAATTTTTTTTTATAAATATCTGATGCACCCAAATATTTTCTTTTTGATTTCCTCTCCTTACATTTTTTAAAACCTTTAGTCCTGTAACCACTATGAATGTTTCCCCACCGATGAACAAGTAAACATTACATAACTTTTATTCATTCTATTACCTAATATTTCATTACCTAATATTTCAAAAGCAACAGATCCCCACGACACTCGAGTAAATCCCCACTTAGCATCATGGGGTTCCCCTACTGCAATACTTGCTATATTAATAAATAACGATATTTATATTTTTAAATATGAACACACTTTCTTTTAAGACAGAGTTTAGATTTAGAGGATTATAATATTGTTTTATAGTATTACTTGAAATTATAGTAATGGGTAAGAAAAACAGTTTTATATTTATCGAGAAAATAATGAAAGGGATATATTTTCTAAGTTAACTAAGGTAAGGTATATCTTAATAGTAAACTAGTAATGTATAGTTTTGTGTAAAATAGAACAATTCATAGAACATCGTCAGCTTAAATATGAATTAAATTTTTAGTTGTTCTAATTATTCTAATGGAATTTAATACGGTAACTATTAAAAAAAAACTTTTATTTAACAGCATATCGTTCGATAGCTCATATTATTAAAACATGTATTACATTGTATTATGAAACACTTTTGAGCAAATCTTTTTCTTAAAAATTAACAATTTGTTCGTCTTAATAGCAAAAAAAGAATCAATCCCAAAACGGCAATATGTAAATAAAAAATATCAGTGGTAAATTAATGATTTAAAAAAATGACTTTCTTTAGATAATTTGTTAATAATCAGAAAAATCGAAAATTATTACAACCAAATTATTAAGTAATTTATTTATTTATAACTAGAGGCTATAAAACGAAAATATATTACGAGATATTTTATCTGAAATGACGATGTACTACGCGAAAGAGTAAAAATGGAATAAGAGAATTAAAAAAAAAGGTTGTTATAGAATTACAATTTAGAAGAAAAAAATTTTTTTTAGATTCAAACAAGGGATTAAAGCAGAATTTATTAAAATATAATTTAATGTTTAGTTTATGGATTACTTATGGCACTTACATCTGAAATAATCTGTATTGTTTTACTTAATATTATTACTAAATAAATTTATATTTATAGGAATTATCAGACCAAGTCCCATAAGTAGAATCACCGCGAATTCTACGGCATATCTACTTTTAGTATCATTGTTTATCATTTCCACTGACCTATCGCTTCTGCTGGCATTATGTCTTGTCTGTGGTATTCCATGCTGTGTATTTATGTATGTACACTACAACATGTGTACTGTACTGTGTATTTTGATGTGTACTAATTTGCAATACTATTTCACATACACTGTTACACTGTCACTGTATTTGCTCGATTAGTTTATTTCACTGTTATCCGTTCGTTTGTATGCGTATCGTTAATGAGCTCGTTTTGTTCAAATATTTCTCTAAGCTAATTTTCATTATTCTGTATTCGTATTTTTTTATATAAATTAATTTCATTTACGGATTAAGAATACGGAGTGTCACCACCCCTATTATTCCCGTGGGTATCTTAAGAGCCGACTGAGGGAGCAAACTACGCAGGACAACACGACACGACAAGGAAAGGAAAACTTGATCCACACCCTATACCAACCCGTTTGGGCAGCATGATATAGTAGGCTAAAACCTCCTTTCTAAGGAAAGGTCTATGACCAACAGTGAAAAATTAAAGGCTGTTGATGGTGATGATGACTATGCTAGTATTTCACAAAATTGTCTACAGATTATTACAATTTTAAAAACTATCCTTTAAAAGAGCAGCCGACTTAAAGGTGCCTAAATCGTGTTTTTTTTTTAAACTTGGTACTACGTTATAACCAATCTGTTATCGTCTGCGGTATTTCCGGACCGATACCACCCTCAAACCTTCAAGAAAAGAGCGTACTCCTTCTTAAAAGGCCGGCACCGCGTTTGTGACTCCTGAGTTGCAGACGTTCATGGGCGGCGATAGTCACTTTCCATCAGGTGACCCGTCTGCTCGTCTGCCCCCTCTAACATACAAAAAAAAAACAAAAATGGCTAGCCTGATTGACAGTTTGTAAAAAGTAATGAATTTATTTTAGTTAAAAATGAGTTAAATACGTTCACGAGTTCAGTAGACTCATTTTGTTATACAACAGCTGTTTGTGACAAGAATGTGGAGAATAAAAATGATGTCAGAGAACTTCGTCAGAGAATAATAATCAACTAAATAGATTTAAAACTATATATAATTTTATAGCTAACGCAAGTAAAGAACACAATTGTGATTGTTGTTCTAGTGACTCATCTCGTCCTATTTACCCATTCATGGATGAGTAATTCACAAAGAATTTTGTTAAGTTACATTTTGGCAATAATTTAAAATTGCCACACCTGCATGTAGTTAATTCTTGAGGCGTTATATGCACGTTTTAATACGCGTGGCGCAAGCTGTCAGCGCTCTGCCAATTCGCCTGCCAAATACCTGGCTAAGCTTGAACTTGTTGTTATGTACAAAGGTATTTTGTATAGATAAGACTGCATACCATTCGAAATATTCGGGCTATGGACGCAACAATATTATCTAAAGAACTTAAGACAAAAGAACTAAAGGTATATAGACTTATAATTGCATTTTGATTACAATAACTAAAAATTGTAAATCAGTTTCAGAAACTCTTTTTTACTGTATGATATTTTAGCGACTCAGTATTATAGGAGTGATAGTAAACATATGCTTGCTATAACCACAATTATCCCACCAAGTGTTTGTAGGATACCCGTCAAAAATACTAATTCTTGATAATCTTAAATCTGTAAACTATCAAAAATAATCCCAGGGATGACTGCCAATATAAACCTTGAGCATCTTCTGACGTCAAGACATGACGTTGAACCTATGGGTTTAAGAGATGCCAACATGTGAAACCTATCCATTTTAAATATGGTATAATAATATATTATCTATCTAAACGAATTTAGAAATGAGATCACTGCGTCTGGATAAAAACAGAAGCTTTTTAATAATATAAAAAAAAATTGGATCTCAAGAATACCTTTGTTCCTACATTTAAATATAGTTTGTATAAATATATATTAAGGTAATAACGGAATCACAAGACATTTTTACAGTATTTTGATCCATTTTTAACCATTAAAGATCTTTGGGTGGGGCCAAAACCTTGGTGGGACCTTTTATTATACCTTATATAAGGCCACCCTTTTGCAATGGGAGTTATTCCACCAAAATTTCCTGCTACTGGAAATTCGACAAAAACCTAGCACGATACTTGGTGATTTTCAAGGAAACTTATCGTAAATTAAAGGCGTCTAAATTAAAGGATATTAGGGTACTTGAAAGAAGACTTCTTGAAGTACAGGCCATAATACCGAGACTTAAAACTAATTTTGCAGTTCATGTTGAATAGTCTGATTACTTCCAATCTTCTCCGCATAAGCTAAACGATTTAGTTAGACTGCACACACATCTTTTGATTAATTAGTTGCCTAATAGAACACTCAGTTTTGGACTTGTCTTGGACTGATCGCTGCGAAAAAACCTTCGGTTAAGGTAGTAATGTTGTAGAGTTTCGTACCTCAAAAGGAAAAACGGAGCCCTTATAGGATCACTTTGTTGTTCGTCTGTCAAAGCCCCTTTATCTCGGAAACGCGTAGAGGTATTGAGTTGAAATTAAAATCATATGCTCTGGTCTAAAGTCCCTTGAAACTGTAAAAAATAAAGCTTCTAAGTTAAGGTGAAAAAAAGATACACCTATTTATGCCGCATATTTCGACACTATCAAGGGAATCAAAATTCATAAGGTACTTCCCGTTGATCTAGAACATCGTCTGATACTATAAGTACAGGGAAGACTCTGAAAGCCATAGATCTTTTTATACGTAAAACGTAGTAATTATGCCGAGACGAGTATATAACCATGACAAAATGCGATTCCGACCTTCACTAAACCGGCTGAGGGTTATACAAAAAGATTTGTCTCGACTGAACATTTGTCCAGTAAAGATAAGACAAAACAGGAGTATAAGGAATAAAAGGAATAAGCAAAAAATCTTCTTCTGTCTTACCATTCCTTTCTTAAATTAGTTTATTCATACGTATGAAAAAAACCGGTCAGGTCAGTCGAACTCGTGCGCCGAGGGTTCCGTACCTACCTAGATTTTACGTAGATTTTCGCTAAAATTTGTAAGTACCAAAATTTATCTTAATTTTCAACTTTTTTATTTTTTGAAATTATTCCTTTTTTTGTGCTGTAAGACGAATCTTTTTGCCAAATTTCGTGATTCTTTCTTTCTTTCTTTCTTTCGGGAACTACCATGTAGGTTTTCGACCTAAAACCTGTAAGGTACTACTGGTTGACCTAGAATTGTCAATTTTGGTTAAAAGCAAGGTCTTACAGCACAAGTAAAGAGAAAATTCTGAAAAATAAAAAAAGTTCAAAATTAAGGTAAATTTTGATACTTACAAGTTTTCGCGAAAATCGAAATTTGCCCATATATTTTTATCGTGTTGACGCCTTGATCTTTATACACCTATATAGGGATCATGGACCTCAGAATCTGGTATAAATTTCAACTTGCTAGGTTCACCCGTTCCTGAGAAAATCGGTGGTGACACACGGACAGACGGACAGACGGACAAGAAAGTGATCCAAGTACAACAAGGAAGTGAGTTCCTTTTTTACCTTTTGAGGTACGGAACCCTAAAAATAAACTCAACCTTTAATTTCGTTTTAATTAATGTAAAGTTTGATCGAAAATATTTATAAGTTTTAAAGCCATTTATGTTTACAAGCTCATAGTGCATTTAAGTACTTTAATTAAGGACTCATATTACCATTATAGTATACCTTTCTATGTTAACTATAGATCCTGAAACACTAAAAAGACAAAACGCTGTTGGATTCCAATACAATTAGTTGCACATTTCTGTATTTTATTTGAAGCCATGAAATCAAATGCTTTTCATTAATAAGTTTCGTGTACTCTTAACTTAAACTGCTGTGTGCATAGTACTTTATAATAAATAGTACCAAATCACTATAGCAACTAGAAATATTTTGGCTGCTGTATAACGATGATAAACTGCTAACATTGTATGAATCAACCGTCATTCATAAATCGACAAATATTTAGAAAATAAATTGCTACTGCAATTGTAAATACGGATACAACTATTTATTAATATTTGAAAACTCGCTCAGTAGATTGGCAGACATAATAAAGTGTGAACTTGAAATAGCTGGTACTATTCTTAGTACCACCCACGATGGCAACGTGTAAATAGGTACGAGTAAATACTATCTCTGACTCACAAAAATGTCCCGAAACTTACTTTCTCTGTTGAGTTTGGTCAAAATTGTGTTATTTTATATATATTTAAATTGTGAGATGCAAAGATTTTTAGATACCAAGAATTTATATGTAAAATTTTAAAATGTAAACAGAATGATGTCAACGTTTAAGAAAACCCAATAGAAAGTTCTGTTTATTCAAGGCCAATCAAGAAAATCTTTGAGGGAACAGAAATATATACAAATATGTATGATGTAGTTATACAGATGTGTATTCAAAGACATATCAACGTTCTGAAGTGGTATTTCGAAACAAACAAGCGGAAATGTATGTCCGCTCAATTTTATGACCACCGAACGTTTTCAATTATTGACGATTAAAAATAGAATCAGAAGCAAATTCTGTGGAAGAAACAAAGTTAGATTTAAAAATTTATTACTATTGCTTCGAACCCTTATAGTGGAATAACGTGTTACTGCTTAGAAATTCTCTCTAAAAAGATTTCTGGCTAATTTTTTTAATTAATTCACATCCATAGCTTGAATTATGATGAAGTCAGATATTTCGGAAGATAAAATTTATTTTAATATTTTGTATTTTAATATTTAATTTGTAATAAATGAGAGATAACACTGCGCTTTGAATATTTTCCTACAATGCTTTATAAAACAAATAAATTTTACGAAAGTATTAGAAAATTTAAAGAAAAGAAATTACCGTATTTTAAAGCAGTCTTATTCAATCAGCAGAAAACTTAGTTGTCTAATCTTTAATCTTATCTCATTTCAACAAGTGTTCTAAACACGATTGATTTTAATTTTATTACGATTTTCACTATAATGTTTTGTCTGTCACAGATAGATAGAATCTGTCTTAGACAAAAAAGTTAAAAAATCAAGTATGAATTAAAATTGTCGTTCTGACTGTTGTTGGAGTTATGAAATAAATAATTTTAGAAACCAGTAAAATCAGACTTGAAAGTGATTTTCTTGTCTGATCTGATAAATGTTTCAGAAATAATGTGATCAGAAAACTGGTTTCTGCTTTGTCGCTGTCAGGTTCAACTTACATAGGTTCTGCGGCATTCAATAGAAATACCCGAAAAATTACTTTTAAGCAAAAAAGTACAAGAAAGCAACTAGCTGCTAAATTGATTTCAGATGATGTCATTCAAGCGACAGTTCTAAAAGTTGATACTGAAGCGAAAGAAGTCTTCGACGTTCAAATGTCAGTGTACGACGCGCCAATCGACGCCGCGTTCCTCTCTGTTTAATATACCACAAAGTTAACTAGCATGTCTAATCACTCTTAAATTAAAGCAGCAAGACCTACAATCCCTTGATTAATGATACAAAAAGTTTGTCAGAGAAAGAGTCCACAAATTTAATTTTGCGAAATTAAAAGCTCTTATGCATTTGAGAATAAGGTATGTTTCGGGCTAAACGAATTGAGAAGAAAGTTTGTTCGTGGGATACAGACCTGGTGGGCCAGTCTAAATGCGTCCGCGTCTTTGGCACGGCACTGGGGCAAGGACGTGCAGCGCCTATGCAGTCGGCAGATTGATTGACCGATTAATCTTAGCTAGACAAGACAGATAAAATAAAATATTATCGATTTCACTTCGTGAAACTTTAATCCGTATTTACTTTCAGATCCCCTTAAAATAGATTTGAAAAAATAATAACGGAAGAATCTGTCCGGCCAAGATCGATCATCAACATGAACGTACTAACATTGTCTAGTAAAGACGATTTGGGTTTTTTTAGGTAGTTAGGCTACGTAACTGTTAAACTAAGCAAAATCTTAATGAAAAATTCTGCCATCAAATTTGTGTTTAGTTTAGATTCTATAATCTCACCAGTTTTCATCTGAAAACGAAGAAATTTTCAACCTACCCATCTGTTGAAGATATTGTTTGTACTTCTAACATTATGTCTTTGTTAAACTTTGACCAATGAGTGATTGCCCAACGTTTGCATCAAGTCAGTTCCGTTTCAGATATTTTATCAATCGCATATACGTTAATAAATCATGCTTGTTGGCTGCTGTGGCTGTGACGTCATTGTCATATTTTTGTTTCTGTATTTTCTCTTGATGATGTGATGTTTTTCTGTGTTGACATTAAAGTGCATTTGTCTAAACACTTTGGTTTTTAAATATTTGCAAGCAATCCAAACTAAGTGTTATCTTTTTATTTTTAATGGTACTTTTATTTACAATTTAATATTATCAATTATTGAATTATGTTGATTCGTAACATTTATAATTGTTATCCGTGTTTCATGATCATTAATGAATATCACTTCACTGAACACATGGCGGTGTGGGGATGATGTTATATACAGTATACACAGGGTACAATGGGGTCGAATGGCTATAACAGGAGTATTACGAAACGTTCGATCGCTACCGATGCTAGTTGGTATGCGTGCGCGACCGCGCGTGCGTTGCTCGCACTTCCACACCCGTGACTGAGACTATGATGTATTTTGATACACGCCTATATGTATGCTATCGGTTTTGTATTAGCATTAACTATTCAATAATATTAGTGTTGTCCTCTGATCTGATCGATTATTTTATACAAATTTCTTCTTTAAGTATCAGTATTCAGATTGAGCTTGAAAGCTCACTGCGAATTCTTATACAGGAAATATTCGAGTAGAATTGTTCTCTTTTAATTTTAAATATTTTTTGAAACAGTACATTTAGGCGATCTGAAACATGAATTTTAAAGAGAAGTACTTAATATTTTAGTGCAGGAGTTTGGTATTACGTACTCATGTTGCTTTTATTATAAAGTTACTGATTCGTTCATTAAATAACAAAGATACGGTGAAATAGTAAAAGTTGAATTAAAATTTATTAATTGTCGTTCTAATAACAATAGCAGAACACCTGAAGGCCGAATTCTCGTAATAAGAGTTCGAGCACAATTCAGTTTCGATCAACTTTCGATCTCACAACTATCATAAAAGGTATTTTCGTAGTAAAGTTTTAAACATCCAACGTACAGCGTGATTATATCGTATTTTAACCGAAAATTGAATCGGTAATCTGCTAGTCTTAGTAATACTTTACTATTAAAATACCTTTTATGACAGCTGTGAGAGTGAAAGTTCATCAGAACTATATTATGACCAAACTTTCATCATGAGAATTGGCTTTCTGTACATAGTTTCCAAGTGTATTTAGGTGCAGATATACGAGTCCTTTGATCGAAGTTCGAGCCGATCGAGCCAGAATTACATATTATGCAATTCATCATCTCATCCATTCTCGAGGTTTTCTCTCATGAACACATTAAACAAAACAAACACTTGATTCAAGATACTTACTTTTTTAGTCAGGTTTTCTTTTTAAACCATTCCTTACTGATTTAAGACACCAGTACTCACTACGTAACATGTAGTAAAATGCGCTATCTGCGCCACTGTATATTCATCGTCATCATCATCAACTGCCTTTTACAGTCCACTGCTGAACATAGGCCTCTCCTTAGGAAGGAGGTTTTGGCCTATTATACCACGCTGGCCAGACGGATTGGTATAGGGTTTATTTCAAGTTTTCCTTCTCTTTGCAATGCTGTTGTCCTGCGCAGTTTGCTCCCTTAGTCGTCTCTTGCGACACCCACGGGATGAACAGGGGTGGTGACATTCCGTATCCTTACTCCATCACCACACGGACATAATGTTTATGTTAAAGTATTTAAAATACAATTTCGATATTGTTTCCAGTCATGTTCCTGCATAATATCGGAGTTCTTCACATTGGGTCTTAAGGTATTCATTTGAAAATCAGCGCTTTTGCTGTCCCAAGACATCCTCTTTTAATGCTTTTATTTCTTGACTGGTGTGTATTTTTAATGTCGATTTGTTTTCCTACCTCTATTGTTACAAATACAAAATATCTTTATTTACACATTTAGAATTAATTTGTGATTGGAGCCCCCTTTTAAGCAAACATTGCCTGTGTTAGGACATTTCGCTAGAATACCTAAATGATTTGTCATGAGCTGTATACTAGTATGTGTGTGTGTGTGTGTGTGTGTGTGTGTGGTTAGTAAATAACTATATCATTACATTTTTGATTTTAAGTTACAAAAAAAAATGTTATTTTCTTCCTTATTCTTTCCCAACACCTCATCCAAAAGTTGAATTAAATAATTAAAGAAAGAAGACAGCTACTCTACTACTAGCTACTCGTCGAGAAAAAAACATATCACAGTTCTTCCAATAACAAATGTAATTATTTTATTTACAATATATGATAGACAATTTATTCTACTTTGTAGCGCCATTTTGTCATGTTAGGCATGTATTGTATATAAAACAGAGAACAAGTGCCAAACATTTAGTTACAATATACAGACGTTTGACTGGCAACCAATAGCGAATATCTGTCTGCGTAACTGCTGTGCAGTACATAACGCCAAAGATAAGATCTATGATCTGTGATTAGAAAGTTCTTCGGACGTCGAAATGATCGTCGGACGTCGATATTTTGTGATAGTACCTATATTTTATTATAAAATCAACCCAAATTATTTCGTAGCGTTAAGTTACGGAATATTTAATTCTACGTAATATTTTGTTTCATTCATTCAATCATGTCATTACACGTTTTAATCCTTGCTAAGCTCAAAAATAAAGTTATTCAGTACCTTAGGATTTATTAGGTATTGGTGTAATTGGCTATCTAGGTTCAGACTTGAAGAAGTCCCTTTTGTAAGAATCCCGATGGAAGTAAAACCATATATATATGTAACTAGGTTTTACCCGTAGCTCCGTCCGCGTAAATGTGTTTCCTCAAGCATCGAAGTATCTCCATACCAAATTTCATCTAAATCTGTTCGGCGGTGAATGATTCCCCATACAAAACTACACCCCCCTTTTCACCCCCTTAAAGGATGATATCTGGGATAAAAATTACCCTATTTCCTTTCCCGGGACTGGGACTATCTCTATACCAAATTTCATCTAATTCGGTTCCGTGGTTTAAGCGTGAAGATATTACAGATAGACAGTCAGAATGGCAGACATACAGACGGACACAATTTCGCATTTATAATATTAGTATGGATAACTATCATTTAAAAAAGTTTTCATTCTCATCAAATATACTTACACAAAATTGACTATAAACAAATAGGTACATTTTTGCTCTACTGGCTTCTGACCTCGCTAGCTTTTAAGGTCAGAAGTTGAGATGTTATTCTATTTTTAAACATAGCCATAGTGACATACGTGACGTACTCAGCCAATCTGGGCGTCATATCAAATAGTGTTTCAATAGACTGTCGATGGAATGTCGTCGGAATAGTTTGAACTTTTCTTATTCTACTAGGTATGTAACACCAATGGATGACTTCTCACTGATACAAATGTCGTCAATGTTTTTATAACAGTTTGGTAAACGGTACATTTTAAATTAGTAAGAAAATGATATATTTAATTTTCCAGGTATGGCAATATTGTTGATATCACCATTGATGACCGATATTACTATATAGACAGTCTATTGACACTGTGAACTTATGTTATTAGAATACTGATATTTTGACCGATGTCAATGGCGTGTCAACGGCATCTCAATACTGTGTCAATGGATGACAGTGGCTTGGCGTTAACATAAAATAGCAGAATTGAAGCCCAGTTCGCACTCTGTACGACTGAATGTTAGATTAATATTAGATTTTATTAATTTATTTTATCAACTCGGAATGTATGACACTTTAAAATTAACTTTCTTGTTGCTGCATGTCCAAATTTTGATCGACCAGTTTTCAGTGAGATAGTATTTACTTTCTTAGTATTTATTTTAAATCATTATTATAGATTTCCGAATTGTGAACGTCGTTATACAGTATTAAAAAATATTTGTTCTGTGCTGAAATGGAATAGATACCTAATACATACATTTAACAGTTTCAGATTTGCTATTGAGAGAGTGCAGGCTCGAAAGCCCTGGTTATAAATGAGTACTAAGCTTATTTGAAAATATACTTTACTCGACTTTAAAAAATACATAAGTTTAGTACTCGTATACATAATACAGTTCTAATATAAGAGAACAATACTTTTTTCAGTTCTAAAAACTGCTGTAACCATTATTCGACGGGTCTGTTGGTCTAGTGGTTAGTGACCCTGACTGCAAAACCGGAGGTCGTGGGTATGATTCCCACCCAGGACAAATATTTGTGTGATGAGCACGATTATTTGTTCTGTGTCTGGGTGTAATTTATCTATAATATGTATGTATTTAGAAATATATAAGTAAGTTTATCAGCAGTCTGGTTACCATAGCACAGGCTCTGCCTAGTTTGGAATCAGACAGCCGTGTGTGTGATGTGTGAGGTTATTATTATTATTGAAACAGAATCAAATTGGAATGAATTTAATTACAAGAATATTTTACATTAACAGAATACTATTACTTTTTAGAGTTAGGTTGTTTGTATAAAATATATATGTGTTAAGTCACAGCCGTCCAGTATCTCGGAAGTATCTAAAAAAAATGTTTAATTTCAATAAATAAAATAAATTTTCAATAAAGTTCAATTTAAAGAAACTCTGGCTCGTAAAAGCAATCTGTGGAATAATCTTGAAACCGTCAAAACCAGGGTTTACAACCACCTTAACGCCCGGCAACGCACTACAATTTTGTTGTAAAAACACAAATTCAGTTATTATGGAAGCCTCTTCCAAGGGCAAACGAGAAGTCGGGTCACCCAATGGAAAGTGACTACCGCCGTCCATTAACGCCTAAAACTCAGGAGTTACAAACACATTGCTGGCCTTTTAGGAAGGAGTACGCTTTTTTCTCGAAGGTTTGGATGAAAACTTGTTCCACAGATTGGTGCCAGGCAAAAAGTGTCTTGAAAGTACACAGTGGTAGAGTGCTAATTATCAAAGTTGCGAACGACGGCGGAAAGTTGTGGCCGGTATTAGTCCGAACAATTCCTAGGAGCACTCTCTATGGGAAAAGCAGAATACATTTTTACATGAGTGAGGTTGTCGTAGGACCAAATTACCCCTGATTATGACAGGAGGGGGGGGGGGGGAATACTGCAAGGGCGGCAACTCACTTGTGTCTCTTCCGTTGGCGGAGGTATTCACTTACCATCAAGTGACATGTCTCCTCGTTTGCTCCCTACACAATAAAAAAAACACCAAGAAATTAGTAATTTATACATCTTTAGAGCATCCAGCCACATGCAAGCACTTCCAAATATTATTAAGGATTATTCACCTGAATGTTCAGGAAGGAGGCATTTGCGAATCAACTATCTCGAGACATCGTCTTAGCACGTCGAGCCCGTCCAGGCGAACAGCCAGTACTCCACACACAGAGGTCCCGCTCCGAGACCGGACGGGAACTACTTCCGTATAACCGGGGCTACCAACACCATACGCTAGCAGGTCACCCAAGTAGAGGTATGCGTATCTGGAAAATATATTTTCATTAATAATAATAAAGGAGTTGTCTTATCCCTTCGAAGTTGTACAGGCATACTGTACAACTTCGAAGGGATAAGACAACTCCAGCATTAGGAATATTATCCTGTGTCGCGTGGAACTTTCCAGACATTCATGAAACGAACACAAAGAACACCCAGAACCAGAACAAAAATTTATGGATCAAACAAAGTGTAGTCGTATGTAAGGATTGAACACACAACACTAAACGCAGTAGGAAGTGGCGAGGCATCTGCTTAAACCAGTTAATGATATGATAAAAAGAGATACCATACTATATCCCGGAGTGTCACCACCCCTATTAATCCCATGGGAGTCGCAAGAACCGACTAAGGGAGCAAACTATGCAGCACAACAGCTCTGCGAAGAGAAGGAAAACTTGAAACAAACCCAATACCAACCCGACCGGTCAGCGTTGTATAGTAGGCCAAATCCTTCTTTCTAAGGAGTGGCCTATGTCCGGCAGTGGACTATAAAAAGCTGTTCATGTGATGTGATGTGATATAACTTTTTATAACACGTATTCTATATATACATCTCTCTCTCTCTGTAGGAAATTTCAATAACAAAGAATTCTCCTCACGTATTAATAGATGTACTTAAGTAAAGATCAATGGTTACCCAATATCTTCACATATATCCAAGCCCAAAGGATCCTCAGGTGGTTCACTGATCACAGAGAACACAATGCAATCCTTATCAGTCTTGGAGACCTGACTGGTAGCCCGACATCTAGCCATTTCACCCAGCATTGGCATATCGTCTTTCTCTATCTGAAAGGCTAAAAGAAAGAAAAAATATTTTGGAGTAACGCAGATAAGTTGAATTATGAGATTAATATTTTATCAGTTGTTCCAAGGCGTTGAGCTATACTAAGCAGAATGAATATTCGTGAAGAGTTTGGTAATGACTCATGCATAGAACGATGATTGATGATTTAACTCATAACACAACATTAAAAAAACCTTACCACAACACAACACAAAAAAAAACACAGTATAAAGCCTAAACATGAGCTATTCTGCAGACTACTTGATGCAGCAGCAAGTTTCAGGTTACCATGTCGTGGAAATATCATCAAAGTAACAGTATACCAAATTTCAGATCAATCGGACCTGTGGATTTTAGTGAGATCCCTTCATCACCTAGGTAGGGAGCCGATGATCTTCAAAAATTATAGCTAAGAACCATCTCGATCACATCGGCTTTCGAATAAAAAAATCCGCATCGAAATTGGTACATCCGTTCCGGAGCAATACCACAGACAGACAGATACACAGGTTAAACTTATAACACCCCTAGTTTTCGTCGAAAGGCAGATGTGCCACCAACGCACAAAACGCTTAGGTCCTAATTAGGACCACTGTGAGCGAGCGCACGTACTAATTAAATCGAGAAAATTCATAAAATGCTTCCTGTGTATTCCCAAAGTGCAAAAATTACGACAAAAGGTAAATAAAGATAAAGGAATATCATACCACAGGTATATATATGTTTTGTTCTAAAATGCATTAATAGATGTATGTGCTGTTACGGAACAAATATTTTGTGAGTGCAGTATGAATATAACGTATCTTCCTTGAAATATTATTGCCTAAATAAATACCTTCACCCAACAAAAGACAAAAGTCTGACTTCTTTAAACTCAAACTCTCTTTATTTCAAAAAAAAATTTAAATTGTTTGAAATCTTCTTTTAATATGACTCTAAAGTCATAGATCAACACACACAAAAGCAACGATCTCTGTTTTGTCAAATACTAAACAAATAAATTTAACAAAAACTAAACCCATACAAAATCTATGATATGCCTGTGCCGAGTATGTTTAGTACAGCTTATTTATTCAATACAAATGAATTTGGTCATCTAAGCGTTCTAGGAAGGTACACAGGCTAACTTTAGTGACACATTTTTTTATAGAGCAGGAGGCAAACTATTATACAGGTCACCTGATGGTAAGTGATTACCGCTGTCCATGAACACCTGCAAATCAAGCGTCACAAGTTCTTCACCCCCCACAATTAGGGAGAGGGGAGGTTTCAGGCTCCGGTAACCTCACTAACTCAGACGAAATATCTTATCCGAAAATCAAAACTTACTTTTCTTAAAATTGAAATAACACTTGTCCACATAGTGTTTGGGCTTAGGCAGACTGACAGGGGTCTCGAGATCTGCACCAGAATATCCTAGGAATTCGTAAGACACGTATACTCTCTGCACTCGGGGATTCAACATCGCCTCGCACTCCTCGTTGAGAGCCAGCCAGAGAATTGTGATGTCAATGCTCAGTTCTTCCTCTTCGGGCTTATCCTTGAAATATATAATACATAAATTTAAATATATTTAACATCATCATCATCATCATCATCAGCCTATCGCAGTCCACTGCTGGACATAGGCCTCTCCCATTGCACGCCACTTAGATCGATTTTGGGCTTCTCGCATCCAGCTAAATTAAACATGATCAGGTGAAATAATATAAATTAAAACTGCATATATCTTTACACGCAGCAGCCTGATCTCAAAGTAAACGAGTTCTTCCCCCTAATATATAACTAAATTAAAATTTATACAAAGAAAAATATCCTTACATGGCACAGTATACTTGCATGTATATGTATGTATGTGCGGGTGTGTATGCACCTGTGCGTGAACGTGTTTGCGCCCGTGGGAGTTTGTGTGTGTGCGTGCGGGTATGTGTGTGCGTGTGTGTGTGTGTGTGTGCGTGTGTGTGTGTGTGTGCTTGCGAGAGTGTATCTGCTTGTTTTATATCTTGTCCCACATAGAAATCGTGAATTCTTCTACGGATTCTCTTCGCTAATCTATGGATTTTAACCACGCAGTTAAAACTATTTTAAAGATAATTACTTTACATACTTTCCCAATGTTAAATTTATTAGACACACGAGGAGCTAAGAAATTAGTGTGTCTCTTAGCCAATGTCGACTTAGTGCGAGGATCAGGGCATCGTTCTATACGTCTTTGTGAGACAGGTAAGTGAGGAATAACTCTTTTGTGGTATCTTCGTAGCATTTTATACAGAAGTATCTTTCCAAGAGATAGGACATCTGTCAATTCACACACGGAAGACGTGGGATGTTGGTAAGGCAAGGATACGAGCACCTTATGCATCATATGTTAGGCCTTCGCCATTCCAATCATATGAGTTTTTGCAGGGCCTTGACACCCCCCCCCCCCCCCCCCCCTCCCCTACCAAACACAAGTACAGCGAGTTAATCATTCGCAGACTGTGTCTGTATGACTAGATTAACAGACGCTACTGTACGCAAGTTTTTAAATATTTAAACTAGTTTCCTAACTCTGGTCATAGTTGAAATAAGATGTGCTCTCCACGTAAGTTAATCAAGACACAGGACAAATGATCGTATTCATCACAAAATCATTTGTTCTGGGTAGGAATCTAACCCACGACCTCTGGCGTAGCAGTCAGGGTCCACTAGACCAACAGGTCCGTCATAACCATAAACTTTTTCCCCAAAGGGTAGACAAAGGCATAACAAACGCACTCAGACTATAACTTTAGTCCACTACGCAACAGGAGTTAAGTCTATTGACGATGCATTAATAATATTATTACCTTTTTTGGCTCTTCTGAGACTTTGCTGGCTCGTTTTGAATTAATTTTGACTTGCTTTTTTGTCTGGTCTGCTCTTGCACCTAGAACAACATCAATATGTAGGACCTGACTTATTGTTATTATTATTATCTTACAGCTAAAGCACCAGAAGACTTAGGCGTGAGGGGTCTATGGACCCCGGTCGGAAGGAAATTCCTTTCGCTTTCATTTAGGCGTTTGCTATATGTATGAAATATGAAAAAAATGTAAGCGTCGACGCGCCAACTAACTAAAGTGTCGGAAAACAGTCTTGCTACACCTTTTTCGGTCTCGCTCCCATCAGAGCGTGTAAAGTGCCATAAGGAACTTCGTCCCAACATCAAAAACATATTACTACAGAATCTATACTTATGATATCGGAATAAGTCAATTAAAACTGACTGACTGACTGAATTCTGTCTATCAATCAAAGCAGCCTCTTCTCTATCACGCCACTCATGGCGGTTTAGTGCCAGCTGGATCTAATGCTCTCCTACTACCCTCACAATGTCGTCTGACGATCGGGCAGGTGGTCTGCCTCCAGTATTTAGTGATAACCTTAAATTTGGTGTCATTTAAATTAAAATATTTTGTAATTATTTTTATGCACCTATAAATAAGAAAGAGTAAGAGGAGTTATATCACGGCTTTAAAGAAAACCGATATTAAGCAATTATTCCACGGCTATGATTCTGGGGGAGCCGAGGGGGGGGGGGGGTTAAACTGACTGACTAACTTTAGAGGTTTTTTTAACCCCATTATTAGAAATATATATCCTGTGTCGCAAGGACTTCACAAATATACATGAAACGGACACAAAGAACACCCGGACTCACAACAACGATTTGTAGATCACACAAAGTGGTGTTCCATGTGGGCATCGAACCCACAACACTCAGCGGCGTGGCAATCACTTAAACCTCTATGGAGACATCTATGCAGACGAGTCATTGTGACACGTTTGCTCCCGCCATGAAAAAAGCTTAATTTAAGAATTTGCGGGTATATTATTACCTTCGTTCTTCTGTGCGTTATACTTGGCGTACAATTTCGCAATGTTGTCATATTTTCTGTTTATATCAGTGATGTCACTTCTTTTACTTCCGAAGGAGGTCCTTGGAAGCAGAACTGCTGGCTCCAGACTTATGTCTTGAGATAAAGTACTTGCCGTTTCAAACCTTCTAGCTATAAAATGAAATCATTATTACTTAGTCCCAATATTCAGTGAAATCTGGTCCAAACGTCAGACAATGGCGTAGATGACTGTCAAATCAAATCAGTAACTTTTCAATAAACGTCGAAACGAATAAACGTGGTCCATTTGTGTAAATAAAATACTAAGGCGTGACGTCATACTTAGCTAGAGAGAAGAGTTTGTTTGTTTGGTTGAAGCGCTAATCTCAGGAACTACTGATTCGAATTGAAACGGGCCAAAAAGGAAATTCCCTTTGAAAGACGCAAACGAAGTTGCGGTCAGTTCATCATCAACAGCCTTTAACAGTCCACTGCTGGACATAAGCCTCTCCTTGGAAAGGAGGTTTTGGCCTACAATACCACGCTAGCCAGACGGGTTGGTATAAGGTTTGTGACAAGTTTTCCTTCTCTCTGCAGTGCTGTTGTTCTGCGTAGTTTTTTCCCTTAGTCGGCTCTTACGACACCCACGGGATGAATAGGGGTGGTGACACTCTGTATTCTTAATCCGTCACCACACGGCAAGCGGCGGTCAGTTAGTTTGAAGATATTTAAAAAAAAACATTAAATTGAAAACACAGGACAATTCATGTTGTACTTTAAGATGTTACATTTAATGATTAAGGTGAAATTATTTATATCAAACATAGGAATCTACCCTAATCAAAGCTATGCAATACCTCATTGGGTGTCATGTCCCTCCGCAAAGAGGGGATCCTCCGACCAGGCGAGGTCTGGTGGTCATGCTTAGCGTGCCGCGGCCCAATGGTTGATATTGGGAAGTTTTTAATATACTAATCGGTGTGAGAATTATTCATATCGCGACACAGGATTAGCAGTTACTCTGTAGTTCGGCGTGTCTCCGTTAGATGGCGCTGTAGTATGTTTTTGTTTCATAGTATGTGGAAGACGCCACAACGTGACCGCGGTGATTCCGTAATTACATATCATGGAACACTCAAAGTTTAAAATCGAGTTCTACAAATAAATACTCACTCTTTTTACTGTTGTGATCTTCCATTATATTACTTAGAAAAGTCTGTAAAACCAAAGTATTATATACAGGGTGTAAGGGACATCGTAACGAATACTGTAATAGTGAATTCAGACCATCATTCTAAGTCTAAATTAAAGGAATTTTCTGCCGTAAACTTGAACTTTTTATGCAATCAGCTGTCAAAGGTAAATGTCATTCCCCGTAGGTATCGCACAAAAGTAATAACTAGATGTAAATTAAGATAATTACTTGTTAAAATTACGTATTAAATGCTTTTTAATACATACATTCTTTGATACAACATATGAGCTCGACTGGTGCAAAGCATTTCTTTTGTTGCTCTTCACCGAGTGTAAAAAGTTACCGGATGAAGGTTTCATCATCATCATCATCATCATCAATTATCAACAGACTTTAATACTACACAGCTGGACATAGGCCTCTCCTTAGAAACGAGGTTTTGGCTTACAATATCGCGATGGCCAGACGGGTTGGTATAGGGTTTGTTTCAAGCTTTTCTTCATCATCATTCACATCTGACACAATGCTATCTAGCCCCAAACTAAGCAGGGCATGCACTATGAAAGCTAGATTGACTAAAAGAATACTTATATACTTTTTCTTTTAAATACATGCATATGTAACATAGAAAACACCCATACCCGAAACAAATATTTGCAGATCATAAAAAACATTTGGTCCGATCCGGGCATCGAACCCGAGACCACAGCACAGCAGTTGCATACGCTACCACTGCACCAACGAGGCAGTCGTTAATATGCTGTCATGTCTGTGTTGGTTGGTACGGGATGATATTAATAAATACTATTCGCGTAAAGAAAATAGTGGCGTATTGAACAAGCTCCGCCCCCTGACGATGTTGGGACTTGATCGAAGCGTCACTATTTTCTTAATTCGAATAGACTGTCAGTCTAAACATCGGGAATTTAAACTTACCGTATTAGACATATCCGTTGACTGGTGCTGGCCAGGTTGTCTCTACACAAAAAATAGTATCTAATCTATAACTCCTCTTTTTAGAGAAATTGTAGACTAGTTACGCTACTCTTTAAAAAGGACGAAAAAACACATACACGTTTGGGGTTAACAGTATGATTGGTTTTAAATACACTTAAAAGAAAAGGTTCCATCGATAATTTAAAGAATTTTATGAAAATGCGTAAATAGTTATTAGCTCCTATTAAACATTACTAGTTTTCAATTCATTTTTCTTTTATTTTAGGCAAGTGTCATGCATTTATCCATGACACATTACACATTACGATTAGGTATAGTATTGTATATTATACTTACTGCTGGGTTCTGTTTTTCAGTATCCTGTGGAAAAAGATATCTGTACTGTCGTCTGTCAAAATGACACGTATTATGCCTGAACTATTTTAACTTAAAAATAACAGTTTTTATTTGGTGACCATTTTGATATTTGGTGAAATTAAAATTGTTATTGAAGTTTCAAGAGTTGGGAGATCTACGTTTGCTAATGTCAAATTAAATTGAACCTTCGCCCACCTATATGCATACCTAAAAATACGGTAGTGTCTTTTACTACGTAATAAGGGCGGTATGCTGAATCATATGTGACTTACTTAATGAGAAAATAATCATTATTAATGACTAAAAGAGCAAAAATAAATTATAGTTTAAGAAAACTAAAATGGGCTGCTAGATCTCAATTATTGTTAAAATATTTTATTGACAGATATCGGCAATAGTAAAGTTGTTTTTATAATAAAATATCTTGAAAAGCACACCACGTTTTTCCTTTTTGAAGTTTTTTTTTCTACTTTTTACTTCGGTTAGATACAAAAACGTGTTTTCAGTTTTTTTTACTATTCTTTTTGATAAAACATGTTCCTGGCAAAAAAGCAGAACACTTACACTACTAAGTGAGCAGTTTTAAACATGAGGCGAGGTTATATCTTTTTACCAAAAGTATTTAATTACCTTAAAACCGTCCAATTCTGAATCATCAAATCTTGACTCTCCGTGCAGGAATTCTTCTCTCCTCTAGAATTTCACAAAATAATGTAAATTGGAGAATGTATTCGGTCTTTACCTATAAAGCTGGAGATTTGGTTAAAATTTAAAAAAAAAAAAATTGGTTGATTTTTTATGTTCGCTTATCAAAGTACTGGCCCAAATTATTTATACAATTTTGCCATTTTAATGGCAGTTGTTTTATCCCTTTACTATAGAAACCTACTAGACGGGAGGCAACGGAGTCAGCGAAAGCGTTAGGTACTGAATCTTGGATGTTGAATTTTTTCCCCACAAATTAACTAAATGTTTAAAATAGTAGAAATCCGTTGGTGCAAGGTCCGATGTGTACGGTGGTCGACAGAGAGCCAGCTGCAACTCTTGTAGCATTACGCGTATTGTCGTCGTGGTTGTTGAATGCCATTTCTCCATTATTGTTTACAATTCTTGGCAACAGACATCTGCTGTCACTGTTGTGCCATTCGGTAAGGAGCTGTCTTATACGAGTTCAGCACTGCTCCACCAGACAGTCAATCTCTTTTTAGCGCACTGATAGGGTGCTGTAATGGGTCCACCCACTGAGACGAACGCTTATGGTTGTTGAACAGGATCCACTTTTCATCACAGGTAACAATGCGATTCAGAAGTCCCCCGTTTCTATGAAGATTTGGTAAGTCTTGCTGATGGTTACTTAGTTCGTGTGGCACCCACTTATCTGGCTTTTTTATCTTTCCGATTAGACGCAAATGCTTCAATTCTTTTTGCACAAACAAAGTACAATGGCGGACTTAATGCCAAAGGCATTTTTTCCAGTCTACCTTTGGGTGGTGGGGAAATGTCTGAGGAGGTGCATGAAATTAAAATTAGGTTACATACATACTGAGATACACATACATATATATACTTGCTGAGTAATACATACAAGGCTAACATAATAACATATAAGACTTTAGGGATGTGATGAGTCTGCTAAAGTGTCGAGAATTCGAGCTCGGACTTTCGTCTTAAATGAGAGGCGACTGGGTGCTATCCTGATTTCCAAAGGCAGAGCGTTCCAGAGGAGGACAGATTGGACTAAGAACGAAGAGTGGACACATGCGGAAGTATGAGTGGGGCATAACAGAAGTGGATTGTCTTTTGACAGCAACTTCAAAGCAGCAAGCTCAACCGTAGATCGAGTTAGATCCGCTTTCACTATCGTCTTCAATTCGTCGTCGTCGACTATAGTAGACCGCGAGGCACGTTTTTTAAATCAAAATTTCCAGATCTAAAACGATTCCACCAAAATTGCATCGTTTATGCAAGCAGTGTTAGACCCGTAAACGTCGTTAATGTTTCGTTGTTTGCGCAGCGGTATTTCCACGTAGAAACTCATATTCGAAAATTGTACGAATTTTCAGATTATCCATGGCGCCAAAAACTACCCACAATTTCACAAAAACAAAACACTATCTAAAACAAATGACTCAATTTTAAATTAAAATTTATTACATATAAATTATTATTAATTTATGGATTTTTGAAAATGCTGGTTTTAAAAATCGCCAACTTCATAGGTAAACTATTATTAAATTACGTTTTTTTTCAATTATACTATGAACAAGTATAAAATTATACTATTTATGTATGTGTAATCATTATTATTAAATCGATCTAAGTGGCGTGCAATGGGAGAGGCCTATGTCCAGCAGTGGACTGCGATAGGCTGATGATGATGATGATGATGAATCATTATTATGTGTGTGACCAGGTAATGAGTGAGTATGGACCACTGTTGTTCATACTTAGCAACCGTACTTACATTCATAACACGTTTCATGTCATCCGACGTTCTAATGTTGGCGAACTGAAATAATATATTCTTATATAAAAACCATTTTAAACAATATTTTCTATCTACCCTCTACCCTACCCTCTAAAATTTAATATATATTGACAATGTCTTAAGGTTATCTAAAGACTTCAAAAATTAACCAGCATTTATTAAAATCACATTATTACTACGAACCAAGTTACGGATAAAAAATCGTTACATTTCTTTTCTTTATTTCTTTCTTTTTTATTTTCAATAAAGAAGACAACTCCCGCATTAGGAATGTATCCTGTGACTTTACAAACATACATGAAATGGACGCAAAGAATACCCAGACTCAGAAGAACAATTTGTGGATTACACAAAGTGTCGTCCCGTGTGGGAATGGAGCCCACAACACTCAGCGTAGTAGTAAGCAGCGTGACAACCGCTGAAACCACTACGCCATCCGTGCAGTCTACATATATGCTATATATTAGTGATGTGCCGGATCGTTAACAAAGTATATCCGCGGATACGGATCCGAATACGGATATTTGGTGTCATGATCCGCGGATACGGATACGGATACGGATCTTAAGTTTCTTACTCAATCGGAGCCCGTAACCTTGATAGTTGTCGCCACTTGACGCTTTGCCGTTGATATTTAAATATTTCATTATTTTAATAAGCTAATACAAAGATGTTTGATTGATCTCATTATAAAGCTGGCTCTTTCAGTACCTACGACCTGCCCACTTGATTTAGTGTAGTACGATAAATGATTGCAATACAAAGGTGCCAAATATTTGTTTTAAGAAATAATAAGTAATCTGAACAGAATTCAATAGTTTTTCATAGCTACCTAATAACCATTATTCAGGGTTAAATTTAAATTTACTAAAAACCTCTGAAGTGCATATTAGTAACATTATAAACCACAACTTTTCTTCTGGACTAACACCGAAAACGAAAGAAAAAAAATTGTTTCTCCATACAAACTAACAACATTTGATTGGTCATTTGAATGGAGGGTCATTTTTTTTTCATTTTGACGTTGGCCAGAAAAAAAGTTGCTGTTTATAGTGTTACAAACACATACCTAAGAGTTTTACAGTGAATACAAAATCACCTATATAGAATTTCACCTATGTAATATGTATTGAAAGATCCGCCAAAAAAGTCACGGATACGGATACGGTTACGGATCTCTTTTCTCCCTTGGATATCCGCGGATACGGATACGGATACGGATATCCGGCACATCACTACTATATATATACATCTTATATATAAAATTCTCGTGTCACAATGTTCGTTCCCGTACTCCTCCAAAACGGCTTGACCGATTCTCATGAAATTTTGTGTGCACATCGGGTAGGTCTGGGAATCGGCCAACATCTATTTTTCATACCCCTAAATGGTAAGGGTGACCCATCCTTAATTTTTTTTTGTTTTGCAATACAACGTTTGCCGGGTCAGCTAGTAATATATAAAATTCTCGTGTCACGGTGTGCGTGGTTGAACTCCTCCGAAACGGCTCTACTGATTTTCGTGAAGTTTTGTGTGCATATCGGGTAGGTCTGAGAATCGGCCAACATCTACGAGTATTTTTCATACACCAATTTTTTTTTTTTTTGACAATTTTTTTTAAATAATGGCAAAACAACGTTTGCCGGGTCAGCTAGTATATATATATAGATGAAAAAGAAATAACAGAACGTAAGTATTTTTTTATGATACAAGTAACTATCACCGTCCATTAAGTTTACCGGATTAATGTAATATTGTTAAAATCTGTTAAACGTGTCAAATGTCTGACGAAAATTTAATTGTTGATTGAAATTTCAAACTAAGTACAGAAGTCAAATTAAAGGTCTTTGTTAAATATTGTTTTGAATATTCCAGTAAAATACGACCAAATATAATGTAATCTCACTTACCACTTCATCAATGATCATGGACTCTTGATCGTCCTGAAACTTAAAAGATTTTTATGAAACAGGAGGCAAACAAGCAGGCAGGTCACGTGATCTTAAGTGACTACCAACGCCCATGGGGGTGTCAACGTATAGTGGACGTGCATTGAATGGCAATGTATCAAAATGAAAAAAAAAAAGATATTTATTTCTGCAAGTAAATCTTTTGACAAGTCTGACTTTACAGCTAGAAGGTGCATTTCCTAAAACTCACTCTGGGAAGAAACGCGGAAACAAACCAAAGAGGTTTTTTAAGTCCGTGTACAATGTTAAAGAAAACTATGTGATAGGGTTTGAGTTGGCCTTTTGAAGAAAAAAGCCATCCATATTGACAGCCAATGTAATAATATACGAATACTGACACATTTACCATTTGAAATGGCAAAGGGATAAGTTTGTTATAAACAGCCTTTAATAGTCCACTGCTGGACATAGGTTTGAAGTTTTCGCCTACTACGAGTATACCACGCTGGCCATGCGGGTTGGTATAGAGTTTGTTTCAAGTTTTCCTTCTCTTTGCCTTTGCTGTGGTCCTACGTAGTTTGCTCTCTTAGTCAGCTCTTGCGACACCTACAGGATAAATAGGGGAGGTGACGCCCCTGTATCCTAAATCCGTTATCCCACAGATAAAGTAAGTATAGTAAATATTTATAATAATTTAGTACGTTACGGTGTAATTTTGAGCTCCAGACAACTATATGGCTTGTTACCTCCATCTAGCAACCTAAAGGCTTTTCTGTACTACTAAAATTAAAAGTAGATAAAATAATGAATTACATACATTGTATTGTGCAGCGGCGCTCGTAGTTCGTGATGGTGTCTTCTTTGGTTTTGTTTTAGACTTTTTTACAGGACTATGTAGCATAGTGAGCTGAAATTATAGATCAAAATTGATTGTTCTATACGAGTACGCGATACCTTAAATATATCAAGATTCTTTGAAAAGATTTGCATATCGATTACCCAACTAAAATCGATGTTATATCGATCATCGTTCGAATCATCGATCGATGTTTCTTTGTGGGAGAGCCATGCTTCGGGACACTGCTGCCGCCGGCTGCCGGTGGTGTCACTCTGGTAGAGTCATACTACCGAAGTGACACCTCACGGCTCACAGATAACCGGTGTTAAGCAGTTCTTTCATTGCTCTTCAACGAGTGAGGTTCCAGAAGCCCAAAATCTCCCCGGGGAGGGACGGAGAGGGTATCAACGGCCTTTGACTCTTGAGTTGCAGGTATCTATGGGCGTCGGAAGTCAGTTACCATCAGGTGATCCGTTTGCCCCCCTTTAACATAAAAAATGATGTGGGATACAAGACGATAGGCAACCAGAGAATAAGTTGGTTTACTGATTGAAGTTCTCAGCGCTGTGAAAGCCATCACTGAAACTTAAGTCTGTTTTGACTTAAGTCTTTATCGCTAAATTTGTATACAGTTCTACTTTATACAACTCACCTTCTTTCTTGGCGTCACTTGGTCAATCTCCACTGTATCTGTCATCTTGAAACCGCTACTGTCAAGACGTCTACAGTCTTGCACATTTATCTGCAGTGACACAAATTAAGTCAACAGACCTGATATTGCTGAGACTTACAAAAGACTAATATAAACTATATGAGTCCCTATCTTTCTGCTCCTGTGTACAGAAGACAAGTTAATTGATTTACCGACTGCAATGGCCAACATGGATATCACTAAATCCCTTACGCACGCAGGTGAGTGGTTGCAAGAGCAAAGTGGCAAATTGGGGCTACATAGACCAGTCGCAAACGCGCTGTGAATGTGGCTCTCCAATGCAAACCATGCAACATTTGCTTTCTTGTCCACTGTGCCCCTCCAGCCGCACTGTAAAGAAGCTGTGGAGAGCAACGGACAAGTCGTGGCTGTGGCGGAATTTTGGGTGGACAAAATTTAGAGGTACATGTACATCCGTTGACACGAAGAAGAATAATTAATTTAGACACAAAAAGCGAGAGGTCCCTCTGTTTCTGCAAGAGGGGGGAGGGAAGCTAAAGGGCGCCAATGCACTTGTGATTTTTGAGCTGAAGCTGTTCATGGGCAGCGGTAGTCGGTTTTTCCTCCTCTGACCTCTGCGGCGGTTTTTTTTTTTGTCTGAGCGATTTAGAAAATTCTTTTGTTTTTATTTGGAAGGGTTCCTGTTTGGTCCACTCAAATTTTGAAAAAATAATTCTAAATTGAAAAAATACAGTTAAGTAAAATTCATCACGCTGCAGGCGCATTGGAGTCTATGGTTCTTTTAAAAAGTTTTCGGTAACCTCGGTGAAAAGCAGGTCGTATGTCTGTACCTAAATATATCTCAAAGAAATTAACGACTGTTAGTTCGACCAGCATGTATGTCTGTTATGATTAAAACGTTTATTTTATGAAAAAATAATTAAAATAAATATGATATATGATAGCGATAGGTAGTATTCAAGCACAAAGAGTTCGTAACAAAGTAATAATATTGCGTAAAACAATAATTTTGTACAAGCACATGATTGCATGCCGCTGTGATCGGTTTGTGACTTCCCGCATCCTGGGCAGATCGTCACTCCACCTGGCTGCATCGTCTTTCGTGAAGTGAAGTGACGTGCAATAGGAAAGGCCGATGTCCAGCAGTGGGATGCTATAGGCTGATGATGATGATGATGATGACATGATTGCATAAAAATACAAAAAAAAAATTGGTTCAAAAACCCCTGTTTCTAAAAAAACACTAACGTAGTCATTTACAGGAGTTATATGTTTAAGCTAAACATTCACGAGGCTATCAGTAACATTATTGTGTATTTTAAAAAGAAAATTTTTACAACACAAACAACTCACATCAGACTGTCCCTCCAAATCATTTTCCTGTTTGATTTTATCAGAGGATTCTTTGCTCGTTTGCCTGGACGGCAGCTTGAGTACGCTGCTGCCCCAGCGATGTAAACTGAAGTCATCGTTCTAAAGAATAAATAAAATTGTAATGCAAATGACATGTTTTGCAGATTTTTAGCACGGTTTTTCTTGCTCATTGTAAAGAAACTGAAAATCTTAATTTTTTTTTATAATACAATGAGTCACAAAATTCTTCAAAAAACATTATTTTTATTATTTAGCGGCCTAACCACATGGTCAATGTAGGGAAGCCATCTGCTGGTCTTCACAACGTCCCGTAGGGGGCGTGTGGTGGCTGGTTCGGGGCTTCGGCCCCCTGCCAGCGATTTCTACCGCTACCCCTGAATAGGGGTAGGTCGTGGGCTTGTGTTTGTGGTCCGTTGCGTTGTGGAGGGGTTACTTCAGTTTTCACGCCGCCCCGGCGGTCAAGCCCGAGCCAGGTGAGACCCCAGGCGATACCTGGGGAGGCCCAGCTCCGGGCGATGTAGGGAAGTTGCATATACATATATATTATATTAATCGGAGCGAGAATTTTAATAGCGAGATGTCGAAGCTACGAAGTAGTTCCTACGGTTACGGCAAGATGGCGATAATGTATGTTTATGCTTTAGTAGATGTATCCACATGACTGGGCTTAAAATTTAAGGGCGTGTAGACATTTATTTCTTACCTGTTGCGACTTCTTATCTAATGGTTTAAATTGTTTAGTAGGTATTTTATCCCTTTGTTTCTCGTTGCGTTTAGAATCAGACATGTTGTGTTCTCGGCTCAGTAGGGTTGGTTTGGATTCCTATAATTATGTGAAAATTTGTGTTTAAATTTTGAAATGGAATATAATAATTTTAATTATAAATTATAAGACCCGACTAAGGAAGCAAACTACGGAGGAGAACAGCACTGCAAAGAGAAGGAAACTTGAAACAAACCCTATACCAACACGTCTGGCCAGCGTGGCATAGTAAGCCAAAACCTCCTTTTTGTGGAGAGGCCTATGTCCAGCAGTGGACTAGTAAAGGCTGTGTATGATAAGATTTGAAAGAAAATCATATGGATGATTTCATTTCTAAACCTAATATGTATGTATGAATAAAGGCTGTTTTCCTTTTAAAGCTTATTTAATACATTCTTAAACATACCCGTGCTATTGCTTTATTAATTAGAGGTATAAATTTTGCATCAGCTCGCAACATACACCAAAGATCAAGGACACCCATTTCATCACCGGCATCCAGAATGTCTGACACATTATTCCGTTGTCGAGCGTACATTATCTGGGGGCCAGCCACCTTGAATTGAGAAATAACTCATAAAGTACAATAGAATGTATTATGTACAAGTATTACTTCCTGTATTATTATAAGATACTAGCCGACCCGCGCAACTTCGTCTGCGTCTCTCAATAGTAATAAATTTTCTCCGTTTTTGAAACATTCTTCATTGGTGCTCCGCTCCTATTGGTCTTAGCGTGATGATATATAGCCTATAGCCTTCCTCGATAAATGGGCTATCTAACACTGAAAGATTTTTTCAAATCGGACCAGTAGTTCCTGAGATTAGCACGTTCAAACAAACAAACAAACTCTTCAGCTTTATAATATTAGTATAGATATTACTGACTTGAAAAAAATAAACCAAAAACAATCATCATAAATGACTAAAAAAGCAAAAATAAATTAAAGTATATAGTACTTATTTAAATAAATTTCTGTAAGTTCAAAAATAATAATCATGTCATATAAACTTTCAGTGTGGTGATGGATTAAGAATACAGAGTTTCGACACCCCTATTCAGCCGAGGGTGTCGTAAGAGCCGACTAAGGGACCAAACTACGCAGGACAACAGCACTGCAAAGAGAAGGAAAACTTGAAACAAACCCTATACCAACCCGTCTGACCAACATGGTATAGTAGGGCAAAACCTCCTTTCTGAGAAGAGGCCTATGTCCAGCAATGGACTAGTAAAGGCTGCTGATGATGATGATGAAACTTTATCTTTTTTTTGAAGTGTGATTTACTTTTCCTTTTTTTTAATTAATGATGATTATTTTATTAATAATACAAAAAAAGTAACAAGTAAGTAAATCACGTATGCTTCAGCGCACTCCTCTTAATACGTGGCAAAAGACTCTACCGTATTTTTAGGTATGTAACAAGCCGTTAATCTTGAAGATCCTGATCAGGATAATCGGCCAAATTTATCAAATTATTGTATTGTCATCTTTGGTCTTTGATAAGTGTTTGCACACTTATCAAAGACCGAAGTTTCAATTTAATTCGACGTTTTAAAATGGGCCACAATTACGTTCGAAGATTCCGATACATATTATTTATGTACATACATAGCTACATACGACACCCACGGGATGAATAGGGGTGGTGACATTACGTATTCATATTCCGTCACCACACGGAGAGCCGACTAAGGGACCAAACTACGCAGGACAACAGCAGTGCAAAGAGAAGGAAAACTTGAAACAAATCCTATACCAACCCGTCTGCTGGCCAGACGGGTTGGTATAGGATTTGTTTCAAGTTTTCGTGGTATAGTAGACATAGGCCAAAACCTCCTTTCTAAGGAGAGGCCTATGTCCAGCAGTGGACTGTTATAGGCTGTTGATGATGATGATGATGATAGATACATACATACATATCAAGCTAACAAAAGCGTGTTAAAAGCAAAAATAAATACGAAACAGGAGACCATTACCAGAGCAAGTGACATGTCCGCACGTCTGTTTGTGTTTAATAAAGCGTCTCGAAGTGGTAGTGAGCAGCTCGCAATAGGTTTATTTGGTTGGTCCAGTTGACAAATTAAGATTTTCAACTCGTCCTGAGTACAAAAACATTAACCAAATGATATTGTTTTCTCGGAAAAAACATATTTTTTAGCTGTATACGGTAATTATTACCACATAAAAATATTATGTTGGTATAAAAATGTTATGTTGGTTTTGCGTACGCTTAAAAAACTCAACTCCACTTCCGATTGAGTTAAAATTTTGACACAATATACAACATGCTTCAAAGATAGTTTGTTTCTATTTTTTGCAAACACTATGTGCCACAGAGAATCGTGGCAGGGTTCAGCTAGTTTATCATAAAAGGCCTTTTAAGTGATAATAGTAATGATATGTCAGGCGTATTGACTATCGCTTCTGATCCAGAGATATCCAAGATAGAATAGTCAAATGCTATGAAAAGTTATGATTCCGTATGAAGTAGGAAAATATTATTTCCACACAAGCTTTTTGACTGCATGGATGGCGTAGTGGTTTACGGTCATCTCGCCGCTTCCTACTACACAGTGTTGTGGGTTCGATCTCTACATGGGACAACATTCTCTGGGTTCTCTGTGTCCGTTTCATGTATGTTTGTAAAGTCCTCCGCGAGGTCCTCCTAGTGCTGTTGTCTTTCAATAAAAAAAAACTACTTAATTTTAATTAATTTTTGGGTGTATACCCAAACAGTAAGTTTTTATCAGTAGATTACAGGCATAAGGCCTATAACGCATTTGTAACTCTCGAGTTGCAGATGTCCATGGGCGGCGGTAATCACTTACCATCATTTGACCCATCTACTCGTTTGTGCTTTCTACAATAAAAAAAAAACAGTAGCACTCCGGGAGTGACGACAGAAGTAAAAATGGTTCAATGGTTTTTTCCCATCTCAAAAAATACATTCTTCTGTTTGTTGTTCAAAAATTCCCAACGCACCTATGAAGTTTTCACTTCAAAAATACACTTGCTCACAAAAATGCCGTATTTCTGATGAAAGGGGTACAAACGCAACTTGTCCTTAATAATATAATATTTATAATATTTTCACACATTTCACACACGGCCGTCTGATCCCAAACTAGGCAGAGCCTGTACTATGGTAACCAGACTGCTGATAGACATACACATATATTTCTAAATACATACATATTATAGATATAGTACACCCAGACACAGAACAAATGACCGCGCTCATCACACAATTATTTGTGGCGTAGCAGTCAGGGTCACTAACCACTAGACCAACAGGCCAGTTAATAAAACATACTTGTAGATAATTAAAAGTACTAACATGTTTCATATAATTCAGAAACTCATTTGTAAGAGGTGTGTCGTATTCAGTAGAGAAATCAAAAACCACCACTCTACCGGCTCGCATCCGCGTAGTCATCACATCTTGATCGTAAAACTTCCAAGTTAGCCCCAGAGACTTGCCGCGAGAGATTAACACAGCCTGAGTGTGAAAAGTGAAAAATAGAGTCAATAATAGCGCAAGCGAGTGGATACTACTTTGAAGAAGACTACCTTCGATTTAAAACATCATTAATTACAATTAAATATGAATATGCCAAAATCTGCCTGTTTAGTTAGTGCTTCTTTAATTCAAATAGAAATCCATGTTGTAATTTAGATTCTCAAGAATGAATGTTAACCTAGTTTCCAGTTTAGAATGGAGGAGCTATGGAGGGCTAAAACTTCCATAGCTCCTCCATTCTAAATTTGAAACTAGGTTTTTTTAATTTTATAGCTTAGAAACTCACTGAAGATCTATTTTTTACACTGTAATAATACAAAAAATCTCTGGGAATAATACCCACTTCACCCATGATCATATCATAATGTTTGCTTTTGTCTGATAGTGTGACAAAACAATCTCTGCTGATCTCTTGTAAAGGATATTTAATCAAATATAGCACACCTAGGACCCATTATATTTTGTGGCCGTGGTTTAAAAGGTTGTATGCCTATTTTACTTCATTTTGTCTCCCGCTTTGCTAAGGAGGGAAGTGGAATTATTGTATTTCCAACTCCTCCAATTTTCTTCTGATTAATTTCGTTGCGGGTTCCAAGACAATTTAATTTCTTCCTGAGACTTCCCGAGTGTCATAACTCGGTGTGTTCGTGGGTCACTGCTGTGGATCCTGGTGTACAGGAGTTACAGTGGCGGGCGTGTGGGTGGGACTAGTCCCAATAAAAAAAAAGGATATCTAAGTAGTGATTTTGTTTTGAAACAATAAATCTTTTTCGTTTACACTAACCTCATCTGATAGGACAACAGTCCCGATATGCAGCACAAACACACACCTCGGCAAATACTGCTCATTGACTGAGTGCATAGCTTGTCCCCTTTTAAGCTGACATCCCGCATCAAATTCATTTAATACTTCTTCACTGACCTTCGTTTCTAAAGTATTATGTATTTCCATACCACTCTATAAATAAAGCATGGGAATTTGAAACAAGAAACTATTGTGCGATGCTAAATATTATAATAAGTATGCAATTCTTTTAAATTAAATCTGCTTGAGCCTGGATCTGGTGTCCGTGTAGTGACGGATTAAGAATACAGAAAGTCACTACCCCATTTCATCCCGTGGGTGTCGTAAGAGCCCACTAAGGGCGCAAAACAACGCACGACACAAGAAAACTTGTCACAAACCCTATACCAACCCGTCTGGCCAGCGTGGTATAGTAGCCCAAAACCTCCTTTGTAATGGCCAGCGTGGTAAAGTAGCCTAAAACCTCCTTTGTAAGGAGAGTCCTATGTCCAGCAGTGCACTATTAAAGGCTGTTGATGTGATGTGTGATGTGAGCCTGAATGGCTTTGGAACTCATTATTTTAATCTTTATATAATTATAGATAATTCTTCTCTACTTGTGCAGGTCACTGAACTCCACCAGTCACTGGGTAGATTTTGATAAAACAAATTGTGTGTGGTCCAGAAGCCACTAATTATTAAAACTTGAATCCGGTGGCGTTGCATCCGGGTTCCAGGCTGTCTATATCACTTTTTAAGGAGATTTTATCTATATGCATTTGAGTGGGTCTTTAGCTGGTTTAGATACCAAATATTATAAATTTTACATAAATTTTATATATTTCACTCTTATAAGAGATTTTTTGTATATTTGTAAGTGGGTCTCTGGATGGTTTAATGTGTATGTGACATTATGTATGTCTAAATGGCGATATCTTTTTAATCAATAACTTATGGGTAACTTTACAATAGACCTGTCTCTCAATGCATTTTGTTTCCGATAAATTGGTCACTTCTCGTTTGTCTCTTTGCGTAAGTATGTGTGTGTATTTACATAATGAAGGCTCTAGGTTCGAACCCCAGCATGTCCAAATTTTTATTGTTTAAATTAACATATGACTGGAACTCTGACCAGCAGATATCACATTTTTGCTTTTCTCCCAGGGGATGGCACGATTTTGTAAAATAACAAAAAAATGTAGTACGTCTTTTCCTGTGCTATATCTGAATTCGGTCCCTGTTCTGCTCTTATTAGTCACAAATGATAAAATAATACAGCACGTTGTTAACTCTGAGATTATTATACGCAACACAGTAAATTTAACACAACATACAGTAAAATAGACTGCACGGATGGCGTAGTGGTTTAAAAAAGCGGTCGCCACGCCGCCGCTTAGTACTACACTGAGTGTTGTGGGTTCGATCCCCACATGGGACGACACTTTGTGTGATCCACAAATTGTCGTTCTGAGTCTGGGTGTTCATTGTGTCCGTTTCATGTATGTTTGTAAAGTCCCCCACGACACAGGATATATTCATAATGCGGGAGTTGTCTTTCTAAAACAAAAAAAAAACTTTAAAAAAAATAAAGCATTTTTGAAATTACCTCTATCAGATTATTTTGTCGAGCCAATTGCTTGCATCGCTCTAACTCTTCTTTAAGAGTTATCAGTGTTCCTTTTATATCTTTATCTGATGCGGTTGAGGTCTCGGTGCTGTGATCGATTGAAAAATATATTTGTACAGGCAATATTATATAAAATTCAAGGACTTACGTATGATGCCACAGAACGGCGGTTTTACTCAAGGGTAGTACCCTAAGGCTATTGAAGTTAAAAATGAACATAGCGGAAGAAAAATATTAAAAATATTGATAATGTGCATGTAGATGATGAATCTTCCACTTTACGAACTCAAGACACGACGGGGCGTCTTGTGACCACGGCCTGTGCGACATGGTGAAAACGTCAGGCAATAGGGAATATGCACGTGAATTCAAAATGGACAAAATATTTTTATTTGTAAACATTATGCTAAAAGAAGATACCTATACATTTTATTTATTTCTTTTTTTATTTAACAGTGAAATTTAATCCCCAAAATTGGTTTTTTTAATTCCCTCGCAAATTTCTAAAACGCAACGCTATTGGTAGAACAAAACGTGATGTCAAATTTCACTGTCAACAAGTTGCTTGTAGGGTATCTGGTGATTATTAATTTTTATTTAGCTCAATGCTTTATATTTCGGGTGAGTTATGTTTGTTTTGTGTGTGTGACGGATTAAGAATACAGAGTGTCCGTTGGTGTCGTAAGAGCTGACTAAGGGAAAAAACTACGCAGAACAACAGCACTGCAGAGAGAAGGAAAACTTGAGACAAACCCTATACTAACCCGTCTGGCCAGCGTGATATAGTAGGCCAAAACCTCCTTTCCAAGGAGAGGCTTATGCCCAGCAGTGGACTATTAAAGGCTGTTGATGATATTCATTTTTTGTAATGTAATAACTTGTCGAAACATTTAAAATAAAAAAAAAAACATGCATATTGCCTATTCCAAGTTATGTAATACCAATTAGTCGTTTTGATAGCCGAAGTAATTTATTGTATACTCGTATGTTGATCCTTTATGTAAACGGTAACGATTGCCTCAGATGTTCGTACGGTTTTTCGGAACCGACGCTGACGGCTTGACGTGCTCTCCGAGGCACGGATTAATACTTTATATACCAGTAATATTAATTTTCTTAACAAATGTTTTAAATTACATGTAGGGTCGTACAATCAATTTTACATTTCTGAGCGTGGTCCTATGCGGTTTAATATTTATACTCGTATACATTTTGCATGAATGTGTCGACGCCGTCGTTGTGTCTAGCAATCCAAAATATGGCTACAGTTCTATAAATGAGAGTCCTTTATACGCGAACGGGCGTTCTCGCTCGGATCGCTGGACAGTTCGGACGTATCTAGGACCTTGTTATTTTACCAGTCTAATAAAGAAAGTGTTCAAGAAACAATTGCTAACATCAAGGGTGATATTACCTTTGCTGATGTCATGTTTGTGTCAAGGAAAACAACGATCTCGGTAATCAAACACAATTTTGATATGCTATTGATTAGAAAACAAACAATTATCTAAATATTATGATAATGGCCCTAAATATGAAGCTTACCCCAAGCTATTGCTCTTATTGGTATTATATTCATTCCGAGAGGAACTTGCTGAAACAAATAAAAAATTGAATAATTTTATCAATCTCTCAGCCTATTTATTAGAAGTTAGCCAGCAAAGAAGGCAGCTCTACAATCTCCTAAATGGCCTATCTACAAAAGCTGCCTCTGTAAGGAGTGTCTAAAAATGTAAATTATACATACCATTAGTTTGCACGGCCTCTTCTTTGCCATTTAAATAGTTATTCAAACTCTGGGTGTTTAAGTCGCCAAATTTATGTTCATTCGACTGCTTGGAAGGACGATTTGCTAAAAGATTAATAAAAAATCGCGATCATTATGATATATCTAGATGCTGTAAATTTTTAGGTAAACGATTTAAAATCTAAAATAGCAATATATCAATCAAACTCGAAAAAGCAAAAATGATAGAAGTTTATTTTTCTATTGACAGGGCTGCACTAAATGAAAAGCCACCTTAAATACAAATAGAGAACAAGTTTTATATCCAAGATTCCTTCATCAGGTTCGTCCGTTTTGATGACTTAAAAAAAAGCAAGAGTTTATTTCCCAATTCAGTTGCATTTCTTTATTTGTTACCTAAGAACTCCATCATTTTAGAATTCATTTCTGAAGTGATAACTTCTTATGGGAGGGTAAACCGCTTCGTTACATAACGCGTTACGGCGCCAGTCTGTCTGGCTTCCCTTTCTCTCACGCATACGGCAGCGGCAAGCAGGCTTCTCCTCGTTCACTCGGACAGACGCTTTACATACAATTTAAGTAATAACCTAAGCTTTTCTCAAGTTAAACAATTTCAATATGAAATGGTTCAACTTAAAATAGTTTAAGTCATCACTTCTGTCGGGCGTCCAGAGACGCACACGTTTTTTTTATTTGATACGTCCCGTTTAGTACCATTCAAAATTACATAAAAATACCATCCTAAAACCAGAACATCTTCGAATAAAAAATACGGCTTAGTACAATTATTCATCATATAGATATGAAGTTGTTATTACATAACTAAAGTAGCTTCTTAAAAAAATTAAAAACTTACCAGTTGAACTTGACATAGTGATCGTTTTAGGCGTTTGACTGATCATGTTTTTAGATACAATAGTACGTGTACATTTGATATGGCCTGTAGCACAGTTCTGTTCGTTTTGACTCCCGTTATTAATCTCTGAGACTGTTTGAGTACCTGCCAATTAGTATTCCTTGAATTGGGAATCATTTGGCATTATAATGTAAGCTTAACTAAATATTTTACGATATGGCATAAATATGAATATCATCTATATATGTTGGCACCGCGATTAGATAATAAATCTCAGAACCATCTTAATCAAACTCAAATGGAGTTATAAATAGATCAGGTTGAAGCTCATATGGTTCATATATGTACATACACGCCCTCACTTTACCGACTCTAATTTTAGTTCCCTTTACGTGATAGGAGACAAACATTTCAATGTCAACCGGTAACATACCCAGTATATTTCCAAATAAACATACTTACACTTACATAAATGTAAGATTTCTATTTTTTATTTCTGAAGTACACGACGGCTTTCACCATGCGCTAACCGTGCGACCAACACGCCCCTCGAGGTATATTTAAATTTATCAATGTTTACAAAACTCAAAACTTCTTCTTCGTTTCACCGTATGGCCTAAGTGTGACCTATCTTCTTCCTTCCTGCGAGCCTTTTTCCCAAAACTAGTTTGCGGTCGGCTACTACGACACGGCTGATTTTTTACGTGGAGTCACTATATATTACAAGCAGATATCGAAGTTTTGTAAAAAGACTGATGTTGAACGTTCGAAGGCTCCAACTATCCATAACGATTGCCACAGATGTCTGTATGGCAACCGGGACCGAGTCCCTAATATGCTCTCTAAATGTCCTGTCTATTTCTCAATTTAATTTAATGACGTCAGAATTATGTTTTTATTATTAAATATCTCACCGTTGACAACTTACCCTTGTTTTGTACCATTTCACAATATGATTGTTCGTCACACTGACAAAGTTGAGAACGTTTCGAAGCTGGTACAGTCTTGAAGCACAGAGTACCACTATTTCTTCGGTAGGTCGCTATTTCGCGCTGGGCCGTTGAGGAAACGGTATTCTCGCGTACTTCTGATTTATATAAGAAGCTAAATTATTCTAAGAGAAAAATTATTAAAGAAAATTATACTAACTCCAGTCAAAGTTTATTTTAAAAGATTTATATATAAAAGGAAGGATCAAACTAGAAAATACAATAACGTGGATTAAAAAACTAAAATGTAGATACATGTCTTTAGTTTTCTTTTTTTTTGTTCTGGCAAAAACTAAAAAAAATAGAGCAAATTTGATGCTATTTGGTATCCTATACGTAACAAAACACAGGTTAATATAAGAAATAGGACGATAATGTGTCATAATAATAATATATTAAATTCAAAAACGTTGGTAGAATTCTATGTTGAAGGATAAACTGGCACTAAACAAAATAATTAAATTTAAAAGTAGAAATGTCAGATACTTCTTAGTTTAGTGGCTTTTTTTATTGTTATATATTGTGCAACAAATTCCCACACGAACAAAACTATCCTGGTGAATCCAGTTTAATCATCGTATCTTTTTCGTTCTTTTAATAAATACGATTGTCTTTGACATCAACCTTGACTAAATTTTCGACTACGAAAAGCAGCAACAGTAACTAAAAGAAGTTTGTAATAGTTTCGCATCTCTTTGGTATGGCTGACACAGCACTGCGTTGAAAAAATCTGAAGCTAGTGAAACTATCTGCTTGGTTATTTTATGTTAGAGGGGGACGAGCAGCCGGTAGGTAGGTGCTCCTAAATCGAGGTGATACGACAAATGGTACCTTCTTTGCGGTGAGACACAGGTGTATAATTTTTTGGTTTGAAGAGGCGTAGATTTAGTCAGCCCCAATCTGAAACCTCCCTACCTGAACCTAAGGCAGTTTCATTATCACATTATTCCAATATATGCAGTGTCTGTTCAGCACACTCTGTTAATCTGAGAGACATGTGGACTGAACACTAACTTCACGTCCTTACACCACGATTTCTTTAATAGACCTCTAACTTAACAAGTTTCAATTTAAAACTCACCTAATTTTTCTGGCGAAACTTCTACCTGGCTTTCTTTAACAACATCTTTGACTTGTTTTAGCAACTCTGTATTAGGTTGCAAGAAATAATTCATTGAAGCTCCTGAGATTCTTCCTTCATTATTCATTACAGCACCCCTTCCATTTTTGATAAAACCTTCCTCAATTTCTTTGTCTTTTGTAGGGACATTTTCAGTATTTTCTGTCAGTAGGTCTTTATTAATTCCTTTCTTTGATTTCAATTGTTCTTTAAGCCTTTCTAATTCTACTTTAGTTTCTTTTATCTCTTTAAATACTTCATTAACGTCTTTAAAGGAACATCTATCATCATCTAAGTTTCGATATCTTTCTTCGCTTATTTCTGATTGAGTTTGAGCATTGTGTTGGTCAGGACCTACCGCTACTGGTTGAGTACTAGATTCTTGTTTTGGAACTTCAACCTTCGAATCCAATGCAGCTCTAATGAAAAAAAAAGGGTTTATACTGCACAATTAATGTAACAGAGATTCATTGAAAGTTATGTAAGTGTATGTAAGCAATAAACATTGTTCAAACTAAAGATACTAACTCAAGGGGTGTCTTTTGCGATTTCTCTCTATCTATGGTATTTTTGCGAATGTTTTCCCGAACTGTGCTAATAAGCCTTAACAAGCCCATAGTCTCTTCAGGTATACTATAGCTGCCAACTACTGTCCTGTTTTGACTTGTTCCGGGGTTCAAATTACTATCCAAATCTGCTGGTAGCTGAAGGAAAAGATTACAGATTTAAATAAAGAGATATTTTGGACGATGATGATTGAGGACATTCGGGACCTGCGCGTAGGCAACGCAAAGCAATCGTGTGAGCAACGGGTGGTCGTTGATGTCGTCAGCGTAAATCCAAAATACTCCATATAAAGAATACTAATTGTTTGAGCTTAGGCTGTGCTGGTCGGGTGTTCAGTTCCTCTATTGAGCGACCTTAAAAGTAAATAATTAATTAAAGCCTTTAGCACCAACTGTAGCCTTGGTTCCTGTTGCGCCCACCGCAGCTGTCGTTCCATAGTATTAATTCTTCACTAAATCAACACCAAGTATTTCCTTTAAATACCGTTTTAAACGCAAAACAAATTCAAGCCCATGTTCATCGTCTTATAATGATGTTATCACATCACATCATCATATCAACAGCCTGTAACAGTCCACTGCTGGACATAGCCCATATTGATGTTATAATACATATTAATCTACATAAAACAGTGTCATGGTAACTTTATAAACTACTTCTTTTTTCCTTGCGACGATGTTTTAGCTTGGACCTTTTCTAAAAAGGCTGAACACCTAGCTAGTTGTGTGTTCATCGAATATGTAACTCCATTCTAATAAACATGTGATTTGATTCTTATTTGAAAAACTAGGTAAAATTAAAAAATACTATTGCATCATTAGTATTTCGTTGGAATTGTCTAGTTTAGTTTGGATATAGTTATGTTACCGGGTTTTGTGAATTATGAGTTTGAGACTTATTATCCATTGAGTCCTTTTTGTCATCTCTTTCTTCAGTAGTATTCTTCTGTACTGCAAGTGTACTTAGAGCTCTCATCAAGCCAATGGTGTCTAGTGGTATGTTACCATCACTTTCATTACTATTAACCACACCGGGTATTAAATTATAATTTTGAGCTTTTTCAGTTTTACCACTCTGTAATTAAAGAAAATACGAATACAAGTGACGCAAAAAGTAGGACATCAATTTATTTATTTACCCAAATAAATCCATTTAAATAAAAGTTGAATCGACTTCAAACAATACAGACAAAGAACACTAAAAATTTAAAAATAATTACTAATTTAAGTAAAAAAACTATAATAAGTATTCTTAATATAACAGGTAATATTATAATACCAATAGTCCCTTCTAGTCTGTTTGAAGTTGGTGCCAAGCAGGATGCACAATTTGCTAAACTGGTCTACCTATAAAGCTAGAGAAACAAGCTAAAACACGTTGTCGCCCCTGTAAAATTTGAGGGTCCCGCGATTTCTCTAGGATCTCATCATCAGATCTTGATTTGGTGGTAATGAGACCACCTCGGGAGCATACCCTTTCGATTACAAAAAGAATTTTGAAAACCAGTCCACAATTGAGGGAGATATACCATACAAAAAATAAATTCAGACGAATTGATAACCTCCTCTTTTAGTTTTTGGAAGTCGGTTAAAAATAGTATCGCTGGAAATACATTCAGAGCATAAAAGTACTCGTAAATGTGCAAAAAGAAACATAAATGATTTACCAGATATCAGCAAAGAATAATCTCAAACTTTAAACCCTTAATGTAACGCTTTGATTTCTTTCTGGCTCTCGTTTTTCTTTCGTTTTTCTGACTCGTGTCTTGAGTACCTATATGCTCCACACGCGCCGTACACAGGTCTTCTGCCCTATTATTTACTCAGATAGACATGTACTCAGAACCGTAGGGCTTTTATGAAATGGATTGTTTAGGGTGTATTAAGGATTTACTTAGTGGGCTTTCGCTCCTTGTATGCGTCAAAAATCTTTGTCATTAGACAGAACAAAGACACACAGTGACAAAACAAACTTGTAAAATGTCACAAAAACCCCAAAAAGACTTGGAATATAATGAAAAGATATCTGTCATATTAAAAATTAAAAGATATTAAAAATTCATATTAAAAAGTCATATTAAAAAATCTGGCGGTAGACCCATAGAACTTCTCTCGACTAGTGATACACCACATAGTTCTTTAAATTTAGCCAACTATTGGCAGTGACTTGGCTGGTTATACACTAAATAAGCTTAATAAAACTGAGGCTAGCCGCGCTCGAGTGTTGCATACAGTCTCCTCTCTACTCCATGTCATTCACACCAACTGATCCAAAAGAGATACAGAGTATTATTATATCCCTTAAATCAGGCCAGGCCAGGCCATGATAACATCAACATACACAAACAAAACACATACTCTCTGAACCCATAACGCATCTCTGTAATCTCAGTTTAAAGCATGGTAAACTTCCCAACCAAGTTCAAAACGGCTATTGTTTCACCTATTCACAAATCTGATGATAAGAAAATGGTATCCAACTATAGACCAATCTAGCTGCTACTTTGTTTGTCTAAGATACTAGAGAAACTCGTTAACGAAGGACTTGTGAGCTACCAGGAGATGAACTATTATCACCTAATCAATTTGGATTTCGATGGGGAGTTTCCACAGACGATGCTGTACTCCGCATAACCTCGACTGTTACCAAGCATCTTGATATGGGTAGTAAAGTAATTGGCGTTTTCCTAGACCTGAAAAAAGCCTTTGACACAGTATCGGTTCCTATCCTTCTATCGAAGCTCGACAAAACGAGTATTAGAGGTCACGTTCGTCAATTGTTTCAAGAATTTATATCGGGTAGATTTCAGCGAGTCAGAGTGGGTAACTACGTAAGTGATGATGCAGTTTGTACTTTCGGCATTCCGCAGGGCAGCACCATTGGGCCGACGTTGTTCCTAACTTATAAAACGGTCTAGTGGAACTGGAACTACCTAACGCAAAAGTCATAATGTTTGCCGATGACACGGTCATTCTTTTTCATGGTCATACGTGGGAGCAAACAAAAACTGTGGCTGTAGATGGTCTTGCGAACAAGATGTCTCAAAATAATCTCCTGACTATGAACACCGGTATAACAAAATTGATGTTACACTAAAACCATTTTTTCTCTCCCAACTTCGCAAATTAGCATAAAAACTCATAGTTTACCGTGTAATAACCACATAAGATAGTACAATAGAAAGTTTAAATGACACCGAGCTCTTGCAGGATGATTTAAATGAAGTGATTGAGTGGTGCAGAAACAACAAAATGGAACTGAATACCAGCAAATGCTATCATATAAAGTTTACTAGGAAGGTTTACAATATTTCGTCAGAATACCTAGTTGATGATATAAAAATTCAAGAAGTGGAAACAATTAGGGATCTAGGAGTTGTATTTGACAAAAAGGCTACCTTCTTGCCACATCTAGATAGCATAACTAAGAAAGCATCTAGAATGTTAGGATTTATACTGCGTAATTCTAGAGGTTTTAAGAGTAGCAAAACAAAGGTTGTGTTATACAATAGTCTTGTGCGGAGCATCTTGGAGTACTGTAGTGTTGTTTGGCGACCTCACTATGCTGTACATATGCTGCGACTGGAGCGCGTTCAGAAACGTTTTCTTTTTCACCTTGCATTCTGCGAGGGGAAAACTAAACAGTTGCCGTCGTACAACTCACGTCTGCAGTACTTCAGGATGCAACCACTGTCGGTGCGGAGGGTGATTGTGGATGCATTGTTTGGACTTAAACTTCTGCGTAATCAAATTAGTTGCCCTTGCTTGCTTGACCTGATTAGATTCCGGGCTCCATCTAGATATCCTAGAAACACTATCACGCCCTTTTACCCACCTTTACGCAGAACAGTTTTGGGTGCTAACTCGCCAATTCCCAGACTTTGTAAAGTAATCAACGGCTGCAGTGACATAGTAGATATTTATAGCGATAACATTGGGAAACTTTACAGTACTATTGTCAACTTTTATAATAAAATTGGTTAATTTATGAATTGAGTGTATTGATGAAATTGTTTTGCATGGGTTTTATTTATTCATTGTACTAATTTTTTAATTTGTTATTGTCATTATTAAAAAAAAAATGTTGTTATAATTATTTCTCTAATTTAAGATATATTTCATTTTTAAGTTGTATACATTTATAATGTTCTAAGCATGCAGTGTTAACCTTTAATAAATTGTTACACTTATGTTAGTAATAAGTTTGTAAATAAATTGTAAGTTGCAGTGTAAACAATTGTTGGTTAGCCATAAAATAAATAAATAAGTCATGTCTCTGTGACTCTCTAACTCGGGCAACATCATTAAAATATCTAGGAGTTATTGTCGATGAGAAGTTGCAATGGGGACCACATATTTCGCATCTCACTGGCAGAGTCAGGAGATTGATTTACATATTCAAGCAAATGAGAACAGTTGCAAAAATACTAAACTTTTAATTCAGACCTATATAGCTCTCTGTGAGTGCGTGGTAAACTACCGCATCTGTTCTTGGGGTGGACAACAAAAACGATAATCACTGAACTTGAACGTGCTCAGCTTGCCCTCCTAAAAGTACTTATGTACCTACCGTTTCGACACCCAACAACTGAACTCCACACACGTGCCATTCCTTACCTACCAAATACAAACAAAACACGATTTCGATGCCCCGTATCAAAGGTTCAATCCAGTTTTGAACAAAATTACAAAATAATATTGCATCCTTAAGTTTTCTTTGGAATTATCTAGTTTAGTTTAGATATATTTATGTTACCGGGTTTTGTGAATTATCGGTTTGAGACTTATTATCCATTGAGTCCTTTTTGTCATCTTTTTCTTCAGTAGTATTTATCTTTACTGTAAGTGTACTTAGAGTTCTCATCAAGCCAATGGTATCTTGTGGTATGTTACCATCACTTTCATTACTATTATCAACATTTGGTATTAAATTGTCATTTTGAGCTTTTTCAGTTTTACCACTCTGTAATTAAAGTAAATTAAAGCGACTTCAAACAATACTGACAAAGAGCACTAAACAATTTAAAATAATTGCAAATCTAAGTAAAAAAACTATAATAAGTATTCTCAATATAGCAGGGAATACTATAATACAAATAGCCCTTCTATTCTGTTTATAGTCGGTGCCAAGCCCGATGCACAATTAGCAATACTGGTCTATCTACAAAGCTAATGAAACAAGCTAAAACACGTTGTCGCCCCTGTAACATTTAAGGGTTTTCCTCTATTTCACTAGGATCCCACCTCTGATTTGATATCCTGATTTGGTGGTAAAGGGTCTACCTCGGGAGCATACCCTTTCGAATACAAAAATAATTTTGACAATCGAACCACAATTGACGGAGATATCGCGTAATATACAAAAAAAAAGTGACGAATTGATAACCTCCTCTTTTGTGTTTTGGAAGTCGGTTAAAAATAGTATTGCTGGAAATACATTCAGAGCATAAAAGTACTCGTAAATGTGTAGAAAGAAACATAAATGATTTACCAGATATCAGCAAAGAATAATCTTAAACTTTAAACCCTTTGTCATGGCGGCACAAGACTTTTGCCCTATCATTTATTCAAAAAGACATGTGCTCAGAACCGTTGGCCTTTTATGAAATGGATTCTTCAGGGTATATTAAGGATTTACTTGGTGGGCATTTCGCTCGTTGTATGCGTCAAAATTTTTTGTCATTAGATAAAAATGGCTGAATTCCACGAATCAAAAACTGATCGTTAAGGTACTTAGAGGTCATATCTCAGTAGACAAATCCGACCGGCACCAACTCGTCTTTCGGTGTCCACTAGTTATTGATAGATAGTCCACGGGCAGACGCCGCGTTGTTACCAGTAAACTTCGCGAATATTTTGTTAATTTCAATTGTTTACTTTTCAGCGTCATTCTCCTTTGGCATAAAAAAAAATTGCTAAAATTCAGTAAGTATTGTCCTGTACGCAAAAATTGAGTGGTTTCTGTCAGGGATCGTCATTTGCCTATGCATCATCCTCAAGCATTAACTACTCGCATACAGCGCGCCTTATCCGCGTGGTGACGGATTAAGAATACAGTGTCACCCCTATTAAACCCATGGGTGTCGTAAGAGCCGACTAAGGGATCAAATTACGCAGGTTAACAGCACTGTAAAGAAAAGAGAAGGAATACTTGAAACAAATCCTATACCAACCCATCTGGCCAGCGTGGTGTAGTAGGTCAAAACCTCTTTTCTAAGATGAGGCCTATGTCTTGCAGTGTACTAATTAAGGCTGTTGATGATGATGATGATTTATGGACAGTACTCCATTTAAGAATACTAACAGTTTGAGCCAAGGCAGTGCCGGTCGTGTGTTGAGTTCCTCTATTGAGCTATGACCTTAAAGTTTAATCATTAATTAAAGCCTTTAGCACCTACTGTAGCCTTGGTTCCTGTTGCGGCTACCGCAAATGTCGTTTTATAGTATGAGGATTTTCACTAAATTAACAACAAGTATTTCCTTTAAATAACAAGGCTTAATATATTTAATAATTTTTTTTGACCTTCAAACCTTCAAGAAAAGAGCGTACTCCCTCCTAAAAGGCCGGCAACGCGTTTGTGACTCCTTAGTTACTGACGTTCATGGGCGGCGATAGTCACTTTCCATCAGGTGACCCGTCTACTCGTCTGCCCCCTCTAACAGAAAAAAACCGTTTTAAACGCAAAACAAAATTCAAGCTTATGATCATCGTTTTAAATTGATGTTATTATACATATTAATGTACATAAAACAGCGTCTTGGTTACTTTATAAACTACTTCCTTTTTCCTTGTGACGATGTTTTAGCTTGGACCTTTTCTAAAAAGGCTGAATACCTACCCAGTTGTGTGTCCATCGAATATGTAACTTTATTCTAATAAACATGTGAGTTGATTCTTATATGTAAAACGATGTAAAATTACAAAATACTATTGCATCCTTAGGTTTTCTTTGGAATGATCTAGTTTAGTTTGGATATAGTTATGTTACCGGGTTTTGTGAATTATCAGTTTGAGACTTATTATCCATTGAGTCCTTTTTGTCATCTCTTTCTTGAGTAGTATTCATATGTACTGTAAATGTACTTAGAGTTCTCATCAAGCCAATGGTATCTTGTGGTATGTTACCATCACTTTCATTACTATTGTCAACATTTGATATTAAATTGTAATTTTGAGTTTTTTCAGTTTTACCACTCTGTAATTAAAGTAAATTAAAGCGACTTCAAACAATACTGACAAAGAGCACTAAACAATTTAAAATAATTGCAAATCTAAGTAAAAAAAAACTATAATAAGTATTCTCAATATAGCAGGGAATACTATAATACAAATAGCCCTTCTATTCTGTTTGAAGTCGGTGTCAAGCCCGATGCACAATTAGCAATACTGGTCTATCTATAAAGCTAGAGAAACAAGCTAAAACACGTTGTCGCCCCTGTAAAATTTGAGGGTCCCGCGATTTCTCTAGGATTTCATCATCAGATCTTGATTTGGTGGTAATGAGACCACCTCGGGAGCATACCCTTTCGATTACAAAAAGAATTTTGAAAACCAGTCCACAATTGAGGGAGATATGCCATACAAAAAATAACCTCCTCTTTTGTGTTTTGGAAGTCGGTTAAAAATAGTATTGCTGGAAATACATTCAGAGCATAAAAGTACTCGTAAATGTGCAGAAAGAAACATAAATGATTTAGCAGATATCAGCAAAGAATAATCCTAAACTTTAAACCCTTTATGTAACGCTTTGGTGTATTTCTGGCAAAAAGTGTCATGGCGGCACAAGACTTTTGCCCTATCATTTACTCAGAAAGACATGTACTCAGAACCGTAGGGCTTTTATGAAATGGATTCTTTAGGGTATATTAAGGATTTACTTAGTAGGCATTTCGCTCGTTGTATGCGTCAAAATTTTTTGTCATTAGATAAAAATGGCTGAATTCCACGAATCAAAAACTGATCGTTAAGGTACTTAGAGGTCATATCTCAGTAGACAAATCCGACCGGCACCAACTCGTCTTTCGGTGTCCACTAGTTATTGACAGATAGTCCACGGACAGACGCCGCGTTGTTACCAGTAAACTTCGCGAATATTTTGTTAATTTCAATTGTTTACTTTTCAGCGTCATTCTCCTTTGGCATAAAAAAAAATTGCTAAAATTCAGTAAGTATTGTCCTGTACGCAAATAATTGAGTGGTTTCTGTCAGGGATCGTCATTAGCCTATGCATCATCCTCAAGCATTAACTACTCGCATACAGCGCGCCTTATCCGCGTGGTGACGGATTAAGAATACAGTGTCACCCCTATTAAACCCATGGGTGTCGTAAGAGCCGACTAAGGGATCAAATTACGCAGATTAACAGCACTGTAAAGAAAAGAGAAGGAATACTTGAAACAAATCCTATACCAACCCATCTGGCCAGCGTGGTGTAGTAGGTCAAAACCTCTTTTCTAAGATGAGGCCTATGTCTTGCAGTGTACTAATTAAGGCTGTTGATGATGATGATGATTTAAGGACAGTACTCCATTTAAGAATACTAACAGTTTGAGCCAAGGCAGTGCCGGTCGTGTGTCGAGTTCCTCTATTGAGCTATGACCTTAAAGTTTAATCATTAATTAAAGCCTTTAGCACCGACTGTAGCCTTGGTTCCTGTTGCGGCCACCGCAAATGTCGTTTTATAGTATTAGGATTTTCACTAAATTAACACCAAGTATTTCCTTTAAATAACAAGGCTTAGTATATTTAATATTTTTGACGTGACAACGTCTTATAATTCGATGGAGCCGGCTGCACGCACGAAAAAACATGACTCATGCGGCGTTACCTCGCTCTGAGGCGTTCCATTTTGAGGCTTGAAGTGCAAGCGGGAGCGCGGAACGAGCGACAAAGAGGCACAATCGGCCTCCGCGTTCGGCAGCGTTTGACATCTGTCTCTGTCCTACTTGAGTGAGCGATGCGTCCGCGTGGACAGCTGCTATACAATAATACATTTACATGTTTTCGTAAAATGCAACCATTCCATCAGTATTTTCTTATGACGTTGTCATGTGCAACTATCGTCAGTAAACCGACTTTACAGACAACCGATTTTTTTTTTGACCTTCAAACCTTCAAGAAAAGAGCGTACTCCCTCCTAAAAGGCCAGCAACGCGTTTGTGACTCCTTAATTGCTGACGTTTCATGGGCGGCGATAGTCACTTTCCATCAGGTGACCCGTCTGCTCGTCTGCCCCCTCTAACATAAAAAAACCGTTTTAAACGCAAAACCAAATTCAAGCTTATGATCATCGTTTTAAATTGATGTTATTATACATATTAATGTACATAAAACAGCCTTTTGGTTACTTTATAAACTACTTCCTTTTTCCTTGTGACGATGTTTTAGCTTGGACCTTTTCTAAAAAGGCTGAATACCTACCCAGTTGTGTGTCCATCGAATATGTAACTTATTCTAATAAACATGTGAGTTGATTCTTATTTGTAAAACGAGGTAAAATTACAAAATACTATTGCATCCTTAGGTTTTCTTTGGAATGATCTAGTTTAGTTTGGATATAGTTATGTTACCGGGTTTTGTGAATTATCAGTTTGAGACTTATTATCCATTGAGTCCTTTTTGTCATCTCTTTCTTGAGTAGTATTCATATTTACTGTAAATGTACTTAGAGTTCTCATCAAGCCAATGGTATCTTGTAGTATGTTATCATCACTTTCAATACTATTATCAACATTTGGTATTAAATTGACATTTTGAGCTTTTTCAGTTTTACCACTCTGTAATTAAATAAAATACGAATACAAGTGACGCAAAAAGTAGGAAATCAATTTATTTATTTACCCAAAAAATAATATAGTATCGCTGGAAATACATTCAGAGCATACAAGTACTCGTAGATGGGCAGAAAGAAACATAAATGATTTACCAGAGATCAGCAAAGAATAATCTTAGACTTTAAACCCTTTATGTAACGGTCTGGTATCTTTCTGGCAATAAGTGTCGTGACTACTTATATGCTCCACACGCACCGTACACAGGACTTTTGCCATAACATTTATTCAGAAGGACATGTACTCATAACCCTAGGGCTTTATGAAATGTTTAACGGCAGTTGAGGAAACTCGTAAAGTAAAGGTAAATCTAGACTCAAGTAGACTGTTCTCTGTCTTATTCTTGTGTCTCTACGCAGTGTTTCCACTCGCTGCAGAAAGACCTAAACTTACACATGTACGCAAAAATGCGTCACCTTTTTCTAAAATTAGAACATCTCCTTTGAAAATGACAAGGGCTTCATGTACGGCATTATCGGCTTCCTGTACTTTTCGATGCTTTGATTCTTAACCGTAACAGTGATTATGATCATCAGACACAGTAAGTAATAAGGTTTCAGACACGTCTATGGGGGGTTATTAGCACAGATAATAGAGTGCTCAAATAAGAGCAAGAAATATATTTATATGATAAACATGTGTTACCTGTTTCTGTGACGTATTTTGCTGGCGCTTAAGTTCAGCTACTGTTTTGGTTTGGTCCTCATTAATACCTTCGAGACACTAAAAAATTGATTTACTTTTCATCAATTGATTATATTATAAAAGTACAAATTATTTCAAAGACTTTTAGAGGTAGATTAAAAACCATTTGTTTTTTTTTATTAAGGGAAACTAGTCAATTTAGTAAATGAATAATCATATTGTGCATAGAAATTAAGTCAATGGATCTATACATACTTAAGGCTCCTAAAATATAATGTGAAAAAATGTACTGTATACTGATACAAATTCTTGTTAAGCGACTCTACACGATATACTCGTAGGTACACACATACTGTCGTTACATAAAGTGAAACATTTTAGTAATGGGAGGCGAATTTCTCCATGAAAAACATGATGACAAGTATAAAATAATATTAATTTAGCTCTTGGTATGGTGACGAATGAAAAATACGGCGGGTAATCAACCCTATTCATCTCAGGGGTGTTGTAAGAGTTTCCACCCAGGAGGGGGTCACACGCCGTAGATGGCCCAAGGTACGTCGGGGTATCAGGGATTTCCTTCCTAGGGTACACCTGTTTGCCCGGCAACTGGTACCCGAGACCGCGTTTGATCGGTTTGAATCCGACATAACCACCGGTGGGTGGTGTCCGAGGGGATTTCCGCACAGGAAGAAAAAAGGGGTGTCGTAAGAGTCAATTAAGGGAACAAACTACGCAGGACAATAGCACTTCAAAGAGAGGAAAAACTTGGCTCAAACCCTATAAAAAACCCGTCTGGACATCGTGGTATAGAAGGCCAAAATCTTCTCTTTAAGGAGAGGCGGAAAGGCCTATGTACAGCAGTGCGCTACTAAAGTCTATTGATGATTATCTCTTCATACAATTTTAGACAACACACCAGATTTTGCCAACTACAATTTGGTGCTACTCACGTAACTGGGAAATATGAGAGATTTCGGTCAAGGACGAAAGGCAATGGAAAGATATTGCTTATACGGATGACCTAGGTAGTCTAAGCATTAGCTCGCGTAGGTCGTCATGTCACTCGAAGAAGCTGTTGCGAGGAAGTCTTAGCATAACGATGTTTCAAAAATGTGTATATTTCTAATATCAGCTAGTACATAAGTCTATTTGTTTTACCAGACGTCGATCAAAAACTATGAATGCTATGACTATTAATCGTTTTATCCGCATACTTTTACCTCCCTGTTTTATAAGAAATGTATATGATTGCACCAACCTTAACTAGGAAACTAGGACTTGCCATATTGCGATTTTGGTAAACATTAGATAAAACTGATTTACTTCTTCTCTTTGACAGAAATTGTTGCTTGTTAGCGTCGACACTATTTCGGCTTCCATTGGCATTAGTTTTCTCGTTTACTTTTTTTATATCAGCTTTCTCTTGACTCATTTTCTTGTCATCCATTTTTAAATCTTTACTCTGATTGTCATTCACCTCAGTAAAATCTTTAGTGTTGCGCTCACTTCTATCAGTGGCTGTACCATTTTGAGACTCGTGTCTGTCATCAGTATCATTATTTTCATTCTCGGTATATTCAGATATCTTATTTGTTTTATTGAAATCAAACATATCTTTAGTTCTATTACGACTCATGTTAACAGAATTTCTGACACTAGTTGCAGGTACAGTTTGCATTCGATTAGCAGCTGGTAGTGCTGGAGTTTTATCTTCAATATCCACGTTGTAGTTTTCAATAACACCAGGAGATGTTTCTGTATTAGTGAAATCTCGATTTTTAGTGTCCTCAAGTATATATGGTTCTACAGATGGTGCTATCATTGTTCCTTTTTTATTGTTGCCGTTTAAAATACGCTTAGAATTGTTGTTCATATTTTTATTCTCCTCAGTATTTGTTTGATATTGTCCATTATCTATATCAGATAGTTTTACAGATTTTGTAGTTATAGATAAGCCTTGATCTTTATTGGAATTAACTATATCATTATTTTTTCCGACATCATAATTGTTTTTATTGCTTGTATTAGAAGAGATAGAAGACTTTGCAGGCGTGTTGTTTTCACTGTAGCATTTAGAGGTGCACTGATGCTTGAAACTAGGTTTCTGGGTAAGTTGAGAGAAATGAAAGTATTGTAATAACCACATAAATACAGTAGGCGCTAGAGTATATTATGTATTATATGTTTTACCTTAACTCTAACTCAACACCATAACGATATTTGACATATACTTACCTCTATTACTTAAGTTATAATTATATGTTTGTCTTGTAATTTAATTTTTAGATTTAAATATTCCATAACTAGACCGTAGGGCGCCCCCTGACAGCGGGACTGATGACCTGAAGAAGGTAGCTGTGATGGACTGGATGAGGAAGGTAAAGGATTAGGTGCTATGGTGCAAATCGGTAGAGGTTATGTTCAGCGCAGCAGTAGATTGGGATAGTCTATAATAGTAACCTCACACATCTCACATAAGGCCGGTGATGGAATAATTTGTCTTTTCACTCATATTTAATTGTGAATTCTTATTAGCAGTTAGCAAATTAATTGTAGTCGTGAAATTTCGGGAACATCCAACAGGTCATTGCTATGATTGAATGATTCCTCTATTATTAACCACAATATTTAATGAATTTTAACCTAAATATCTGTTTTTAAACTAAAATAATTTTATATAAAATAAGTAATAGAAATTATTAATAAATACATACATTCCTAAATGGGCATTGGTTGTTCGGACAATTAGGATTACAGTTACAAGTCCAAGAGTAGCCCTCTTGTTGTGCATAATCTTCTGTATCTTCTCTATTTTCCTAAAATGTATCAAAACAGTTTTTATTAAAAAAAAATAGAAAAAAATATTATATATTAGAATCCCCAGTGACCACCTGAGATCACGGCCTGTGCAACACGGTTTTGACCATCATCATCAATATCAACAGCTTTTAATAGTCAATTGCTGGCCTTGGGCCTCTCATTAGAAAGGAGGTTTTGGCCCACTATACCACGCTGACTCAATATAGGGTTTGTTTCAAGTTTTACTTCTCTTTGCAGTATTGTTGTCCTGCGTAGTTTGCTCCCTTAATCGGCTCTTACGACATCCACGGGATGAACAAGTCACACTCCGTATTCGTAATCTGTCACAACACGGTATAACGAAAGATATGTAATACCTCATAATTGTATCTCTAATAATATTTCGGACATTGGGCATCTGACACACAACGCATCTAGTTTCAAACTAAGCAAAGCTTGTACCATGAAAGCTATATTAACAGATAGAATACTTATATACTTTTTTTGTAGACATACATATTATAATAGATAGAAAACACCCATAAGCCGAAACAAATGTTTGGCGATAAAACAAACATTTGTCTAGAATCGAGACAAAGAGACGAGACGCGTACGCTATCACTGCAGAACCGAGGCAGTCTCAACATGATCGCATTCCTTTCTGTATATATATCCTTGTTTTTTTTTAATCCTCAACATTAATATTCCAGTATCTATAATTTCGAACACTAGTTCTAAATACATAAAATCATATAGTTACCATTACTTTCTTATTTATTAATTGATGTTCTTGCGTTAGCTGATTATGTAATTGAGAGAGTCTCAATTGTGAGAGCAACTCAGACACTTTCTTCTTTTCCTTTTCAAGTTGCACTTCGAGATCCGCTGTAAAAAGAACATGTTTTTGACGAATACTTGTTCTGTCGATTGGTAAGCTAAACTTTGATAGAACTATGTTACTGCACAAATTGACAGAAACTATACCTTAATAATATCAAACAAATGAGGCATCAATTTATTACTTTAAGTTGAATTATGGCTATTACAGGAAGTCGTCAGTGGCTTGATACATACCAGAGTATGCTGCAGAGTTTCTCAGATTATTGACCAATTTGTTCCAGTAAGTCTCTGATGGTAGAGAGACCTCCTGCCCTTCAACCATACGCTTGCTGTCCATTTGCGTGTTTTCTTTACGATATTCATGGACTCCATCCTCCAGACGACTAATTCGATCAGAATATTTTTTATGTGTCTGGGCAAGTTCCTGTAGTTTTTTTTTTGTATTTAATGCAGCTGTGCTTAAATTTATGATAAACAAGTAAATATAAATTCAATTTAGACTCGAAAATACATAATAAAGAATGCTGGTGAACCGGTTTCAACATCACTAGTAAGTTATGTTACGAATGGATTAACGCCAGAACTAAAGTATGGTACTGCTATTGTGCTACATTGCGATCAATTTCGATTGGTACGAGTACAAGACATGAAACATGTACACTATAGAAAATTGCAGTTAAACACCAGTGCATGCTCTCTGTAGTGTTCTCCTTCTGAAGATTTAGGTAAAACGGCTAACGGGTCAAGCAAAAGGTAAGGCGAAAACCCTCGAGACTGTAGACCTATACTCCAAAGTCATCTGAAGCTGCAACCCTCAAGATTTTACCTCAACTAAGTGGGTAATCTTCAATTTTAACTCATCCATAAGTGTCCTACATCTATTCTCATCACACAATGTGTCCTTCTGACCTTCTTTTTCGTGATATTTGTAGGGGGTTTTACTGAAATTTATAAACAAATAAAAGTAGAGTATAATCTAATAATTTCTAGTTATTTGTTACATGCTAAGTTGTATTTTGAACTCCACAAATTATATATATTATCTAATTTGTTACTTTCGACACTTTGTTACATCTTGACTTTGGTCGGTTACTCCCTTAGTAACCCATGAGAATAAGGTTATTTTTTTTTATCTCACACATCTCTCACACGGATGTCTGATCCCAAACTAGGCAGAGCCTGTGCTGTGGTAACCAGACTGCTGATAAACATACTTATATATTTTTAAATACATACATATTATAGATAAATTACACCCAGACACAGAACAAACGATCATGCTCATCACACAAATATTTGTTCTGGGTGGGAATCGAACCCACGACCTCCGCTTTAGCAGTCAGGGTCACTAACCACTAGACCAACAGGCCTTATATAACTTCAAAATTGATAAAGTTAGATATGAATAGTGTGCATGAATAAATATATTGTAGTTAATTTTAATTTGTGGTTTTTTTTCTACTATAATAGTAATACTAACATTGTGAATTGTTATAGTAGAATAGTTAAAACATTATTAGATATTTTATTATTGGGTAATTTAGAACAACAAAAATTGAGATAAGGAAGCCTATCACTCTTATACATAATGATATTGTTGACTAAAGGGGTGGTAGGGGACGTGAGCCTAAAACGGGTAGCCCGCCTAAAACGGGTAGGCTTGCTAGTAAGCGTATTACGACTATTAGTGAGAATATGTGAGTGCGGACAGGTGGCGTGACTGTCGACGAATCACAGGCAGTCAGCTCATCGCTGTGAAGCAAGCGCTTGCAAGGTATGACAAAAAAAAATTTTTTCGCTGATTTTACTAAAAAAAATAGAAGTATGCTAGCTCTGACTACTCAAATATTGTGTAGAATATGTTTACCTAAGTTTTGTGTGATGATTTTACAAGTAATGTGCCTCTAAATTTCGAAAACTCGTGAGTTTTCTGAATTTTGTTTTGAGGTTATGGCCTTGCAAAATAAAAAACGTGCTTTTGGGCAAAACGGGTAGGGGTAAAACGGGTATAAACCCGATTTGCCCTGGTATAAACGTGTAGGTAATTTAGCTGGTTGCGATAAAGTTTTAATTGCTTATTTTGTTTTTATATTGTAGATGGTTAACAAATATAAAAGAAAAACTTCTAACGCATCGTGGGATGAGAACGTAATGAATCTTGCTATGTAAGAAGCTAGCAAAAGCTCCGTAAATGCTGCAGCTAAGAAGTACGGTATAAAGTTATCCACGTTGCAGCGGCATATCAAAAAAGGATGCCACTACCATATGGCCAACCAAACGGCATATATTTGATGACAGTGATTATATGCCATCTACTCTAACAGACAGGCCAGAACCTACAACTGAAAATGAGAATGAGTCAACAACTATTGAACCCGATGTGTCTAATATCAATAATCCTATTGAAATACCTCTTACCAATATTGCTGATGGACTGGCTGTTGCAAACGAAAACGCTGTTGAACATTCAGATTGCAGTAGAACTATTATACTACCCAGCACAGCAGCAGCGACTACAGGACAAACTGTAAATACAGCAATAGTGATGCAACCTGACACTTCTTCACCACAAATGGCAGACACAGAACTGGAGTTGTAAGTTACTGAAGTCAACAGACCTTTGACTCCAGAAATGACTAACGTACTAAGTGATTGTACTAATATTCAGCCTTCAGTACCAATAAAACAGCATAAAACCCCACTAGATATTAGGCCACTTCCTCAAATGACACCAAATATATCTACCCGAAAACGTAAAACACAAAAGGCTGAAATACTCACAAGTACACCAGTAAAAGAAGCACAAAGAAACACGAAAATAAGAAGAAGAAACGTACTAACACTAAGCTTGAGACAGTGAAGAAAAAATTAAAGGAACCCAGCACTTATAAGAAGAAGTGTGGTAAAAAGAATAAAAAATCGAAGGAAGTAAAAGCATCTTGTAGTAATATCAATAAGAGACAGGTAAGATCCAAACGTAGTCCAAAAAATAGTCAAAATGACGAAGCTGAATACGCTTGTTTGGTTTGTACTGAGTTATGTACTCATCCACCACTAGAAGATTGGATCAGGTGTGATGATTGTAATATGTGGGCTCATGAAGCGTGCACTACTTATTCTGGTAGAGGCCATTATTACTGTGATGCCTGTCAAGAATAAATCAGAAGTTTGTTGATTTTATAGATATTTGTTTCATGGTAGTTTCTAAGTTGATTTAAAGTTTAAAGGAAGATTTTAATTTTAATATGAGACTGATAAAAAATTTAAGAGACTTATAATTGAGGCTTAGATATTTTTTTTGTTACAAAATACTTTAAAAATATGTTATTTTTGTTGATTGATCTCATTATTCAGCCTTTACCCGTTTTGCCTAAATGCGGTACCCGATTTAGGCCCCCCATAAGGGCAAAACGGGTATTTCAAAGGATGTTCTATTTTGTGTTTTTCTATGATTAATGAAGAGAATGATTATGTTTGTTTTTGTTTTTCGATACTTTATTAAAGGAACGTTCCGCGAAATATAAATATTGTGAAGTATTTTTTATTTCACATCTTCCTTAGCTTACCCGTTTTAGGCTCATCTCCCCTAGTACAACGTTTCGAACCATTAAACTTTGCCATCGCGGGCCCTAAAGACAATTTCGATAAATTAGTAAAAACCGTTTCAATTTAAACGGTTTAATTGAGAAGTAAGCTAATTATGATGTAGACAATGTAGTAAAAGGTGAAAAATAGCTGGGTAGGTCCCCTATTCATGCCGTGGGTGTCGTAAGAGACGACTAAGGGAGAAAACTACGCAGAACAACAGCACTGCAGAGAGAAGCAAAACTTGACACAAACCCTATACCAACTCCTCTGGCCAGCGTGGTATAGTAGGCCAAAACCTCCGTTCTAAGGAGAGGCTTATGTCCAGCAGTGGACTATTAAAGGCTGTTGATGAGGTCCTAGACACCAGTGATCACACCACTCTCCTCATGAATCTACGGCTATGATCAGATGCAAATGTTAAATCGTGGGGCGTATATGAATGGTTGACTGTTGATAGATTTTTTTATATAACGGTTTTTCTTTTTAATAAAATCCTCCCGCATTAGAAATAAATCCTGTGTCGCGGGGGACTTTACAAACATACATGAAACGGACACAAAGAACACCCAGACTCAGAACAACAATTTGTGGAACACACAAAGTGTCGTCCCATGTGGGGTTTGAACCAACAACACTCGGCGTAGTAGGAAGCGGCGTGGCGAGTGCTAAAACCACTACGCCTTCCGTGCAGTCGAGTTTATACTTCAGTTCTAAATTTTTCTCAATTTCACGATAACCCTAAGATATTAGTTTAAATGGAAATCATAATTTGAATGAAACACTTAAAGTTATTAAGTATTAATTTGATAAGGATTAATATCGCATCCGTTTAAATAGCCGTTCCACATTGTATGTAACCAGTTTTATACACATTAAAGTGGATATAGTAGGCCATCCTTAAAATGCAATCACCTTTCTATAGATCTATGAAAGGGGAACAATTCCACCATACATTGTTTTGTTATATCTCAAAGGGATTTGGCAGCGTTTTCGATGAAACCTCCAAGTCGGTTTGTTTTTTCCGTCATCTCCAATAATTATCGTCATATTTCAACCAATTTACGGAAAACTTTAATGATTTATCCATATAAACTTAAACTAAAAACATAAAAACTTTCTCATTAAACACTTTGTCCATTGGTGTAAACCATATGAAAATACGTTTAGTAGTTTGTTAAATTAACGAGCTCAAACAGAGAGGCAGACGCTGCGGGGGATTTTGTTCTATAAAATGTAGTGATAGTGATAAAATACCGTATTTTACTAGTCAAGACCTGTCTGTTCATATCTATATAGAGGTGGTTTGAAAAAATAATTTAATCCGCCATTTTGTGGTGTCAGCCATCTTGGACATACAATGAAACTGAATATATATTTTTTTCAGAAGAAGTCAACCAAATTTCAGATCAACCGGTCAAACGGAAGTAGGTAAAATTTTAATAACTAAATTTGACTAAACAGGTCAAGTAAAATAAAACCATTAAAAAACGAAGTAATCGTAATAATTCAAAACCGTCTTTATTATTTCTTTTAAAGTTTACTGAATACCAGCTCAGAAAAGGAGACGTCCTCCTTTTTATTCTTCCATCTATTCTTTTTTCTTGCTTAAATACTTCAGGCATGTGTCCATCATCAGCCATCATAATTTGTATTAGGATCATTAGCGAGGAATTTACTACGCTATTTTCAATCAGGATACTTTATCCTATCCCAGACCAGGATAGTTGTCGGTGTACGATTTATCAGGAGGCTATATTACGATACACTAAGTACCAATTGATCACAACCGCCCAATGTGACGCCTCACGCCGTCACGGCATGATGCTGAAAAAGGGCTCTCGTCCGGAGGCATCCCCGAAACATAGACAATGTAACATTTTTACATACTCATTAGGATGTAATGATTTGTACAAGGATAAACTAAGAAGAAAATAAAAACTGTATTCACCTTTTCGAGTCAGTTTGATTTTCAACGGATACCAAGCTAGTTTTGAGTCTGAAAAGTAGTATACAAACAATAAATTTTATTCTTTACAAACATTTTTGCCGACTCGATTTGAGTTTGAACAGTGTTTACGCTGCTATTATCTCTGTAAATTAAAATGTTAATTACTAACCGTCCACATCTTTGTTCGGATAACATGTATTTTGCTGGCTGGATAATAATAATATATCCTTTCCATATATGATTGATGATTCTGAAATTAAACTCCGACAAACATTTCGCTCTGATACGAGAGATTCAAAGATTATGTCGTTCACTCATTAATGAAATGTTCTGTCAGCGAAACATTCGTAGAGGAAAGGTTCTGTCGTTGATTAGATCTTATATAAAACGTTTTGTCGGCGAATCGTTCGTATTTGAAAGGTTCTGCCGTTGAACAACTCATAAACGAAACATTCTGTAGGCGACTCATTCGGCAGCGAATTGTTTGTAGAAGTTTAATTTCAGAATCACTTAGGTCATGTCAAAAAAGAAAAATATGTATCATTAGAATTGTGAAAAATGCCTTAGCCGGCTCTTACGACACCCATGGGATGAAGAGGGATGGTGACACTCTGTATTTTTTAATTCATCACCACACGGACACATTCTCGAATGTATACATAGGTCGACATAAGTCTCAAATGGGGAAAGGGAACTGAGAATACAATAGCTCGAACAGGCCAGGGTCTCGGACCCAAATGTCCTGTGATTAATAATGATATTGGAGAAGTCAGTAGGACTAAAATTTCAAATGAACCTTTTAAACAGAAATAAGTACTGCTAATGAGGCATATCTGAATTGATTGACAAAATGGATAAAATGTATTATTCAAGAAAACGAATTTGTTTGCTGTGACAATGAGTTCTCTGAACAAGCACACGCCATCGCTGCAGGGCGAACGAATATATTATACTCATAAAAGTATGGTAAAACCCTGTATTAAAATATCAGTATTAGGGAAATTCTAAAAACAATTGTATGTTGACATCGACTCTTGCTATGTAATTTAAGTGTTAAAAAGGTAAGAATTGTAAATTAATTATGGAAATATATATAGTCCATCTAATCTAAAAGGTACCGTTTGACGTTACACACTTTTCAAGACGCAACAACTTTATATTGGCGTAACTCACATAATTGTAATAAACTTTTCTGTAAAATCATAGAATTATGAAGCTATTTCTATTTTATCACAAGAAGTACAATTCTTAATGACTTAATTTATATTTTAATCTTTTAAACAAAGCAAAACAACTAATATATACAATAGATAGAAATATAGTTTTTTTTTGCTTCAGTAGGTCCTTTACAGTAATGTTGCAACTTTTCAAATTCACTTTGAATACGAATAATCGTTTAAATGTACGAATAATCGAACTTATTAATAACCTGCAATTTTCAATATAAACGTCTCGTGGTATCTACAATAGGCGCCATACAAGTCTTACTACTAAAGTGGCAAACAAGTATACATATCATGCTTTTGGGAACAGCTCCGGTCTATTAGAGAATAGGTTAATTATATTATCAATGAATAGACATGATTCAAAGTACATTGGATTTTTAATAGGAGCAAATGAACAAGGTAAGAACGAACTACATTATATTATGAACTTACTAATAACACTAAACTTAGAGTTTATTAATTTCTATTAATATAATAAATTTTGTGCCCTTCTTCGCTTAACGGCAGATACGCTTTATATTTCTCTAACAACGTGTCTTTTGGCGTCTATGAATGAGGCTGATCATAAATATTTAAAAAAATTGGAAACTGCAAATTTTAAAAGTCGAAAATTGCTTGCATCTAGTTTCTTATCAATTCTATGTGATGAATATAAAAAAGTACCTGCAAGCAATTTTCAACCTAATCAACCTTCTCAATTTATAATTTATTTTATTTTCGTGATCAGCGTCATTTATAGATGCCAAAAACAGGTTTTAAAAGAAATGCAATTAAGGGCGAAAATTGCTTGAAACTTTTTTGTTTTGTGTATGTGTTGACTTCCATAAAATTAGGTGCAAGGTATATTTTCGCCCTACTTTACCACTCATAATTATGTTCCTGAAACTAGACCTTGTGTTATTTATTTGTCTTTACTTTACTAGTAAAATTTAAGATATATAATAATAATAAAAGGGTATACATAAATCTGTAAAACTGTAATCGATTTGTAAATACAAAGAAATTATATCGATATCTCATAAGAATCGGATACTGTAGTATACAATTTCTTTGACCCCTTCCCTAATTTGCAATCTGTCACAACTGACAAACGGTACCTCTTAGATTGACAAAAGTTAGAATATTTTACAGAAGTTTTGTTTACTAACTAATATTTTCATCAACAATTATTTATTTCTGAATATATATATATATATATTATATTATTATAGGTACTTACTGTTTCAAAGAATTTTCAGTCTTCACATTCGCCTCGACATTTTCTCTGTAAAATGAATAGTTTTAAAATTAAATGATCAACATTTAGCTTATAAATATTTAACGTCAAGTTATTGCATGTGTGTGTGTGTGTAGCATGTTTTTATTTAATTTAAAGAAATGTGTTAGGGTTTAACTATCTAATATTTTATCATCATAAAACAGATTTATCTTATAATTATAACTAGTCTTTTTACTGCTCTTTTTTTTATTTATTTTTCGTGTGGTGACGGATTAAGAATACGGAATTTCACCACCCCTATTCATCCCGTGGGTGTCGTAAGAGCCGACTAAGGAAGCAAACTACGCAGGACAACAGCACTGCAAAGAGAAGGAAAACTTAACACAAACCCTATACCTACGCGTCTGGCCTCCTTTTTAAGAAGAGGCCTATGTCCGTAGTGGAGTGGAGGAGTGTAATAGTCCACTGCTGTACTATTATAGGCTGCTGATGTGATGTGATGCTCGCCGTAGATTTTAAATATTACACCTAAACCATTAATGTTCACTTAGTAGTTTAAAGTTTAAAATATAAACCTTCTATTTATATAAAAAAAAATAATTGATTTGCGTACGCTTCTAAACTTCAAAAAGTTCTGAGTTAAAATTTGGACACGATATATACAACCCGTTCCAAAGTTTGTTTTTTTCTATTTATGGCGTCAGTTTTGTAACTCATCTCTCATCAATGTAACACACAATCTGCCACAGCAAACCGTTTTTAGGGTTCCGTACCTCAAAGGAAAAAACGGAACCCTTGGCGTGTCTCTCTGTCTGTCAAGACGTTCTCGACATAAAGGATGTCGAGAACGCTTGAAGGTATCGAGTTGAAATTAAAACCATATACTCATTTCTACTGTCCCTTGAAGCTATGACAAAATCAAACTTCTAGGTTAATGTAATAAAAGATACGGCCGTCTATACCACAAAAAACGCATATTTCGAAACTGTCAAAGAAATTAAAATTCATTGGGTACTTCCCGTTGACCCAGAACTATAAAATTTGGCAAGTAACATCATCTTATACTACAAGTACAGGAAAAAATTGTAATTTAATCATAAAAATAAAGTCTTTATTTAAAGTACGTAATCAATCATCGAGTTACAATTTCAGTTATTAAACAAAATGTAAGTAATTATAGGTTTTGGAAACTGAATTTCAGGAAAAGCTCCGAAAAAACTCGATTCTTGAACTATTTATAATATGTACCCACAAATTTGTACGGAACCCTCGGTGGACGAGTCCGACTCGCACTTGTCCGGATTTTGATAATACATAAGCACGAATTTATTGGTTTAATTTTTTTTAGATAAATATATGTTATTTTTGTTCACCAAGCATTACTACCGTGAGTATTTACTATCTTAATATTATTTTGAAGAAAAGACGTAAAGTTGCTCTTTGCTGTTTGTAATGTCTTGTTTCGCTACCGTGTTTTTTTAAAGAATGTTATGTGAACAACGTGGCAGTTTAAAAAAAACGAGTGTGCTTTAGACCACACGACTAAAATAAAACTTCTTGGCTATGAGAGAAAGAGAGAAAGAAAATATGTGCTCGCACCTCTCTCTCTTGCCCCTTCAGTAATATACGATACGTAACTCTCTCTCTATCTATCTTCATTAACTTATATCTCCCTCTCAACTTCCGTTCTCCTCGCCCGATCATACTTTTCGTAACGCTCTCGTCACGCATTCACCAGCTTACTCCCCAAGTCAAGCATGCGTAAAGAAGTTTTACTTCAATAATTAAGATTTATTTTGTGAATTTACAACTCTTGTAAAAAACTTATTTTATGGTAATTGAATAATAATACAATATTACTTACTTCTGCAGCTCAGTTTTGATTTCCGCTGGTTGCAATTTATCTCTGTAAAATAATAAAACAATAAGCCATTTTGGTACTTATGTACGCCATATTTGTTTGAAAATGAGTATAAAGGATTTTCTTCACGTATTAATGTAGGTATAAATGTCATTTCGATGACGAAGAAATTCCTTTATACCAATTTATAAACAAATATGGAGTACAGAAGCACACCATATTTAGAAAACTTTATGGTTAAAACTGCATAAATATAAAATTAGTGATAAAAATCCATACTGATATTGGAAATGCGAAAATGTGTCTGTATGTTACCTCTTTACGCTTAAACCGCTGAACGGATTTAGATGAAATTTGGTATAGCGATATTCCGAGTCCCGGGAAAGGATTTGAAAATGCCTCAAACATGGAAGAGTCCAAAATATTCTATCAGTTACATGGCCTGAAGTATACCTATCCACATAACCCCAGGAATGACAAAACGAGGAGGTAACACAAAGTCCTAAAATTTGAGAAAATCGCAGTTGTAAAAAGTGATGTGTTTTTTTTTAAGGCATATTAAGACAATCGAGCAGACGGGTCATCTGATTGTAAGTGACTTCGGCTAATGGACAGTTGAAACTGAAGAGTCAGAAGTGCATTGGCAAACGTTGAGTCACCCTCTGCCGAAAACCTGGGGACGCGGTGTTGTAAAGCAACGAAAGACAATTCTTTATACCACGGCCCCACAGTAAACCGGTGCTACGTAATTGAGAACCGGTTTTCTGTGAGGCCGAGATCATTCGTGCCAAAGCATGGCTCTTCTACGAAAAGATAAGATTTTGAAATGTTAATGTTTTTTTCCTTAATATGACAATTAAACTCAAAAAGTGTACCTGAATGACGAAAATTCGATATTTTTTAACTCGGTTAGTTATTAAGTTGAAATAAATTTTATTTTCTTAATATCACTTACTTTGGCGGATTGGTTTGAGCCTCTACAGATCGTAATCTTCCATCTCTGTAATAAAAAATCACATATTGCAAAAATTCCTTAAAAAAAAACAAATACATAGAAAAATTTATAATTCCTATTCACAAACGTTATGTATTCATTAGGACTTGTTTTCATGAGTTATGACTATACGTTTCCAGTATTTCCGTTTTTTTAACCGACTTCAAGACAAGGAAAACTTGAAACAAACCCTATACCAACCCGTCTGGCCAGTGTGGTATAGTAGGCCAAAACCTCCTTTCTAAGGAGAGGCCTATGTCCAGCAGTGGACTAGTATAGGCTGTTGATGTGATGTGATGAACCGACTTCAATTAAATTCCTCCTAAAGTTGCCTTTTGTGTGTTAGCTCAAAACCCAATCATATATGAACCGATTTGAAAAATGTTTTTTTATTTGGAAGGGTTTGTAGGAGAAATACCACCACTGATTACATGTTGGGAAATTCAGGAAATAATATTATTATAATAATATACCATTTTCACACATCCCACACGCCCGTCTGATCCCATACTCGGCAGAGCCTGTACTATGGTAACCAGACTGCTGATAAACATACTTATATATTTCTGAATACATACATATCATAACCTCCTTCCTAAGGAGAGACCTATGTCCAGCAGTGGACTAGTAAAGTATGTTGATGACATATCATAGACAAAGTACACCCAGACACAGAACAAATGACATCACACAATTATTTGTCCTGGATGGGAATCGAACCCACGACCTCTTGCGTAGCAGTCACTAACCACTAGACCAACAGGCCAGTCTCAATGGTTTATTACAATACAATTAATCGTATTAGACGAATTTGATAGTTTTTAAAAGTTTATTATTGTCCACTGTTTTAGGTAGTTACCAAAAAACATGTTGTTTTCTTACCACACATTTCTAACGGGCATATTTACTTTTATTTAAGAAGACAATCAGTTAAACCGCTCTGTACTGCTATATCTTGTTTCAATACCAACCACGCTCATCCTATCTCTATTAGTATATACTCGAAGCGATATAGTGGTTCTATGTTCAAAATATATTTTTTGTAGCATGGCATGTAATCACAACGTGTAAAAATGATGCGAATATTTTTTAATTTAATTAATAATCATCAAACAAAATAAACCTTGACTTTTAAAAGTTTGTTGAAACTTAATGTTTTGACGTTTAGTAAAAATATTCCTACCAACTGATTCAAATGCTTTATTATTTACTCTGTTTCGTTCAGTGTTGCCAAAATATAAAGAAATAAGGCAATACAGTTTATGAGGTTACTTTGAATGTTTTTAAATAAATGGCCTAATAATCTGACATTACTTACCTCAGCATCTCGGTTTGAGCGTATGTGTGTTGTAAAATAGCATCTCTGTAAAGCAAACATAACAATAAATTAAATCACATCATAGCAAAACAAAAATATTATAATATAATAAATTAATGAATGAAAATTTATTTATTCCCATTTTCAAATAACATTTTCATTTCACGTAGAAAAACCTATAGAATGATTCCCTTGTTTCGTTTCACTTTCGAATTCGCAACATAAAAATCTTCAATTCTATTTTTATTACCAAAGATGAATGAAATTTTTGTTATAAAAATACCCTGAAAAGTGAGCCAAACAATCTGTGAAACACGTTATGCACGTTATACACGTCTGCGGTATTTTCGGACCGATACAACCTTCAAACCTTCAAGAAAAGAGCATACTCCATAGTAAAAGGCTGGCAACGAGCTTGTGACTTCTGAGTTTCAGACCTCACTTACGGTAGTCACTTTCCATCAGGTGACCTGTCTGCTAGTTTGTCCCCTCTAACATTAAAAAAAATACCGCCGATTTCACCAATTCGACTGACCATTCCTACTGTTATGTAAAGTAATAAAAAAAAAGTTATTTTTATTGTAATATTTTATATTCCAACAATACCTTGGCAATTCAGTTTGTGTCCCGACGGAGTGCAACAATTTATTGTTTCTGTAATAAAAAATAAAACGAATTAAAAATGATATTTATTCCTATCTCGTCCGTGTGGTGACGGATTAAGAATACGGAGTGTCACCATGTACGGAGTATCATCACGCGGGTGTCGTAAGGCCGACTAAGGGAGCAAACTACGCAGGCCTGAAAAGAGAAGGAAAACGTGAAACAAACCCTATACCAACCCGTCGGGCCAGCGTGGTATAGTCGGCCAAAACCTTCTAAGGAGAGGCCTAACTCCAGCAGTGTACTACAAAAGGCTGTTGATGATGATTAATATCTGCTAGTAAATGGGCGAAAAAATGGGGTAAATCCACCATACAATTTGAAGCTGTCTGTCTCAAAGGGTGGATGACCCTTTAGCCCGTTTCTTATCCATAACTAATGTTTCTCCTACTCACTTTTCATACGTTTGTGCATCCATATGAGCTGAATGACATTGATGCTTGGCCGAACTTGCTGTATGTCTGAAAAAAAAAAACAAATATGTCCTATTTAAAAAAAAACGCCGACATATTGTAAAACGAAAAAAGTATCTATATACTTTATGGTATACTTTATGGTATCGGCACGATGTCTTTGTTAATAGATTTTTGCCCCTGGAAATTTCAATGTTTGCTTATTTTATTACAGATCTACTCATTTGAAGAAAATCTAAAGAATGAAGGATGAAGCCTAATTTTGTAATTAATTAATGTAACTAGGCCATGCGCGTTAAGAAAAAAGAAATCAATGTTTGGTACTAAAGGTTGGAACCTGATTGGTCAGGGTACGGGAGCTTTATCGATGCGGCACTAATGCGTCACTATTTTTTAAACGCGAATGAACTACAGACCTCCTGCCTAAGTAAAGTTAACTGCTGGCTGTTAACGAATAAAAATGAAATTGGTGAACATTTTTGTTCTAGACTCATTCAGACTCTAGACTAGGCATTTTTTTTCTCTCTCCATACACCTACATCATGATGAATATTAATGTTACCAAATAAATTGGATTTTCATTCCATAATATTCATTTTTCCTTAAAGTTTGAATCGAACAAAACGGGAAATGTATTTGGGAGTGCCAAAAAAATAATAATAAATGACGGTGTTCGGAGATAACGAACATATGTAGATAAACGCAGAACCTTGAAGTCGGTTAAAAAATCAAATGCAGCAACCAATCTGAAGCAGTAAATAACATTTGGATGGCGCCTTTTGAGGTACGTTAGGGTAACTTGCTAATCTTTAATTAGCACATAATATGGTTTTTTACTTTGTTTTTTTTTTTGGGGCGGGGTGCATTCAACCAATTAGCTAGTGCGTCGCTGTCCGCCGGCAGTGACTGACGTGAAAGCATGGCTGTACGTGTCATTTGTTTTGCAACATGGATAATCTGCCGACTCTGCGTCACAAAAAGATTTAAAAACTTGAAGTTCGGCTTACAGAGGTTCTACTGTTAAAGTTCTAATAAAGAATATTGATTATTTTACTTAATTTTTTAAATTGTATCTGAATATAATTTATATGATGAAGATAAGGTGATTTTATTAAAATTATTTTACAGTATTAAATTTTACAATTAATCATAAAAACTTACAATACACTGACATCATAATACATGGAAATAAATTCGATTTTTATTACATCGTGTGTAGATTAAATCTCAAACAAATAAATCTGAAGATATCGAGTTAGTACATCGTGTCATGTATATCCGAGCGCATCACCCGCCCCGCGTCCCGCAAACCATCAGGAGGGCCAAGTTTACGGCGGTTTAACTATAATACCAGCCGCAAAATTTACGCCATCGTTCCACACGGCAAAATTTATATCCTCATTACCTGGATAGTTGGCGCTCCACTATTGTGCGCTTTTCGAGACACTTTTTCCCCGCACAACCAATCTGTGGTACGGGTTATCGTCTGCGGTAGTTCCGGACCGATACGACCTTCAAACCTTCAAGAAAAGAGCGTACTCCTTCCTAAAAGGTCGGCAACGCGTTTGTGACTCTTGAGTTGCAGACGTTCATGGGCGGCGATGGTCACTTTCCATCAGGTGACCCGTCTGCTCGTCTGCCCCCTCTAACATAAAAAAAATAAAATAAAGTGACTAATCTCTCTGAAAATGAAATCAATATAAAAACAAAAGTTTTTCCTACTTACTTTTCTTCCGCTTGTGCACTTATTTGAGCTGAATTACACAAATGCTTGGCTGTACTTGCTGTATTTCTGGAAAAAACAAATTCCAATATTAAAAATAAAATACCCGACATGTTGTAAAATCCCAATCACATAATATAGCGGGCGTTAGCGTCAGCCACCCGGTTGACAGCATTAGGAATTGGATGGGCAAAATTGGCATTATAATATGAAAGAAAAATACCTAAATTCTTATACGTTATGGTATCGGTATGATGTGTCACATATCACAATGTCTGCTAAGTTTTATTTTTAAGAAAACATTCCTCTTACTACAGAAATACTCTACTAGATGAATGTTTTATTATTAAAAAAAAGTCTCAAGAAGATTAGGTGAAGCCAAATTTTGAATGAGTGTAGTATTCTATTTGTACTATTGGTCTTGATTCTGACTGTTGAGCCACAGGTTGCGGTTTTCATTCCAAACTAGTACATTTTTTTATTTTTTTTATTAATACAACCCCGCACTAGGAATAAATCCTGTGTCGCGGGGGACTTTACAAACATACATGAAACGGACGCAAAGAACACCCAGACTCAGAACAACAATTTGTTGATCACACAAAGTGTCGTCCCATGTGGGGATCGGCCCCACAACACTCAGCGTAATAGTGAGCGGCGTGGCGACCGCTTAAACCACTACGCTATCCGTGCTGTCAAATAAATAATCATGTAATGAGCATACCTTTAATTTGAACTCGATATTGCCTTTCCGGCATAAGCCAATTGCAATCAGTCTATGGTTATGCCTGCGTGTTTATAGGATAGGTACCTTTACAAACTTACTTGATGCACTTTGAACTATTATTTTGAGCACAGTTAGGTGAACACAATCTTGAATTGTGATTGGTTGAACACACCTGTGTGTTCAATTTGCGGACCCTTTCTGCCGTCTTTTCATGTGCCCGTCTTAAATTTTCTAAGCTGTGACCAAAATATTAAAAAAATTATAATACAACTACAGGTGTCAGTTACAATTTGCCAAATGCAAATTGTATACGGTGTGTCACTCTGCGCCTGAAATAAGACGTATCCGGGAATAGCTGTAATTAAGGCTGCCGGACTAGAGATGGGAAAAAGACCGGGTTTAAAACCGGTTTTAAACCCATTTACTCACTCCCACAGGGTTTTTATTAAAGTATTTATTGATTTTACTGTTTTAATAGCCGTAAATGTTAATATCAATTAATAAACAACTATGTGGTCCGTGCGGTGACGGATTAAGAATACAGAGTGTCACCACCCCTATTCATCCCGTGGGTGTCGTAAGAGCCGACTAAGGGAAAAAACTAAGCAGGACAACAGCACTTCAGAGAGAAGGAAAACTTGACACAAACCCTTTACCAACCCGTCTGGCCAGCGTGGCATAGTAGGCCAAAACCTCCTTTCTCAGGAGAGGCTTATGTCCAGCAGTGGACTATTAAAGGCTGTTGATGATGATGATGATGATGAAACAACTATGAACTCTTTTATACTCTCATATCTATTTGTTATATTCTCGTTACCTGAAACTAGCTGGAGCGGACAGATTATGAAACAAAAATTATTCTGCAAACAATTTGCTTAGCGTGGCCTGGGGGAATTGAACTAGTTGTGTGGTGGAAAGTTATATGCAGTTCTACAAAATTAAGTAAATTGGCATTGAGAATTCTAACGGCCCCATGTATATTTGCAGCCACAGAACGTACATTTAGCGCCCAAGTTAACATACATAATTTAAAACGGAATCGTCTTAGTGCAGAAAGAGCTGCTAAAATAACGTATATTACATATAATTCGAACATATTAAATAAAAGTATATTAGATGAATGCATAAACAACGATAAACAGTTTAGTAAGACAACTCCTCAAGGAAGTTCACCGGTTGGAATTGACGTTAACAAAGGTGAGAATGCATCATCGGAACGTATAGCTACAACACGAGAATATGAATTAGAATTCGTCGTTTGTCACAATTCTGAGATTGACTGATTTAGATATTACTTGCTCATTTTTTATTTGTTTTATTTGTTACTTTTCGTCTACTTATTTGTTTGATTTAATAAAATTAAACCCATCATCAGCAGCCCTTAATAGTCCACTGTTGGACGTAAGCCTCTCCTTAGAAATGAGGTGTTGGCCTACTGTACGAGGCTTTCCAGACGGGTTGGTATTTTTTAGATCAATTCAATCATCTATACTTACGATTCCTTCTGCTGTTTAACCTTAATATTGGTAAAGACACAACAGTTCTTTCTCTCCTCGTCCTGAAGGACTTTCAGAGCGGAAGTCTTCCTTTGCGTTTTATTACACAATGTCTTGATCCTCTCTTGCTGTTCATTGATAGTCTTTCTCAATTGTATATTAGTCTCAAGGACGGTAAAGTACAAGTCTTCCAGTTCATGTTTAGTTAATTGTGATGGACAAATGCGGTACAAATCTAAAATAATTATCTAATTGTGTTATTAAACTTGACGTACCCCTGCTACCTGCTACGTAACCCATATATTACACCTTACTACCTCGCTGACCACCCGTAGTATACGCCAAGATCCCCCCTCCCTCCCTCTAGTTTTCAAGAAGTTATTTTCAAAAATGGTTTTAAATCATTTTTTTTGCAAACAGAAAGTTAAAAAACAAAATTTATCTATGCTAGTCCCTACATCGTTTGCCATATTTGAATATAGATCAAAAAGGACGAGTTACCCTAGAGGACATTGAAAACCTTATTTCTAATTTAAAAAAAGACAGCTCCTGCATTGGGAATATACTCAGTCTCGCGGAAGACTTTACAAACACACATGAAACGGATACAAAGAACACCCAGACTCCAATTTATGGATCACACAAAGTGTCGTCCCATGTGGGGATCGGACCCACAGCCCTCAGCGCAGTAGGAAGCAGCTGATATACAGGGTGGCCCAGAAAGACCGCAGTGGTGTGAATTCCTTATAATTTTTTTATTATAATTTTTTTTTTTCTTTTCTTTTCAGTATTTTGTAAAGAAGACTTGGATAATTTATAATGGAGCAATACACAATTGAACAACGTGCCAACGTGGTTGCAAATTTTCGAGAACAAGGAGCAGTAAGGAACCTTCCTGGTCCCGGCAGACACCGAACTGTCCACACGGCTGACAATATTCAAGTGGTACAGGAGAGTATTCGGGAGGATCCAGAAACATCAACCAGGAGACGTTCGTCACAACTGGGCCTCTCAAGAACGTCGCTGCAGCGAATTTTGCACACCATAGGATTGTTTCCATACAAAATTCAACTTGTCCAAGAATTGAAACCAACAGATTACCAGCAACGACTTGACTATGCAATTTATTTCCAGCAAAAAGCACAAGAGAATCCAAATTTTATTCATAACTTAATAATGAGTGACGAAGCCCATTTTCAATTAAATGGGTTCGTTAACAAGCAAAACTGTAGGATATGGGCTACGGAAAACCCGAGAGTACTTCATCAACGACAATTGCACCCAGTTAAGTGTACCGTTTGGTGCGGTGTTTCTTCAGAAAGGATCATTGGCCCATTTTTTTTTGAAAATGAACAAGGTGTCGCCATTTCCGTCAATGGTGATCGATATCGGGCCATGTTGCAAAATTTTGTAAGGCCAGCCGTGGAAAACCATCCGCAAATATGGTTCCAACAGGATGGAGCCACAGCGCACACTGCGAGGGCCACAATGACTCTTTTACGCGACATCTTTGGTGAAAGAATAATTTCTCGTAACAGCAATTTTAATTGGCCTCCGCGTTCCCCGGATTTAACCGCTCCAGACTGTTTTCTTTGGGGCTATTTAAAAGGAAAAGTTTATGTTAATAAGCCTAGGACTATTGAGGAGTTAAAAACCAATATTCGAGAAGAAATTAACAACATACCACCGGAAGTTTTGCGAAAGGTCATGGAAAATGTGTTGGAAAGAGCACATTTGTGCGAAGCAGAATATGGCCACCACTTGCGGGATATCATTTTTAATAACTAATCCAAAAATATTCCCCATAAATTTAATGTATTTAAAAAAAAAAAATTAAAAAAATATCTCTTAAATAAAAAGTTATAAGCAATTCACACCACTTCGGTCTTTCTGGGCCACCCTGTATATGTATTTAGAAATATATAAGTATGTGTGTCAGCAGTGTGTTTGCCAGAGCACAGGCTAGTTTCGCACCAGACGGCCACATGTGAGATGTGTGAGGTTATTATTATTTTATACTATTCCATATACATACTCATCTCTGCGAAAGAATTGACTGCACGGATGGCGTAGCGGTTTAAGCGGTCGCCACGCGCCGGTTCCTACTACGCCGAGTGTTGTGGGTTCAAACCCCACATGGGACGACAGTTTGTGTGATCCACAAATTGTTGTTCTGAGTCTGGGTGTTCTTTGTGTCCGTTTCATGTATGTTTGTAAAGTCCCCCGCGACACAGGATTTATTCCTAATGCGGGAGTTGTCTTTTTAAAAAACAAAGAAACAAACAAAACAAAACAAAGCACAATATACTTATTTTACCTTGATTAGATCCCACTTTATTTTTCTTTGAATTCATGTCTCAAAACTTGCAGTTTCACAATGTCAAATATGTTTCACTGTATGAGTATAAATATATTAGAATCTAGCCAAACATTATTAAGATATTAACACAATTAGGTATTTGGCAGTACCGCCACAAATTTAACAGTCCGTTAATCCATGGATTATTTACAAATATTTTTACTTAAGCTGCTATCATATTTCGCGGTTATCGTAATGTCAGTATTATTTTTAATTTATGACACTATTATTTTCTTTTCTATGAGGTTTTATGATAAAATCAAAGAGTAAAGTAAGTGAAAATGCCATTGCTTATCCTCCATGTAGGTATCCTTACATTCCATTTGTGTGTCTTAGCCGGTGCACATGCAGATTCTTGCAGGTCTTTTTTTATGTTAGAGGGGGCAGACGAGCAGACGGGTCACCTGATGGAAAGTGACTATCGCCGCCTATGAACTTCTGCAATTCAGGAGTCGCAAACGCGTTGCCGGACTTTTAGGAATTAGTACGCTCTTTTCTTGAAGGTTTGAAGGTCGTATCGGTCCGAAAATACCGCAGACGATAACCCGTTCCACAGATAGTGGAGCGCCAACTATCCAGGTAATGAGGATGAAAATTTTGTAACGATGTTGTTTTGTAACCAAATGTGTGTAACGAACGGTATTAGTCAGAAACAATTCCTCGGAGCACTCTGAGAATGCAGAGTGAAGCCACATCTCTACGTAACGCCAAGGGATCGAGCCGATCGGAGATGTTTGGGCTATCGACGATTCGAGTCGCTCTTCGTTATAGTCATAGTCATAGTCATTTATTCATCAACAAATTACATTGTATTTGTAATTAAAATAATTAATTAGTGCGTTTGAAATTAAAACGTTGGATGCGGTCCAGAGGGAGAAGCTGGTACTGAGGTGCCCCTGCATAGAGATGAGAACAGTATTTCACGGCCGGACTTGCTCCTTATAGAGCTGAAGGCGGTGGGCCGGAGTGACATATTGCCTCGATCTGTTCAGGACACCGAGCTTCTTCGAGGCCAATTTGCGCTTACCCTCTAAGTGACCCCAAAACTGGACTTCGCTCGATATGTCGATGCCTAGGATTCCGATGCTGGCTAAGGCAGTTAGGGAGGTGCTCTTAAACTGAGGTGATACGACAAATGGTGTCTTCGACTTTTAATTAGCATATAAAACAAATAAAATGAATATTAAGTATAATTTTAAAAGATAATAGACGTTTTGTACTGAAAAAAATAATGAAAGATCAAACACTCAATAAAGAAATTAAAACATTTAAAAGTACCTATACGTCTAATGTTCTAGTGGTATTAGTTATTATGTTTTAGTTTATAAAATCCTGTTAATTTATATCCAATTCTGATCAATCATTTGTCCCACTACAACTATTTTATAGGGTACAGGCAGTGTTACCGTAAAATATCAGTTCAATACACAACATAGGAAAGTACCTAGATAAGTTTATTTATCCATTACAAACTTTTAGCAGCTACTTAACTACTTCGGAGTAGTTCTTTATTCCCAAAGGTTCCTCAAAGGATAACTCACTTCTGCTTTTTTTGGAAAATATTTCACATGTGGTTGCTGGCAACACTTGTCAAATATGACAATGACAAGTTGTTGAAATTGTTGCTATGGCGGCATTTTCGTATTATTTATGTGTCACTTTACTGCGGTTATTATTTAATAAATGTTGTTCTTTTGTCCAGTAATACGTAGACGGTAGATCAATGAAATACAAATTTACTCAAGTATATGTCGTAACAAGCCTAAGATTGTTGTGACTTTTAATAGTGAAGTTTGTAAACAAATTCATAAAGGAAATGGATAAAGTGGGGTGTGAAATGATATGCAAAAGTCATTCAGCGCGGTCTGAACGAGGTAAATTACTTACGGAATAAATTATAACATTGACCGTGAAACTAGAATCATGATAATATCTTTTCTGTTTCATCAGGATTTTTTTATTTATAAACATATGTCATACCATCATACATATACTCACTTCTTAAATCCCCGAGATCCACGTTTTGCTGACCATTATTTTAGCCCTACTTTGGTGATAGGTGCAAGCCTACTGCTGTCAACTGGGACATATATTTCCAAAGAAACATCCATACTTACTAATATTATAAATACGAAAGTGTGTCTGTCTGTCTGTTACTCATCACCCTTTAACTGCTGAACCGATTTAGATGAAATTTATTATAGAGATAGCTTGAGTGTCAGGAAAGGACACTCAAGCTATCTCAGGACATAGGATAGTTTTGATCCCAGAAATTATCCTTTAAGGGGGTGGAAGTTAATGAAGAACCAGTTTAAATGAAATTTGGCATGAAGATATTTTGATTCTTGTGCAAGGACATCGGTTACTATTTATCGCGATGACCTATATACACACGGGCTAGCCGCAAGCAAGTACTTATATATTTCTAGTACCATAATTTTTCTGCACACTTCCCAATTTTATTTAAAGTCAGCGTTGCACAACATTGCAAAGGCGTTTGGCTGATTACTTTAATGGTTGGTCCACTACCTGTTTCTCTGCCATCTGCCATCTGCCATCTCTACTTAGGAATGTAAGTTTTCAGATGGGATTAGTCTCAATTTAGGTAGAAAAGTAATTTGGATGAAGGAAATGGATAGGCCGAGGGAGGCTCGCATATAGAAAATCTCCGGAGAGGATTGAAACTGAGATCCTATCGGCTGAAAGAGGCTGGTGTACCCTTATGTGCCATCTGTCATAAGAGAAGGCTAAGACAGGTAGATTAACAGGCCAATTATGTTATGGCAAGGTTAAAAGTTATTTGTTAATATCTCAAAAAAAATAATAATAATAAATAATTCACCTAACCTCAATAACCAATAACCTCCTTTCTAAGGAGAGGCTTATGTCCAGCAGTGGACTATTAAAGGCTGTTGCTGAAATAATTCACAAAAATTTATAAGAGAGATGGAGAGATTTACTAATCTATCCATATATATAAAAATATTAAGTTGGTTTGTGTATGCTTCAGAAACTTAAAAAGTTCTGAACCAATTAAGCTTACATTTGGTCAAACCCGCTTCAAAAACGGTTTTTATCTATTATTTTGTAACTACAATGTGCCATAGAAAAGTATATAGTTTATCATAATTTCTTATACAGATCACTACCGAATCTGTCCAACCAAGCTTTCCAAAAATGAACTTGAAGATCTCTATTTTGCCTTACTTGAGAACAATATGCAGCTCAAAAAGACTGTCAATGTACAGCAAGAGAGGATCAAAGTACTATCTACTAAGATGCAGAGAATGACTTCCGCACAGAATGGTCTCCGTGCAGAGGAGAACAATAACTGCTGTGTTGCAACAAAGGCTGTGGTTAGACAACAGAAAGAAACGTAAGTACATGTGCCTTCTCTGAATAGTCCAGTTCAGGTCCAGTATAAGAAGCTGTGTGTTCAATTCCCACCCAGAACAAATAATCGTGTAATGAGGTGATCCGGCAGAGAACCAAGGTCACCGACATAGCTTACCGGATCAGCAAGCTGAAATGGCAGTGGGCTGGCCATATTAGCCGTAGAACCGACAACCGTTTGGGAAAACGAGTTCTTGAGTGGAGACCGCATCTCGGCAAACGTAGTGTAGGACGCCCACAGGCCAAGATGGCTGGCAGGAGCTGGATGTGAGAAGCCCAAAATCGATCTAAGTGGTGTGCAATGGGAGAGGCCTATGTCCAGCAGTGGACTGCAATAGGCTGATGACGATGATGATGATGAGTACAGTCATTCGTTTTGTATCTGGTTGTAATAATATCTATAATATGTATGTATTTAGAAATATATAAGTATGTTTCCTAACAATCTGTTTACCATAGTACAGGCTCTGCCTAGTTTGGGATCAGAGAGCCATGTGTGAGGTGTATAGAATAATTATTATTATTATTAATACCAGACTGTTTCTGAACTCCTAACATCTACTCAAGAAGTTTAGTAACTTGAGATGTAGAATATATATAGCAGTTATGAATATTATGTATCTACTCCACAGTTTGAATTCATACACAAAATATATTAATATTTTCTAGGCATTTGGCAGTTATTGTTAATGATAGAAGATAAAGGAACAGAGGGGTTACCCTATGGCTGACTAGCTCCTTCCATGTTCACCTGCAATAACTAGGGGGAGGGAGGGTTTTGTGCTCCGGTAACCTTACTTAATCAATTAAAAGCAAACGAAAGATTTGCTTAACAACACTGGTTTTGTGCCAATGCAGTGCTCTCCCATGAAGGGTTCAAGGGTTATCTTGCTTTGTCTTTACCTGACTCTCTTTCGTTCTCTCCTCACTCTTGATGGATGATTAAAATGGTAAACAATCTTTTATCAGGATAGCAGAGTTGACTCGTGCTAATGAGCACTTGGCTGATAGGGTTCGGAAACTAAATATGAGACTGTGTTCAGCTAAGCAGTTCTGTAAGTCCGCCACACCCAGGGGTCTCAGATGCTCAACAGCTACTAGTCCATATCTTATTAAGTAAGTTCTTGTAAGCTTTCTTTTAATATTATATTTCCACTGAGATATGGGTTTTCTTGAACCTCTGAACCTTCTTGAACTTCTTCGTACTTTTTTCACCCACAAAATAAATTAGTAGTGCATGGCAAATAAGAAATAAACTGATTTATTTTAAACAATTTTTCATATTCATTATAGCATTTTAAAATTCTTGATATTATAATTGAAATTTGTATTAAACTCAATCTGAACGTATTTGATATCACGGTTTTGTTTTTAGGCATTCACCGTGCAGCTATAAACAGCAAAGCCACTCAACTCTCAAATTAGCAGTCTCATGTCAAAACTTGTCAAGGTAATGCATTATTCTTTTGTAATTACCATATTTTCTGTATTGCCTGGCAATTGTGCTTTCTATATTCCATTGTACATTTAATTTGTTGCAGAGAATCTTTTGTCACGAAATGCGTTCAAACTGAGCCCTTTGATTTAACAAAGTAAGTAGTTGCAGGATAATCCTGGTTAAGTTATACCTATTTTGCTAATCGATACCAAAAGATAAAAAAGTAAAAACATAAATACGTTCAATAATTCTTTTGTGCTTTTTGAATCCATAGCACAGAGATACCAGTATTGGTTTAAGTAATAAACAGCACTTAAGTAAAAATTTAGCATTGTAAAATCATTTCATGAAACGGTATATCTATTGTGCCTTCGAGCCGGCTCGAGGGTCCTATAGGCTTATATCACTTAATCTTTCTATTCACTTAAGATTTCTATTTAGTAGTAATTTCTATAATTATAGAATCAAAATACCGTAAATATGTACTTGTGCAATTTTTAGACTTGAAGAGGAAAATAAACCATGCGAAGATAACAAATGCCGAACTCTAATAGACGAGTATAAAGAAAAGATTATCAGCTTGCAAGAGGTAAGCTTCGCCAAGTATGTAAATACTACAGCATTTGGAGCTGATCTCATGATGAAGTCAAAAAGTGGATAGAGTGGCTTCCCTTCAGTGGCGAATGGCAAACCGCAAGTTTGGACTCTATATGAGTACTCGTCTAAATGACTGCAGCAGATCGGTATTCGTAGCTATGGCCTGATGATGGAGCCATGATGGGATGAAGGGGTAAAAAGATTAAGGAACTTTTAGAAGTTTTGCGAACCAAGTACAAAAGGTACTTAATTCGCAAAGTTTTTCAGAGTTCCTTTTGTTAGGCTAATAACAAAAAATGTAGGAGCTTTAATTATAATGTAATAGACGACCGGATGGCTTAGTGGTTTGTGTCACGGATTGCTATTCTAAAGGTCGCGGGTTCGATGCCCGCTCAAATCAAACATTTGTGTGCATGAACATTTAATGTTTGATTTGGTCTGGGTCTTTCTATGTATAATATGTATGTATTTACAAAAAAAAAGTATATATGTATTTATATCAGTTGTCTAGTAGCCATAGTACAAGCTCTGCTTAGTTTGGGACTAGATTTCGTTGTTTGAATGTGGTAGAATATTATTTTATGATTTTATTACCTAAATAACACCATTTATTTACCATAATGTATGATTTAAATTCTTTAAATTATTACAAACGTCATCGGTCTTCAGAAGCTGTCCGCGACGCAACAGGAGTATGAGAGTGAGTTGCAGCGCTGTCGAGGTGAGCGAGCGGCGCGCGAACACGAACTGCAGTCCGCTGAAAACAAGAATGCGCTTCTGACCTCAAATTTGAGATCTGCTGAGGGACTTAACTGTAAGTAATACATTTATGTGACAGTTTGCTATCATCGTCATCAAAGCATTTAATAGTCCACTGCTGGACAATTAATCACATCACATCACATCAACAGCCTTTAATAGTCCACTGCTGGACATAGGCCTCTCCTTAGAAAGGAGGTTTTGGCCTACTATACCACGCTGGCCAGACGGGTTGGTATAGGGTTTGTGTCAAGTTTTCCGTCTTTTTGCAGTGCTGGTGTCCTGCGTTGTTTTGCGCCCTTAGTCGGCTCTTACGACACCCACGGGATGAATTGGGGTAGTGACATTCCGTATTCTTAATCCGTCACTGCACGAACAATTAATAAGACAAGCAAATAGAAGTTCTAAATTTTAAACTACCAAGTGAACATTAGTGGTTTAGGTGTAATATTTAAAAAAATACGGCGAGCATCACATCACATCAACAGCCTATAATAGTCCACTGCTGGACATAGGCCGCTCCTTAGAAAGTTTTGACCTACTATACCGCGCTGGCCAGACGGGTTGGTATAGGGTTTTTGTCAGGTTTTCCTTCTCTTTGCTGCTGTTGTCCTGCGTAGTTTGCTTCCTCAGTCGGCTCCGTATACTTAATTCCTCACCACACGTTTTCTATAGTTGAAGTAAATAATTTAACTTTTTAATTGAAATATAATAAATCTCAATTTTCCCATTCTCGAAATTGTCAGTTGATAACATAGTCTTTCGTTCTTTTCACCAATCCAGTGAGGGTACCCAACTCCCAAAACCCACTTGTATCTTTAAAGTTGTATGGCCACAAGTCCCATCAGGTTACCATTGTTGCAGGTGAACTAAATATGCAGCTCTCAATAGAGAAACGTAGAGTCGTCGAGTTGGAGACACGGTTGAGAACAGCCACAATGTCCAACAAAGTCACCAAGAATATTGAAGACACCTTAACCAGTATTCAGGTGGGATAGTTTAAATTTATACTAGTTTTTGTCCGCAACTCCGCCTGCGTTAATATCAGTTCTCGCGGTATATACCCTATGTTATATGATGATAATGTAGCTTTCCATTGGTAAAGGAATTTTTAAAATCGGTTTAGTGGTTTAGGCGTGAAAGCGTAACAAACAAACAAACAAACTCATTCTCACATTTATAATTAAATATAAGTATGAATAATCTTAATAAATATAATAAAGACGGGTTTACCATTTATAATTAATGACTAGCTGAGACCCGCGGTGTTACCCGCGTTTGTTGTTATAACCGCTGGCAACGCCGCGGGGCGAAGCTAGTCTAAAAAAGTAGTCTAAGTTACTCCTTATGTCATCAGCTATCTGCCAGTGAAAGTCCCATCGAAATCGGTCCAGCCGTTCCAGAGATTACCCGGAACAAACAGATAGTCAGACAAAAATTGTAAAAAATGTTATTTTGGCATATGTACCGTGTAAACATACGAGGGGTGATCAATACGTAATCAATATGAAATATGAAATATGAATGATAATCAATATGAAACAGAACTATTAGATTAAAAAAAGTATTTTATTTTTCAACATAGTCTCCTTGCAAGTTAATACATTTAGTGTATCTTTTTTCTAAGCCCATGATTCCCTTAGAAAAAAATTCTTTGTCTTGACCCTCCCAAAATGCCTCTACTGCGGCCATCACTTCACTATTGTCCTCAAATTTGTTGCCCCGGAGGTGTTCTTTGAGCCGAGGAAAGAGGTAGAAGTCACTGGGAACTAGATCTGGCGAATAGGGAGGGTGTTCGAGCAGTTCGAACCCCGTTTCTTCAATGGCAGCCATCGCAACTGCGGCTTTGTGAGCCGGGGCGTTGTCTTGGTGAAACAGCACTCCATCGCGCAGTTTACCGCGTCTTTTTGACTTAATAGCTTCTCGCAATCTTCTTATTTGGCCTGCGTAGTAAGAGCCTGTTATAGTGGCCCCCTTTTCCAAATATTATACCATAATAATCCTTTCTGCATCCCAGAAAACAGACGCCATAACCTTTCCCGCTGAACTTGACACTTTGAATTTCTTCGGCGTTGGTGAGGAAGCTCGTTTCCAAGTCATTGATTGTTGTTTGGTTTCGGGATCAAAGTGGTGGATCCAGGTCTCGTCCATGGTCACAAAACGCGACAAAAAAAAATCTTTATCGGCCTGGAACTTTTGAAGATTCACCCTCGAAATGTCGACTCGTTTCTTTTTTTGCTCGTCGGTTAACATTCTTGGTACCCAACGCGCAGAGACCTTTTTCATATGCATTTTGTTGACAATGATTTTTTGAACGCTGCCATAGGAGATCCCTGTGACCTCAGCTACATGCCTTACGGTCACCCTTCGATCGGCCAACACGATATCTTCCACTTTTTTGACGTTTTCTCCAGTAAGGGACGTGGAAGGGCGTCCCTCGCGATGTTCATCTTCAGTGGAGGTTCTGCCCAGCTTAAATTCCTTTGCCCAGCGTGCGACTGTGGAATATGGAGGAGCAGACTCCCCCAATGTTTCCTCTAAGTCGCTGTGTATGTCTTTGGTAGACATTTTTTTCAGGCAGAGGTACTTGATGACAGCTCTTATTTCATTTTTCTCCATTTTGATGTTTTCTCTTCGACAGTTCGTATTCAAATGAATGTATCTCCCGGTAATGGTGTCCTATTTATACATTTTTTTGAAGCTGAAGTAGTGGATATATAAGCAAGCAGAAAAAAAATAATTTGGGTTTTTGTGCGTTCTAGAAATACTCGATTATCATTACTTATTGATCACCCCTCGTACATATGCATTTAGTAATAAGCGGTTATTTTAATATTACAAAAAGACACTCCAATTTTATTTATTTGTATAGATTAATAGTAACTTAATTTTGCAGGAATCAAACAGAACAGCAGTTTCAGAAATGAATTTTATATGTTCTTGTTGCTCCCCGAGGTCCAAGGTTGAATCCAGTTCACAGGTATGTGTATTCTTTTTCAAGACGGACGGGTCACTTTGAAAATATAACAGAGCTCATTTAATTTATACCTATACAGCGTCTCGACCGGGGCGCCAAACTCATTTCTTTTTTTGGGATTTAAAGGGGGGGGGGGCTAAAAGGGCGACAACACACTGTGACTCTGAGTTGCAGGTGTCCAAGGGCAGCGGTGATCACTTACTATCAAATGACCTTTCTGCTCATTGGCGCACACAAAAAAGCAGGGAGTGCCGATAGAAGTGAAAACTTACAGAGATGACGGTAATGGTAACAGTGTCGCGAGTTCAATGGTTTTTAGGGTTCCGTACCTTAAAAGGTAAAAAAGGAACCCTTATAAGATGAGATAAGAGAGGCAAATTTCGATTTTCGCGAAAACTGGTAAGTACCAAAGTTTACCTTAATTTTCAACTTTTTTTATCTTTCAGTATTTTCTCTTTACTTGTGTAAGACCTTGCTTTTAACCAAAATTCACAATTCTAGGTCAACCGGAAGTACCCTATAGAATTTGGGTCGAAAACCTATATGGTAGTTCTCGTTGACCTAGAATCACAAAATTTAGCAAAAAGAAACGTCTTACAGCACAAATAAAGTAATAATTCCAAAAAATAAAAAAAGATGAAAATTAAGATAAATTTTGGTACTTACAAATTTTCGCGAAAAACTACGTAAAATATGTGCAGGTACGGAACCCTCGGCGCACGAGTTCGACTCGTACCTAACCGGTTTTTTTTCTCATAAAATACATTCTTTTGTTTGTTATTCAATGCCCAACGTGTCTAAAAAAGTTTTCATTTTAAAAAAAATGTTTTAAACCAAAAATTAAACAACGATTTGAGATAGTAATGTTTAGTTGTTTCATTACAACTACAATTCCAAAGTTCCGAAAGACCCCGTACCGAAAAACGCAGTTTGGGTAGACCCCCCTCCACAAAGTGGTTTGACGAGCTGGTGAAGGTCACGGGAATTCGGATGTTATGTAGCACAGGACCGGTTGTGGTGGCGAATCTTGAGGGAGGCCTATGTCCAACAGTGGAAGTCTTTCAGCTGCGAACGCACTGTTTCAAAACTTATATGACTTTAAAGTCAAATACCATGTTGAATTTTTGACTAACAGGTATAACTGATGATGTTTATTACAGCAAACATACTTGGGTTTGTCGGCCAACGACGGCAATAACACGGAGACAAAATTGTCCAAAAGCACAGCCGACTCCGGGTACATAGACACTAGTAAAAGTCAAGTCTTCCTTGACGATCAGGTAAGTTCATTTTAAATTTTAGCATTTTTACTAACGAATCCCTTAAACGCCAAAATTCATCAAACCGTTTATGAGAGCGTGATTACAGAGCGTGCCAAAGAGTTATACAAACATACACTCGAAAGCATTTAATAACCCTTCTTTTGGCGCAGTCGGATAAAAAAATGGTTGTAGAAATCAATCAGTATGAGTCCTGGCCTCCCTGTGATTGCCTCAACTTAACTTATCTTATCCTCAACTTAAGAAGGCCAGGTGGGGGGCTTCTTGAGTTCCAACGATCTCAGTCCGCCATATAGAGACTTATGGTATTCCTTTCCATTTTCCTTACCAAAATTTCTACTAACCCAAACCAAACCCTTTCAAATGTTAGACTCATGATGATTTTTAGATAAGCCATTTCGCAAATTCAACCGTCAGCCGCTTTAAGTTCATATTTTTATTCTTACAGAGTTTGAACAAGATCATTGACGAACTAACGCAACGAATAATGGTACTGCAATACCAAGTGGATGCTCTAACAATATCGCCGGTATTGACAACATTATTAAACCTGAGGTGTGAAGTTTGATGTCTGGATTAGACAACTGAACCGAGAATCTTACTTTGTTTCAGCCGGAAACTAAAGAGGATTCACCTCTTGTCGAAGAACGCAATACCAGTAGAGTAACTGTGGTAGAACATCCAAAAGAAAATTTAGTACGGCAGACAACATTTAGCCAAAATGTAGAAGATGATATACAGTTAACTGACCAAGAAAGTGATGAGGAAACATCAATAATTCCAGGAAAAGAAGAAAGCAGTGATGTAGCTAGTCCAATATCTAACACCGAGGCCGGCAAAAATGACCTTTGGGAGAAAAGCAAATCAAAACTACATCGAATAACTAATAAAACCAAAGACAATGCTACTACAGTAAAAGAAGATACAGAAACAATAAAAAATAAAGAAGATAAAGAGAATAATAGAAGTAGAGAAATAATTATAAAAAGTAATGAAGAAATAAAAGAGACTGTACATAGTTCGCCTGTAAAGAATAAAGAAAAGAAGTTAAAAGAACAGTCGTCCTCAACTGAAGATAAAACCTATAATATCTCGAATAAAGTTAGTCCCGAAATTGAAAAACATAAAATAAAAAATAAAATTGTTATAAAAAGACAAACTTCAGTTCATAATAACAAAATATCTGGTTTAAAAGAGAAAGTTGCAGATAATGCAAATAGTCCAAGGAGGTCCAATAAAAATAAAGATAATAATGAAACTAAAAAACGTAAAAGTACCACAAAAATACTCAGAAATACTGATAAAGAACCACGTGTTGAGAAACTAACAATAGGTAAGTTCCACATGCAACGTAAAACATACTTACAATCCAGAACAGAGACATACCGAACTACGGAGGAACTACTAATTCCTCCAATCCTGTATCGCGCTATGAAAGTTCTCGTGCTGATTGGTGAGCTTCCTCACATGAGCCGGTCGATTTTTTCTACTGTTGGCGTCTTAAATATCTAAATGATACATGGCCCTGGCTTTAGCCATTACAGTGACAGTGCTACCCAACAGAGTATTCTTGGGGTATATTGCATGTTCTCTTCCATACATACACTTACAAACGCCCAAGTATTGGCGACTGTATTTTTAGTCCCACTTAGGTAAGAGACCTAGCCTATTGCCGGGCACTTATATTTTGTAATAAACATGTTGCATATTTTTGAGTACAGACACAGAAGAAACCAATTATCGTGCTAATCACATATTTGTTCTGGGTGCAAATCAAACCCTCGGCCTCTAGTCTAGCAGTCAGAATCGCTTGACAGTCTTGTTCTCTCATGTTCTTCTTGTAATTCTGAAAGCAATTCCAATTTTTATATTAATAGCTGTATTTTTACACGCTTTATATTAGCTTCACTTGTATGTTTGTAACCGACTCCTTTGGGCGTGATTTTGACTGACTTTAAACGGTCAGAATTCGTTCAAACTTTGTAGATATATCGAGGACCGATGACAATACACTAATTAAAAAAAAAAAACTAAAAAACACGCTTTCTATAGAAAACCAAACTAAAAAATAGAAAATAAATTTGAAAAAAAAGCGTAGGGTACTTTTTACTATTGACAACAGGCACCCAACCCTTTTTTTTTCAAATTTATTAGTTATTAGTTTTTTAAAACTATTTTTTTTATGATTAATATTCCAGATCGAGCAGTGTGTGAGGACGTGAGCACGTGTGATGAGGCCACGTATACCGTGGAGAGCGGAGACCGCCCCACGTCACCTGACAACACCGACTGTGAAATATCTTCTATGTCCGACCTCACTGAGGACAGGGAACGTAAGACAGTTCATAAATAATAATAATAATAATATTCTACTACATTCACACAACGCCATCTAGTCCTAAACTAAGCAGAGCTTGTACTATGGGTACTAGACAACTGATATAAATACATATATACTTTTTTTTTGTAAATACATACATAGTATACATAGAAACACCCAGACCAAATCAATCATTAAATGTTCATGCACACAAATGCTTGACTTGAGCGGGAATCGAACCCGCGACCTTTGGAATAGCAGTCCGTTACACAAACCACTACGCCATTCGGTCGTCAAAAATACTACTATGAATATATTCATAGTAAGGGTAGATGGCCTGGTCTTTTCGGCAATAACAATTTTTTTATGTAGGCAGACGAGCAGACGGGTCACCTAATGGAAACCGACTATCGCCGCCCTTGAACCTCTACAACTCAGGAGTCACAAACGCGTTGCCGGTCTTTTAGGAGTACGCGCTTTTCTTAAAGGTTTAAAGGTGATAGGAGAGCTATATTCGAGCATAAATGGGCTCCGGAATAATAAAGAAATAGATATGAGTTTTTTTTTATGTTACAGCCAAAATTCCCACGAAGTGTTCCTTGTCGCCCGGCGAACGTAAGTCCCACACAACTCACAGCGACTCGTGCCCTTCGCCCAGCACACATTATTCACTTAGTGAAGGAGAAATTCAAGTCACCACTGGTAAATACCATTATATTATTATTACGTACACATCAATAGCCTCTACTAGTCCACTGCTGGACATAGACCGCTTCTTAGAAAATAAGTTTTGGCCTACTATACTACGCTGGCCAACGGGTTGGTATAGGGTTTGGTTTTCGGGCGGGGCGTTCGACAGTCGACGCCGTGTTGCGCCTGAGGGCCGTGACCGAAGAGGCCGTGAGCTGTGGCGGCGTGCTGTTGGCGGTGTCATTAGACATCGCCAACGCATTCAATAGTCTGCCATTCAGCTGCATCAGGGAAGCACTCCACTATCATGGGGTGCCAAAGTACCTGAGGCGGCTAGTGGCAGACTATTTAGAGGAGCGTACCGTCGTGTACGAGGACCGAGAAGGTAATTTGAGGTGTCGGCCCATGTCGTGCGGTGTTCCACAGGGGTCTGTTCTTGGACCCCTCTTGTGGAACATAGGGTACGACTGGGCCCTTCGCGCCGATTTCCCCCCCGGGCTGGGTGTAATCTGTTACGCAGACGATACCCTGGTGACAGCCCGGGGGGCAAACTTCCAAGAGGCGGCGCGCCTTGCCACAGGGGGAGTCTCCCTGGTGGTCGGGCGCATTGAGGCGCTGGGCTTACGGGTGGCCCTAGATAAGACGGAGGCCCTGTTATTCCATGGGCCCCGTCGTGGTCCACCCCCTGGCGCCTCAATCGTGGTCAACTCGGTCCTCGTACCGGTTCGGGCCCAGATGAAATATCTGGGCCTGATCCTCGACGGGAGGTGGCTCTTCGACGAGCACTTCCGACAGCTTGCTCCAAAGCTGGTCGGCGCTGCGTCTGCCCTAGGGCGACTTTTGCCCAATATGGGTGGACCCAGCGTCGCGACAAGACGGCTGTACACGGGGGTTGTCCGGTCAATGGCACTGTACGGTGCACCGGTGTGGGCGGCGGCTCTGACCGCCCAGAATAGGGTACGCCTCTGGCGCCCTCAGAGGGTAATGGCGGTCAGAGCCATACGCGGTTACCGCACCGTTTCGACGGATGTGGCGTGCGCGTTGGCCGGAACTCCCCCGTGGGATTTGGAGGCGGAAGTGCTCGCCGAAGTTTATCGGCGAGTGGCTGACTCCCGGGCGGAGAGCGGATTTCGCCCTCCGCCCGAGGATGTGCGAGAGTGGCGCGAAGCCGCTCGCCGAGCCACGATGGCTCGTTGGTCGTTCCGGCTGGAGACTCCACGCGCTGGCTTCGCCGCCGTGGAGGCTCTCCAGCCGGTCATCGCCGAGTGGGCAGGGCGGCAGCACGGGACCCTTTCCTTCCGGCTGACGCAGGTGCTTTCCGGGCACGGTTGCTTCGGAAAGTACCTGCACACTCACTGCAGTCATCGGAGTGGAACTCTCGCTACCGGCCGTAGTACGCTCCATGGCCGGTAGCGACAGTTGTTTTACCGCGGTCGCAACCTTCTGCGAGGTAGTAATCTCGCGGAAGGAGGCGGCGGAGAGGGCCCGGGAGGACGACCTCCACTCGGACCCGATCCGCCGCCGGCGAACCGGGCGGCGGAGGCCCGCCTACCACAGCCTCATGCCGCCCTGAGTGTGGCCGCGGGTGGACGGGGTGGGTTTCCCCTCCACCCGCATTAGTTTGGCCAGCCGCGAGGGGGCGGCGTCCGCGTGTGCCGGACGTCGCCTATAAAGAGAGGAAAACATTGAGACGGAGCCCGCACCAGGAGCGGGCCGGCGCTAGGAGGGGTCCGGATGTCTTAACAACAGCTGTTCCCGGATCCCTCCTGTTACAGGCGCAGAGTGGCACACCGTGTGGTTTTAGTCGGTCCGAGTCCGACACACCACCCCGCCGCAAACCCCGGAGGGGTGACGGTCCGAGGGGATTTCCACACGTTAAAAAAAAAAAAAAAAAAAGGGTTTGTGTCAAGTTTTCCTTCTCTTTGCAGTGCTGTTGTCTTGCGCAGTTTGCTGCCTTAGTCGGCTCTTACGAGACCCACGGGATGATTAGGGGTGGTGACACTCCGCATTCTTAATCCGTCACACGGACAACAACAAGTAACATTATCAATATAAAATTCTATATTTTTATTTTTTTATATTTATATGTGGTCAGCTTTTAAAAAAGTATCACTGACTTCTGATGAATTCTAATGATGTGTGTTCTTCATTCTAATTTTACCTTAAAGGGCAGTGTTGTACTTCATATTTGAATGGGACCAAACAGGAATTAATTCATGACAAATGAAATAATTTGCCAAATCGGTTCATTACTAACGGAGTTTTGTGCGAAAGTTTTCTCGAAACACTAATAAAATAACTAAATGCTTTGTTAGCTGTCTTTTAGTTGGAGACGTTCAGTTAAAATCTTTGAACATTTAAGAGTAGAAAGAATAGACTTTTCTTAGATTAGTGTTAGACGAAAAGAACGAAGATGGTATCGTTTGATGAATACTGGTGTCTTGAGTTGGCCGATTGAAACACAGACGCTCCAAGCATTCAGTTGTATTATAATTAGCGAAAATTACAATATTCGAAATGTATATAATACTAGCTGACCCTGCAAACGTTGTTTTGCTATTTACATTATTTAATTTTTTTTTTTTTTTCTTAAAATCCGTTCTTAGCCGACCTCTACTCGGTAAAAAGAATATTCCTACCAAATTTCAAGTCTTTAGCTCTAATGGTTCCAGAGATATCGTGATGAGTGACTATATACGTGGAAATCTCTTATATATATATAGATTTAGTACATAATGTAAGACGTGTCAAACTAAGTCAAATATAATATATATAAAAAAATAAGGCAAAATAAGTCGTCGAATGAGGTGAAGGATCGTATAACCAGCAAGTAACCGGTTTAAACTCCTTTTGCCGCACCACCATTAAGACACGCCGTGAACATCGTTCTTTTCGTCACTTTCCATAAAGTTAGTTGAAGATTAACTCCTAACCCCTGTGTCACTATTCTATAACATAACTAGCTGACCCGGCAAACGTTGTATGGCAAAACAAAAAAAAATTAGGGATGGGTCACCCTTACCATTTAGGGGTATGAAAAATAGATGTTGGCCGATTCTCAGACCTACCCGATGTGCACACAAAATTTCATGAGAATCGGTCAAGCCGTTTCGGAGGAGTACGGGAACGAACATTGTGACACGAGAATTTTATATATAAGATTACGTTTATATTTCAGTTAGAAGGAGATCATTTGATGACAAAACGAGATATACGTCTCAGTAAGTGAAAGTCTTTTGTACCGTTCTAACACTATTGTATTAAATTACGTTTAGGATATTTTAATATTCGATATTCTCAACACTTCTTCTGGATGTAGTATATCATGAATTATTATTTTCGTTTTTCTGTTGTTTATCTTGAATGAGGGTGTCTACAGTTTTACTTGCGTTAGTGCTTTGCTTCTAAATATAATGTTCACGTATCAAAATTCGCGATGTTGCATAATCTGAAACCTTTAATCAATACTATACAAGGTGTAAGGGACGTCGTAACGAATACTGAAATAGTGTATTCTGAGTCGAAAATCATTGGAATTTTCTGCCGGAAAATAAAACTTTTTATGCAATCAGCTGTCAAAGGTTAGGTCGTTCCCCGTAGGTATCGCACAAAAGTAATAACTACATGTGTATTCCGTGCAAACAGTATACGCACATTAACCCAAAATGGTGGCCGGAGGAGAGGCCCCGCGCGCTTCGGCTGTTTGATTAATTACATTGTAGTATTTTGGTATTTATTAAGTTGTTTTCGGTAAAAATGTCCTGTCTAATCATTGTGATATCATTTTTCATCATCATTTTAACCAGAAAAATTAAAAACCAATAAAAAAAATGATGAATTTTCTGGCAGAAAATTTGACTCTTACACCTTGTATACAAAAAACTTTTTTTTTAGATTCTCTCTAACGGTTTCAGTGATTAGCGCCTTAAAAGGAACTATAGCTTTATATACCTATTATATTTTGATCATTAAAGAGGAGTATTTTCACATCAAAATTAACTTTAATTCAACCAATTTAAATAGAGCCTAAATTTTGTGGTCCAGCGGTTAGTGATTTGACAGCTGAGCCAGAGATACTGGGTTCAGTTCCCACCCAGAACCAAATATTTGTACAATGAGTACGATAATTCATATTGTCTGGGTGTAACTTATCTATGTGTATGTATTTAGTAATATATAAGTATGTTTATCAGCAGTCTGGTTACTATTGTACAGGTTCTGTCTAGTTTGGGATCAGACTGCCGTGTGAGCAATGTCTCAAATTATGTTATATATTTGTTATACTTCAGAGCCATGGCAATCGCACCGAAGATGGATGAAACTCTGCAAGCCATTACTGAGGAGATGGCGCGCTGCAAACGTTTGTTGTTTAGCCAGCGCTCGCAGGACAACGTGACATCTGCACTCACGTAGTTACGCATCAGCCTCATCACAAAATGTTTCGTCAATATCAGGGCACCACAGAATATATAGTTTTCTCGCATTTATATAGATGGATGATAGATAGTTCCCTCTATCTCTTTCTAGTCGAGCTCTGAGGTTGTCCGTGTGGTGACGGATGAAGAATACGGAGTGTCACCACCCCTATTCATCCCGTGGGTGTCGTAAGAGTCGACTAAGGGAAAAAAACTACGCAGAACACCAGCACTGCAGAGAGAAGGAAAACTTGACACAAACCCTATACCAACCCGTCTGGCCAGCGTGGTATAGTAGGCCAAAACCTCCTTTCTAAGGAGAGGCCTATGTCCAGCAGTGGACTATTAAAGGCTGTTGATGATGAGGTTGGCTGGGGAAATTTATAATCTTCACCCTGTTCTACGATATAAACCATACCCACTTCAGGATAACCAATCGCAGCTTAGCCAAACAGAGACAGAGGGAACTACCGGGCATCCATCTCTCTCGTTGCCTGTATCGCTTCCACTTAAAGGCCGCTGTACCGCGTGTATGCAGGCCGCCCTCCATGAACACCTGCATATCAATAGGAACAATTGCGACGCCGTACTTTTTGAGTGCATTTACTCACCCAGTAAAAACCAACAAAAGAATTGCTCAACACCGGTTTTGTGAGCCCTTAGTATCACTCCGTAAACATGGCTCACATAAAAAGTCGAATAAAAATACAGAAAAAAAGTTCCTTTGAGGTCGGTTATAAAATAATTCATGTTGTCACTTGTCTTAAGGATATTAATTATGCATAGAAGTACAACCGTCACTACGTATAAGAATAACTTTAGAATAAAACATAGCGAATATTAAAAAAGTATTCAACATTGTTAAGAATAAATATTTTAGTTAGTTTAAAAATATGTAGTTTATTCATTGTATCGATGTGTAATCTTTCTTCTTTTTTCCTACAATCTGAGACAGTGATTTATTGAAAATGGGGACGGAAATGTGTAACAGGAAACTGAGAAAGCGCGCGTGATTTGATTTGACCAATGAGCGCTCGCGGTGGGAGAGTTGTCGAGAGTTGGCCGTCAGATGGTACGTGAGGTGTCTGATGTTACTCATCATGTTCATATGTATAATGTGTATAGGTTTTAGTGTATTATAGGTTTAAATATTATTTGTATTTTGTTCCAACATCAATTTCAACGAAAATGTACCTACTAGCTGTCTTCTCTGCATCACTCAATGGTTAACTGGTAGAAAGTGCCGTACCTTGGCAATATGTCCGCCACTGCACCTAATGTGCATGATGTGTAAAAATAAAATAAGTATATACTATTATAAGGCACGCTTTTATTTTGCTCAGCCAAAGATAATTATGTGATAGTGGGATATTTGATGATAAATTTTGGAATATTATTCAAACTTATGGTACTGAGATGTTTTTGTTCACTGTTGGTATATATTTTTGTTGTTTCGTTTCTTTTAGTAGATACCGTGAATAAAGTTTTGTGTTAGTAATTAGGTACGGAGAGAAATAAATAGTATGCAGTTTTTCTAATTGTATAATTTAGTTCCTATGTCGTATCATTAGAATTATAATAGAAAATGATGTCTATAACCCGGCAATCTCGTGTGCGACCGTCCCGCGGGGTGACAGACAGTGGCGGGGGCGAGGTAGCGCGTCATTCTAGCACATGGCTACACACGAAGAGAAGCGTTTCCCTTCACCGCAACACCACCCGCTACCCGCTGACATCTTGAGTACCTCGTCCCCGCCACCGTCTGTCACCCCGCAGGACGGTCGCGCACGACGTTGATGGACTATAGAATAATTAAAGGATGTCACATCAAACTGGTTGAGAACGACAGATTACTAACTGGTATAAAACTATGTTAAATTGTCAAGAACTCTGACGTGCCTACGGGTCACAAACTTGGCCGTTACTGATGTAGTCATTCTTACCGGCACGACGTATGCTAGCTACAGCAAGTATGTGTTGCGCCTTAGTGACCCTATATACGAAGTCTATTAGGGGTAATCTGTGTTGAGAACAAACAATATGTCAAGCGACATTATGGAGTAAGTATAAAGATTATATTTATTGTCTATAAATTTTTATACTGTTTAAAGAGCTTACACTTCAATTTCATCATTCCTCCTTTTCACAGACTTATGAGTAAGTTGTCAGTTAGTTTTAACCGGGATTTGAATAGTCGAACTCTGATTGATAATAAAAATTATGAATGACAAAAAGCCCGTTTGGGATCGGACTGATCCACCAAACCTTTCTTATACGATCATTCGCCTGTTAGTAGAGGTAGTGCTTTTTTAAAGAATAAAAGAAATAGTCATTGTTCATCAACATATTTATTGAACATTTTTTACATGGTAACACATGGAATCGCAAGCTACATATTATTCCTAAGGAATGACAGTATAATTACAAACGCTAGTTGAACTACTACCGGAATGTGCGAATTGAATTAAAATACGAGTGTATCGCAGTAATAATTTTTTGAGCTGGTAACTCGAAGAGTACAACGCCCATAGCCTCCCTGGTACTGTTAGGTGCATGTCGTACTTGTTTTATTGTCTGTCCAACCTTTTATTTTCTTTTAATCATTTCCTACAAACCTAATATTTTCAATGTTTCAGGAAGGTTTATTCGATTAAAACTTTACTATTTCATACATAAATAAATTATTTTAAGTTACTAAGGACTGCATCGACTATCTAGTTTGTACGTTCTTTCATTACATTTCTATAAATTTTGTCTCGAAATTCATTTTGATGTTATATTCATAGCAAATCAAATTATTACAAATTAAACATAGGATTTTTATATCAAATTAGTGATAGATAATTTTTCAAACTGCAGTAAAAACATTGGTTCTCAGCACTACGTGCAGTACAACGTAACTTTTTTTAATCCCAGCATAATTTCGTTCAGCGGTTGCTGAACGACAGAACTTTTTGACAGTTGTCAAAAAGAAATTAAAGAATGGACAGAAACAGGTATTTATACTGCTTCGCTTTTATTCAAATTGTCACACACATTTCCAGCCTACATTATACATTGTCTATGGAACACTCTACAGGAATATTTTTAATATACCTAGAATTGAAAATATCCCTGTAAGGTGTTGTAGAGACGTTTCTATACATAAATAAAAAAGATCTACACATTATACAGGCAACACAGCTATAAAAATAGATGTAAGCTACCATCAAAAATCGTTACATTTATTTATTGTCAAGTCGATTCGACACATTGAATAAGAATTATTGTTACAATTTTAAGTTTGCCCAGTATGAAGATGACATAGTTTATAAGACAGTCGTGGCCTAATCGCAGAATTTATCACTTCATAATGAGGTCGACCATTTCTGAAATGTTGCCAGCTAAAACTGTCCCCATATCGAACATTATGACGATATTACACACATATATTTAATTGATATAAGGTTTTTAATAAAAAATGAAAAAAGCAAGGGATAATTTGCTCTCTTAAGTTCAGATTTCACTCTATTATATTTTTTTTAGACAAAAGCAATAATTCCACCGCCATGATGTATCACATAAATAAAGCGTAAATAACACATAAATAAATAATGTTTTATGATTTGATCACAAAATTTTGACCATTATAATATACATGTAGTTGTAAGTACGTTTAGCTGTTCTTATCATCTATCACTGATTATATTTCTTGTTATGGCAAGACCACAATATGATTTTTAGAACAATGTTTTTGTTTTCTAAATATTGAATGGAAGTTACACCTATTCAAATTTCTACTTCTAATTTCTATTCTATATATATATATGAAGGTATATATTTGAAGACATTTAGAATCTTAATTTTTTAAGCAACATGACAATACACGGTGAGGTGATAAATATGAGATTTATGTGAACACAATTCTTACACAAAAATATACTTATTTAAAATGTACATTAATACATAAAAATTGCAAATAATTTTTTTTTCGTAAATATCCCCCTGTAAATAGGTACCATATGCATATTGGCGTTTCTGCTATAACTGACGACGACAGACCAGCTAACCACCGGAAACCAAGTTTTAAGATGCTCCTAGAATTTCGACTGACCTGCTTTAAATATTATAGTGCATTTTCTACAACTTCTAAAGTTATCTTTATATTATTTGTTCTTTTTACCTGGTAATTCACAACAATAAATTCTCTTTTTTAGCATAGATTGCTAACAAATACGCCAAATAAATAAATATTCCAAGACGTTCGTTTGTCACTGTCATTTAAATGTCAATTTTAGAGATGTCGAATGCGATGTCAGATCGTAATCGAATATGCTTTGATATCCACAGAAAACAATATTATCTTTTACTTGTAATAATCATTTAAAACATATTTCTCTGTATTTGATAGGAAAATAAATAAATTTGAGGCCGGACGCTCATCGGAGCGGGTCGCATTTTGCAATTAAGTATAATTTTAAATAGTCTTTTATTCGACACTTAATATTATATTTTCAACATATTGTGCAACTAACAATTTTTTAAATTAGATATATTTTGTTATAGCAAACTGCAGCAATAAGCACAGTTGATTACATTTTTATTACAATAAAAAAATACTAAAACAAATAACAGCCATTGAGCATTGTAATTTTGCAAACGGTACACTCTCATCAAGAATTCTCACCAACCTGTATCCTAAAAGACCTAACGTATTATCCATCCCTCATAACACATTGTGTGTCTGCTCACCCGAATACAATTACATTATAACTATACATAAAAAGGTTTTCAATTATTATATAAATATATGTATAAGTAGACAACAAAAGCCTGATTTAACACTCAACTAAAGCACTATTTGTCTTACATTCAGGAATAATAAAACTACAATACTAGTTACTACTACAAATATAATTGTCATTAAAACCAAAACAATTTGACAAGTATAAAATAATAATTTGATGATATAACTACATAGCGAAGTTAAATTATTTAATACTGGATAACTCACAACATAATCACAAATTCTACCATTAGTACCTTCACATTTTGTTGGCATGCAAGTAAGTGAGCATTCTACTTGTCAGTGTTGCCATTCTTCTACTCCACTTGGGTGCTTGTTGTACAGCAAATGTGTATTCGGGCGGCGCTACCGTCGCTGAAGGATGTAGAAACGAGGAAGGAGTAACCTAGTAGTTTCCTATACAATGGTGGAGTTTTAAAAATAAACATAAGATAAATTAATTAGAAGACATGTCGTCGTGATCGTAGAATAATGTCGGTTTTAAAAAAAAATACGAAATTCAGTTTTTACCACATGTGGATGCTACGTTGTCCTAATATTATTACTGCATTAAAAAAAATGTATTTTAGATTTTAAATTATATAGTCGGTAAACTGACGGATTTGATAGGAGCTCAAAGTAAAATGAAGCATGTGATTTTTCTAGAAAATTAGTTTGAATGCCTTTCTAAGGCCTTTGAGGCCTTAATACCTCTTCGCTAGTTTTTAACATCTTTTAAGTTCATTGGAATAGAAGGTATTTAATGATTTCCGTATTCAATGTAATCCACTTACTTGCATCACACAATTTACATTTAACATAACACTAAAGATCACACACTATTCATATACTTACTAACAAAGAGATTACAAGTTAAAACTTAAAAATATTTTCTACATCACAAACAATATCAGGATTTTTAATCCCATGTAGTGGTTTTATTAGAAATCCTAAATTACCTACAAAAAGAGGCACAGACAAATACTCCCAAGCTTATAATTTGACATCCGTACTAATATTACAAATACGAAAGTATGACTGTCTATCTGTTACCTCTTCACGCTTAAACCGCTAACCCGATTTAGATGAAATTTGATCCCGGGAAAGGAGATACGATAGCTTTTATCCCAGAAAGCATCCTTTAAGGAGGTAAAAAATAAGGAATTCCGGATAATACATACATGAGTTAAACCAATTATCTTTTATGAACACAATCAGCTAATAGTTCTAAGAATATCTTCTAATAAATATTGCAGAACGCTAATTTAAATATATATACAATTAAAGTTCTATAATTATTGAAATCATCCAAAAAAGTAAAAAAATTGAGCCGCCGCGTGACATCTCGCAGAAGTGAAAGAGTCAAATTGTTTTTTTTTTAATGTATAAAACGAAACGAACGTAAAAGGAAATAATAAATGTAGCACAATTAAACCCACACACACATTACATTTCGTGGCGACGCATACCGCGGCGGCGCGTCGCCACGCCTACAACCAGTTTATCCTTCGCATGGGATATTTTACATCAGAAACAAAACAGTACAACCACATACTTAAGCGTATTTGTCTGTGTTTAATCTATGTTTAAATAATTAAATATTACAATTGAATACCAATAATATTGGGACCTTTCAGGCATTAATATCTTCGTACTGAATAAATGCTAACATAAATGTAACGGTAGAATTAAATACTGTAATATTAAAGTAGTATTTGTTTTTAACGCTAAAAATATATACATAAACAGCATGTATTGAGAACATATTTAAACAATGCATTTGGTATAAACACAGCTCAAAATGTATTTTTTTAAATATTTTTTTTTACTTTTAGGTCACACCTGTATTTTTAAATTATAATTATTCTTTAAATCTTATTTTATTCAAACCCTAAAACACAGGACACTTACAACACAATCGAGAACGTTGAGAATACGTGTTTTATTCAATCAGAATATTATCGATATAAACCCAACATTTAGGTACATCACTAGCAAGTATTTCGTCTGCTCTGACGCATTTAGTAAAATCATTTTTACTACGCGTATTTACAGCAATATTTAATGTTCTTTAGTCATTTTGTTAGTCAACTATACAATTTCTAGTCACAATTATTGTCATTATTACAAGTTTTTAACTCTAGTTAACCCTAGATCATTTCTATGTCTAGATAGAGATACTACACCAAAAAACAAATAACGCTACGCTAACTTCATTATACTGGTTTGTGTGCAAATCAAGCCTGTTTGTGTAGAAACACAGCGACAGACACCCGAAATAAATTGGCCAACAGTTGGACACTATATTTTTCGAGCTTTCACAGCTTTGACAGTCCAGCTAGACATATTAAAGATCTAAGTTTTTATCTTTAAACATGATAAATATATATCAAAATGTCATTGCTAAATTTTGTAGACAGAATAAAATATATTATATCGAATATACGTTTTTATCGATATTTATCTCTAAGACGACAACACTACTTTCCTATTTCAAGAATGATAGGCCGAATTATTACACTGGCACTGCTCAATACTTGATATATATCTACGTCGAATATTTTTCACGAAGCAAGGGCAGATCCAAAAAGAGGGTCACGGGGTTATGACCCGTCTGAGCTGCGTATAACTTGTTAAATTTTTAGTGTTTAAAAAAAATGAATATTAAATACTCAGTCTGATAACACGCAACAATACTATGTTATTATTATTAGTATGTGGCGCAGATCGTTTATTGTATTGTAAATAAATATTGATCTACGATTTGAACTGGTAGGTTATAATATATCAGGCTTGTTCTGAGTCCTAACTAGATAAAATTGACCCCCACCCACCCCAAATCAAAAGCTGGATCCGCCCCAGTCATGAAATTATAACTTATTTCTAATAAAGGGTTGTTATTTATGATAAGGAGGATTTCTTGTTTTCCTTCTGGTCTCGATTCAACAAGGTATAAATGTCGATGGAACCCTATTCAAACGACTTTCTTAGTAGACATATTGTCGATACAGACTTCGACATTATGTCATGAGTGAACTATTGATACATGAAATAAATAAATGAAGGTATTTTTAATACTTCAAAATTGCCATCAAGAATGTAGGAATAAAAATAACAGATAGTCTAGAAGATTACTGAAAAGTGTGGCCGTAAGGACGCCAGCATCCACAAGATTGAAATTTAACCAGGTCAATATTTTTAGTTTTATCAAATTTAGAGATGTCCTTAGGTGCGTTGATGTACTACAATATCCATAATTGTAGGATATTACAGAAGTGCCCTAAGGCTTAACAGCTGGCTGGTGTGCCTGGCGCCTCAGGTCAGCGCGGATGAAGGCGGTGATTACGGTGCCCACTACCAACAACCCACAGAGTGTTAGGTTCGCCCAGCGGTCGTGTGTCTTGCTGAGCATCTGCTCGTATAACAACGTTGTCAAAATACCGAACACCTGTAATTGTCATAAGTCATCGTTAAGATAATGGTACTATCTTAGTGAATTTTTGTTGTTGATGTATGTTTAGAGTATTTAAATGCAGGGAATATGGTATTTAGTTTCAAATTAATATATATCTATAGTATATTTGTTTGTTATCGTCTTTAGCTAAGCTAAATGTTTGTGCCCGAGTTTTTTGACGTCAGAAGCGCACTTGGTTACGTCGAACCTGCTACTACTTAATTGTAAGTACCACACACAAATCCATTAAGTTACCGTCCCCAGTTTATTTCGGTAATACATGATAGATGAGACTAAACAATTTCAGTTTTTTTTATAAAGTTCTTCATTACTTACTTTGCATTATGTAACAAGTTACTTTATAATAAAAAACGTTTTTATTTACAATTTTTTTAGAGTACAATAAATAGACTGCTTTACTTGTGATAAAAATCTCAAAAACTAAAATCGACAAATTGTAGTATTGCCTTTTATGTAGGTTTAATCGTTGATGAATTTACATTAACATTATTTAACATTATTTATAATTTGACAACATAACATAGAGCAACAAGTAAGGATCAAAACCACAGACTAGCTAAAATCGAAGTATTGATGCTAACTTACCAAAATGAATGGTATTTGTAATATTTCTAGCAAAAAATATCTTTGTTATAACAATTAGACATCCTTTTTTACTACAACTACATAATAAGTAAAAATAGAAGATAATATTGGACAGTAATTGTCATTCCTAATATTAGATTATTTTATAAATTAAATAGTTTCTTTAGAACACGATTCATTTGCGGCTCTGGCTATATCTAATATATAAACTCACCTGAGAACTGGCATTTAATAATCCAGAAGTGGTACCCTCTGGCTCTGGGAATGTTATTTCTGAACCGAATTCGAAGCCTACCGGTAAATAACCAGTCATAAAAAAGCTGTAAAAAAAAAAAGAAAAATCATTTAAAAATTATGTCATGAGATAAGATCATATATGATGACTTCTGTGATGACGATATTCTAGAGAAAATAGAAATAAATAAAGTATATGTACAGAATAAGTCTATTGTACTGTAGGCCGTCTTGTTGGTCACCACACACAAACATACACATATTTACATAAAATAAAGCTAAAATATATTTAAAATAATATTAACACTACCATCTTTTATTAATAATAAACATTTATTTATTTATATAAATGACAATTGTGTAACAATTTGTCGATGTCGGTAAGCGACTATCGATAACTCAGTATTGTGTATGACCCTCGCACTAGTTGCGTACTGCATAAGTTTGTCAAAAATGCACTGTCAAAAACCTTCCAAATGAGAAAAATCTATTAAAGTAACATCAAAAATTGGCTTTTATGAATTTTCTAATTATTTTAAATTTTAATTGAATTGAATAATAATAATAATAATATAATATAATTAAGTAATTAAGTAATAATAATATAATATATATAAGTCCCAAACTAAACAGAGCTTATACTATGGGTACTAGACAACTGATATAAATACATATATACTTTCTTTTGTAAATACATACTTATTATACATAAAAACACCCAGACCAAATCAAACATTAAATGTTCATGCACACAAATATTTGACTTGAGCGGGAATCGAACCCGCGACCTTTGGAATAGCAGTCCGTTACAAAAACCACTACGCCATTCGGTCGTCAAATAGAATAATAGAATTAAAATAACTCCAAAACTAAAAATTGGTGCGACTTAAAATGTTTTACTTTACACTGTTTTAATTGATTTTATGAGAAATAAGAACGATAATATCTGAAAATTGAAACGGTAATATCTTTAAAACGGTTTTTTTTAATTCTTAAAAAAAAGACTACTATAATTTTTTAAATCAGTGTCCCATTTTCATCATGTAAATCGCGCATCCTTCATTGAATGGTTTGTAAATATACAATAAAAATAAAATACAATTAGAGAAGAAATTACCAACTTACCCCAATAGTATACTGCTGAGATAGACCACAGCAATATATCCGCAACTCAGAGTGAAAGTAAAGATGATCATTCCGACTACAGAGGCTGCGTACAGTGCCATCGTGGTCTCCTTAAAGCGCCGCGTCTTGTCGAGAATGAACCCACAAACGACGGAACCCACCATACCAGATACTACGATACAGAGACCAATACGTCCTGCATCTACCTGCGCTCCCTATAACACGAATGAAACGTCACATTAGTCATAAAATTGTTTGTATATATTTCAGGTATATTTTCCAGGTTGGAGATTAGCTGAAATACAACTCGCTCTCGATGGCGAGTGAGATCGGCGTTGCGGTTGGTGAAGACTTCAGAGGGCTGAGTGTAAGTTTATTTCACATTGACTAGCTCTCGACAGCGAGCGCGTTTAGCGTTGCGATTGGTGGAGATTTCAGTGCGGGCCAATCGCAAGTGTCACTGTGACGATCGAATAGATGAGAAATAAACTCACACTTGGTCTTCTGAGTTGCTACGTGCGGAAGTATGTGAAGAACTAGATCCGTCAGGATTTAAACAAGCAATAGAAAAGTCCCTTTACAAGCTATAAATAAAAAAAAATTGTTTTAAAAAAACTAAAAAACACGCTTTCTATAGTGGGGTGCTTTTACTATTGACAACAGACACCCAACGCTTTTTTTCAAATTTATTTTCTATTTTTTAGTTTGGTTTGGTTAGTTTTTTAAAACTATATTTTTTTTATTATTTTTTTAAATTAGTGTATTGTCATCGGTCCTCGATATATCTACAAAGTTTGAACGAATTCTGACCATTTAAAGTCAGTCAAAATCACGCCCAAAGGAGTCGGTTACAAACATACAAGTGGAGCTAATATAAAGCGTGTAAAAAAGATATTTTACCTCATAGTACCGCAGGATAAGGTCATTCAGAAGTGTAGAGATGGCATAGTAGACGCCGACGTTGATCCCGTACGAGATCAGCAACAGTACGAAGTTGCGGTTCGTCACCAACTTCTTCAAAGAGCTGAGGAAGTTCGAATCCAGACTAGCGCCATGTTCCGCTGCCGCAGATGGGGGAGTGGCAGGTGCGGCCTTAAAGACTGGAAAAAAAGATGTCAAGATAAAGCTGTGCTTTTGTTTCCAATTTTAGAAGACCAGAGCAACGGTCTTTAGAGACTTTTCAGAGTCTGCAAGGCATATTTGACTGCATCACCAGAAGTCGCGAAAAACTCCTAAGTAGATACAGAAAATATCAAACATGAATGAATGAACAAAATCATTGAGGTCCTCATTAGATCAAACATTGGTTAGAAATGCATATTTAATTTAGTTTAAAAACATACATGAAAGAGACACAAAGAACACCCAGACTCAGAACAACAATTTGTGGATCACACAAAGTGTTGCTCCATGTGAGGATCGATTCCATAACACAGCACAGTAGAAAGAAGCATGGCGACCGCTTAAACCGTGCAGTCATTTGCGTGCCAATTGTGCTTTTTAGTTAACATATTATACTTATTTATTATATTTTCTTCAAATATCATTTAATTTTGTAGTATGGCATTATAAATGCAAGAAACTACAATACTATAGTAACTAAATTTAACTCGGGACAAACACTACAATTTTAATAAAGCGAGGTAAACACAGTAAATATCCTTAACTTAGATCTCAAACCTAATTAAAATTCTGTTCGATTGACAAACACTTGAGTAGACAACCTGATACGGCGTCGATTACAGTCTTTGTTAAACATATTATATTTAAATATTACTTACAATTTAGTTAAATAAATTATTCGCGTTATAATGGTGAACTAAAATGGGTTCATCATCAGACAATCGTTACAAAACTCAATTTTTTGAACTCGTTAAAGCAAGGAACATGAGTCTTAAACTCGAGGGATCTAATAGTACCGAGGAGAGCTATGCCAACCATGAGAGAGCCATAGCCATGGACAGCTCGACCGGAATGATACCAGGTCCTCGCAGAAAAACGGTGTTAAGAATTTTTTTCTTTGTTTTTCACCTAGTGAGGGAGAGACTGTATTTTGGCGGTCTTCGATGGTCGAGAGCAGAAATAAAGACCATGAATTCTCGCTATGGTTAACATAGAAAGGGAGAAGTGATCGCCGATTTTTGCCATATAATTACAATAGATTTGCCATTACTTATATAAATTTAATGTTGGTAATAGTTCCAACAGTGAGGTGACGGGAGCCCACTTGTGACTAATGAATTGCAAGTGTCTATGGGCGGCGGCGGTGGTAGTCGGTTACCCACAGTCGTGGTGACCCGTGTGCTCATTCGATCCACTATTTAGTTTGTCACGAGTAAAGTTGAAGTGAAGTACGTCATGAAGTAAATTAAATGCTTATGTGAGTGAAATAATAATGAAATTCTGTTCATTAGTAAGTCGTTTGAAATGACTAAACAAATTAAATAACCCAATATAATCTGATGGTCTAGTGGTTAGTGACCCTGGCTGCTAATACAGAGTAGAGGTTATGGGTTCGATTTCCACCTTGGAAAAAAAATTAGTAAGAAGAAATAATGATCGGGCTCTTACGATCATTATTTCTGTGTCTGTGTATGATTTAGTATGTATTTAGAAATATATATATTATATATATATTTTTTTTAAAGACAACTCCCGCATTAGGAATATATCCTGTGTCGCGGGGGACTTTACAAACATACATGAAACGGACACAAAGAACACCTATTAGTATGTTTATCTGCTGTAACGTTACCTTAGTAGAGGTTCTGCCTAGTTTGGAAGCAGACGGCCGTGTCTGAGGCGTATAAGTTTATTATTATTATTATTAGTATCCAAGTTGACAGTGATTACATTTTTAGTTTGAATTCCGAGAGCCTTCAAACAGTCGAGAAGCGCCTGAAGCAAAACATATCGGCGTATATGTTTTGCTTCAGGCGCTTCTTGACTGTTTGAAGACTGTTGTATTGTATCTTTTTGGGCTGCGTGTTGGAAACGGACACAAAGAACACCCAGACTCAGAACAACAATTTTTGGATCATACAAAGTGTCGTCCCATGTGGGGATCGGACCAACAAAACTCAGCGTAGTAGTGAGCGGACTGACTGTTTAAACCACTACGCCAAAAAAATGGGGGCAAACGAGCAAATGGGTCACCTAATGGAAAGTGACTGCAACTCAGGAGTCACAAGCGCGTTGCCAGCCTTTTATAACGTATTTTCATTAAGATATGGCATTTAGGTACATCATCATCAACAGCCTTTAATATTCCACTGCTGGACATAAGCCTCTCTCAGAAAGGAGGTTTATTAGGTAAATTTCGGTCTAAATATGGCTGTAATTTTTTTTTGTGCTCTGTTCTGGCTGGCCATACCTACTGACTACTTCTTGGTGTAGGTAACACCCTAGTTTCTCAAAATGAAAACTAAATCATGATTATACGATTACTCTCGCACCTAAAGGTGTGTTTGTGTTATGTATCGATGTTGTCCAAGGTCGGGTAAACTTCCAAATCCTTATCAGCTGGGCTGTTTACACTCACCTCATATTGCGTGAGCTATTCGATTCATAGAATATGATAACATTTAGCTAATGAGTACGTGGCAATCAGTGGAGTGAGGTGTTCGCAATTCGTTATTAGTTTAACACCTGACAGGAAAAAATCTATAAATGGCATTGATAAAGCTAACAGGTCATTTTTCTGGCGTATAGCTAATTCACCTTTGGAAATGCAGTATTCCTATTTCACTCTTATAGTTTACTTTCACAAATATAGATAACTTACACAACAGTATGAAGACGAACAGCACACTTGTGATGCCAGCCACAAGGTAGAACATCAGCTTGAAGTCATTGCCAATCTGTTCAATGGTCCCCGAAGCCCGAACCAGCATTGGCGGGAAAACGAAACCGAACGCCACACCAAGCTGTAACAAATGATATTATAATTTAATAAAACACTATGTTAAGGTAAAGAGTTTCATTATTCCATTTTAATAAAATACATACATACAATACTGGCCTGTTGGTCCAGTGGTTAGTGACCCTGACTAATAAGTCAAAGATAATAATAACCTCACAAATCTTACGATGTCTGATCCCAAACTAGGCAGAGCCTGTACTATGGTAACCAGACTGCTGATAAACATACTTATATATTTTCAAAAACATACATTATAGATGAATTACACCCAGACACAGAACGCTCATCACACAAATATTTGTCCTGGGTGGGAATCAAACCCTCGACCTCCGGCTTAGCAGTCAGTGTCACAAACAAACACAAACGGGCCCGTTAAGATTGTGGCTTTGATTCCCACTTAAAACAAATAATAAAATACCGGTCCGGCGGTGGCTTGTGTTGCTCTATGGATGAGCACGATCAGTTGTTCTGTGTCTTTTATCCATAATATGTATGCATTTAAGAATTATATAAGTGTGTTTATCAACAGTCTGGTTACCAGAGTACACAATTGCCGTGTGTGAGATGTATGAAGTTATTATACATTCTCTCCTATATAAGCACCTGTCTCTCTGTCTTCGGGGATATCCCCGAGGCGTATTAAACATCGAGATTTTGATGAATTTAATTTTAGTCATACATACGCAGTAAGCTTGCCCCTACGAAGTAAGTGTACTGAAATTGCAGTTGGCAAAATGTGGGCGCTTTAATATCTATCTAGTCTATCAATGTCCGTGTGGTGACGGATTTAGAATAACGTGTGTCAACACCCCTATTCATCCCGTGGCTGTCGTAAGGAAAAACAAACTGCGCAGCACTACAGCTCTGCAAAGGGAAGGAAAAATTGAAACAAACCCTACACCAACTCGTCTGGCCAGCGTGATCTTGTAGGCCAATACTTCCTTTCTAAGGAGAGGCCTATGTCCAGAAGTACTATCAAAGGCTGTTGATTGTGTCTACCGCTTAGACATGTGTGTGTAGATATATAATCATGGATATCACTTTGGTAAGACAGATCTTTGCAAAGATCTATCTTCTATCTTTGCTAACAGTTTTCCTTTTTTATTAGTAATTTAGGAGTGAAAACCAAGAAGACTCACCACAAATAGGTAAATCCAAAGCAACAATAACGTACGTGTACGGGCAATAAGGTAAGTCATTTACATAATGATTAATTTTAAGATGACATTTAAGTACAATTGTTACAAAGAAAGGGATTCCCTGTATGAGTTAATCATGTTATTGTCTATGGTTCAAGTGCAGTTTCGTGTTATAGATTCTGTTATTCGAAGTAATCACCCATGCAATCGACGCATCTTTGCCAACGCATTGGCAGTTTATAGAGACCTTGCACCTACCGACTATTACTTTTTCCAAAATTTAGAGAACTTTTTAGTGGGTAAAAAATTCAATTCCCGAGAGGCAGTACAAAATGCCTTTGAAGAGTTTGTTGCCTCCCGTCCAGCTGATTTTTACAAGAAGGGCATCAAAGATTTACTAAAATGTACAAAACATCAAATGGTCCTCTTCGCTGATGATAGCACGTGTGTCATTAAATGCTCTGACTTAAATACTTATAAAATCGACATTGATTGATGACAAAAACAACAAAATAATAAATCTAAATAAAACAAAAATCTTGCATTTCCATCAAAGGTGTGAAATACCTAATATTCATTATGATGTCCGGATGGTGTAGTGGTTTGTGTAACGGACTGCTATTTCCAAAAGTCGAGGGTTCGATTCCCGCTCAAGTCAAACATTTGTGTGCATGAACATTTAATGTTTGATTTGGTCTGGGTGATTCTATGTATAATAAGTATGTATTTACAATAAATAAAAGTATATTTGTATTTATATCAGTTGTCTAGTACCCATAGTACGAGCTCTGCTTAGTTTGAGACTATATGGCGTTGTGTGAATGTGGTAGAATATTATTATTATTCATTTGCATTTTAAAAATTATGAAATCGAACGAGTACATGAGGCTAGGGTCTTGGGAGTAACAATCGATCACCAACTTAATTGGAAGGCACATGTAGAACAGCTGAGTAAAGGGTTTAGTAAATCTGCGTATGCACTAACCAACTGTCGAAGAAAGTTAGCAATGAAGTTCTGTTAACCGGGTTGTTGCGACTGCGAGTTAACTAAACGCACTAAATATAACGGGCAACAGCGCGGCGTGCGGGGGGACTACCCGGACGTGTGCAGCGAGTGGGGGAACGAGCCCGGAGGAGCGCGAGGACACATCCAACAGCCGTTGAACGTAATATAATGCTGAATAGCTTGCAGGTGACATCTGGGGCGGTATACTATGGGGATCTTGTGTCAACTAGGGTGAATTTCCGTGCGTTTAGGCGATTCTGCCATACATATTATAGAAATCAAATATAGCTCACGTAGGACCCGTAATATTTTGAGGCCGTGGTGCTTCCCTGTTTAAAAGGGTGTATGCCCATTTTACTTCATTTTGTGCTGTGTGTCACTGCTGTGGATCCTGGTGTACAGAAGTTACAGTGGTGGGCGTGTGGGTGGGATTAGTCCCAATTCAAAAAAGCCGTTGCTCGCCTTGGGACATCACCGTGGACGTTAAAACGAATATACATCTCTTTGAAAAACTATCGAACACATGCCAATAAATTGTGTCAAGTTAAATGTACGTCAACGCTTGTGCAAAAAAAAAAATGGTATGGCCCCAAAAATCTTCAATAAATTACCTGACAGTATTAAAAACTTACGCTTGAGCCAATTAAAGAAATAAATACATAAACTGTTCATCAATAAATGGTACTACAATATTATAGATAGTTCAACTCAGTTGTGCGCGCGGCCCTATGTGTGCGTGGGCTTGTAAATATACAACTTTCATTCGTGTGGCAGTCGTCGTCCGAGCACCGCGTCACACAGCAACTATCTATAATGACTTTTTAAATGACAGATTATTGTAATTTTCAACTTCTTGCTTATGAAATTTACTAATCTACAATGTGAGAATCTGATATTAATGATATTGACAATAATAATAACTTTATTTTTTAATATTATGAAATGTATGTTTTTCATATTTCATTCTAATCTATTAATTTATTTTAATAATTCGAGGATTGACATTTAAATAATTAATTTACTTTTTATAATTTATTTGTAAACACCAAATGAATACTAATTTATGAATTAATGATACGTAAATATTTGACCTGTATTACTATAACGCTAAGAAGGACATTGCATTAATTTCTCGTAATATCCTAAAATCTTTTTATTTTATTTTAAAATATTTCAGTGTCAATCTTGATTCTGATTTTGATAAAATACACTTTATAATTTTGTACGCTTTACGGTAGAAGCACTTGAAACATGTAATTTTTTAACTCCATCGTTTTTTCAAAATAAATAATTTGAATTTGAATAACAGTATAAGATAAAATGATAAAGCAAGCAACCTAACGCCATTGTATTAGAATGTGCTGGATAGAGTGGATAGCCGTTATCGGTTATAGATAATATATTTTATATCGAAAGTATAGACTTTAATCCATTGATTATCGCCTATTTATTATCATATCAGTTCGATAGGCACATGAAAAGTGGCACCAACGACGTCTCGTCTTTGTAAGAGGCTCTCTGAATTCTCTCGGGTTCTGTATTATTGATTACTATCTTTTGCTCGCGGCTCAACTAGCGTGTATTTTGGTTATGACGGTAAAGAGTAGCCCTTGTTACTCGCTGATAATGTAGTTTGCCATTAGTGAAAGAATTTTTAAGATCGCTTTAGGCGTAAAAGCGTAACAAATAACAAACTCACTTGCACGTTTAAAATATACTCGCTTTTGTCCGCGTGTATGTTGGTTACCGTGGTTAAAAGTAGCCTATGTTACACGGTGATAATGTGGCTTTTCATTGGTGAAAGAATTTATAAAATCGGTTAAGGAGTTTAGGCGTGAAAGCGTAACAAACAAACAAAACCACTTTCACATTTATAACATAAGTGTGGAAGGATGGATTGTTTGCGAATGAATAAGTTATTATCATATTGGAGTAGTTATTATAGAATAGAATATGCTTTATTGTACACCAATTACAGTAAGTTGGTTAAATATTACAGATGGATATGTATAATGGGCGGTCTTATTGCTAATAGCAATCTCTTACAGGCGACCATTGGATGGACAAATCGACAGTAGATAAGAAGAAACAGTATTATATTGGGGGTTAGAGGAGGAAGCACTTAAAGCATGGATGTCCATAGGCGAAGGTGGTCACTTACCATCACGTGACCCGTCCGGGCCTCAATTCTGCTATTTGAATATTGTATCAATAGACTGTCGATGGAATGTCGTCGGAATAGTTTTGCACTTTTCCTATTCTAGTAATTATGTAAGACCAATGGCCTCCCGATGATTTGTCAGTGATACAAATGTCGTCGATGTCTTTGTAACAGTTTGGTAAACGGTACATTTTAAATTTGTAAGAAAATGAAATATTTAATTTGCCAGGTATGGCAATGTTGTTGGCATCACCTATATTACTACATCGACAGTCTATTGACACTGTGAATTGCTGTTAGTAGAATACTGATATTTTGACATATGTCAATGGCGTCTCAATGGCAATAGTGCGTCAATGGAATGACAGTGGCTTAGCGTTAACATAAAATAGCAGAATTGAGGCCCGTATCGTTCACCCCCTGTACCATAAAAATATGTGATATTTTTTGTTTTTGTACATAATATAGTCCCCTGACAAGGTGACCAGTACATAACATGATTTCTTTTGTTAATAATTAAGAGGGCCCATTATGATTTAGTTGGTTTATTTAAATGATTAAATTTAAGGAATCAAGAAATGAACCTGAATAAATTAATAAAGTAGTCCGTGTGGTGACGGATGCAGAATACGGATTGCATCAATCCTATTCATCCCGTGGGTGTC